GTTCTCCTCGGCCATGTTATAACCCAATAATATTCTTTATTTGAGGAAATCGATTTTCCTCCATTCCGACAAATTACAAGAATACACGACAAAAGAGCCGCACAATAGTCTCTGTAGCCTGTCGAATCGGTTGAAGAACTTATTATTATATACGGAAAATAATACCTTCACTTTGCGATCGGAAACGCGATTTTGTTATCGGCATTATAAAAACAGATATAAGTGAAGAAAAAGTTCATTTATTGAATATGTTCTTTCTACTCCCTACTCTAAAATCTAAGTTAAACACACTCTCGTTTCTGGTACTTTGGTCACGGGTTTGTGAGCTATCAGATATCAAGAAAGTTTTAAGGTTTAAAATATAGTAAGTACAGTAAATCATCATTTCTCTACACAGGCAGTTAGAAAAAGAAAAAAATCTAAGAGCGCAAACATTTTATGCTATAGATAATCCGGGTGGAAGACTTGCGAAAACATTGATGAATCTAATAGAGCTGGGTTCAGGTTAGATTAGATGCTTGTTAAATATGTTTTAAGTGAGAAGAAACAAAAACTTAGTTTTGGGAATATCTACAATTTGGGACACGATGTTCTTACACGAAAGTTTCTTGAATGAATATTCTAATTTAGAGACTTGCACTATACATTGAAACGACGGTGACAATTCATAAATGTGTAAAAATACTAGTCTTCTTACGCTTATATACACACGTTTGGATATACAATAAACCGCCAGCGATACAAACAAAATTTTCAGTCCGTTAATTCTATTGAATGATTAATGACGCGTGGCACCTAACAAGCGTTATAACCGTATCTGTGAACCAATCGTGTGCAAACCCACAATTTTAGTATAATTAGGCACGTATAGAAATCAAGACAAAACATTTCAGGAGAATCCGCGCATGCCTATGGGTTTTAATATAAGATAAATGAAGCAAGCCCAAAATTTTATCCGTCGATATATTCAAACGCCTATATTTGCTTTGTCTTCTCTCTCTATATTGATTCTCATAAATTATTCGGAATTGCTCCTGCGACATAATATTTCTGAAACAATTATTTCGATTTGATACTTAATACTATTGAATTAAATATTTAATCAACACTGGAGGAACAATTTACAGAATCTGTCCTGACAGGTTGGCTACCAATGCCTAGGATGACCTTTATGTTGTAAATTTCAATGTGTTACTGGTAGCCAAACCATGTCGGTTAATCCTAGAGATAACTGGATAATTTTGAGTTTAATCAGGTATGATGTATACAATTTAACTAATGTACTTTGTTAGAGTTCACCGTGCGATATACCGTTTTTACAAGCTTTTATGGTTTTCACTTACGAATCAGTTTAAGTCCCGCCTGTTGTAAAGCAGAAGGCATGTAGTACGTATTAAAGATATTAGCCTACAAGAACTGTGGCGTGCGAGTAGGGAAATTTTCTTTGGTTAAACTGTTATATTCATTCATATTAGTGTGATTTTTACAGATTATCCTAAAACAAATTGGTTAAGGCTTTCGCGGCCCATTGATAAGCTATTATCTTGATTCAGGTTTAAAGGCCGTCGTCGCTTGGAATTACTTCCTAACGTTTCGCTAGCACGAGTGGCGAGCTTAGGACAGACAGAGAAGTCTGCAGTAGCTGAACACGCACTGGGCAGCGGGCAGCAGGATACACTTTGAGAGCTGTAAGTTACTAGCATCGGTCAACGGTTATCACAACAGACTAGTCAGGGAAGCCATTGAGATACAAAAACACCCACACAATTTCAACAGAAAGGAGGACACCCTTAGACTCAACCAAATCTGGAACCCGATCCTTAGGAACGCCCGAGCAGGACCGATCGATATCCCGAGACCAACCGAAGCGGAACAAATCCCGCCCATCACCAATCGGCATAAATACAACCTGCGCAGGAGAAATCGTCAACATCGGAGATGGAAGGACCTCTGAAGAAGCTCGCCACTCGTGCTAGCGAAACGTTAGGAAGTAATTCCAACCGACGACGGCTTCTAAACCCGAATCAAGATAATAGCTCATCCTAAAACAGTCCCTACTTGAGGTATTTCGATTTCAAGTTGAATTAAATAGGTTGATCCCCTAAATTTATTATATTAGAACACATTAGAAAGCATAAACTGATTTCAAATTTAAGTGTTTAACATAATGACTCTAAAATATATTCATAGGAAAGCAATACAAAATCTTATGTAGATAATGGATTTATAGTGGATGTTTTCCCAGTTTGCTATTGGTTGATTTGTGGGGGTTGGTGAAATTTTGAAAATCAACGTCCGAGATGACTAAAGCACCGTGACATAGTTGTGAATGGTGTCCAAAAAAGAAAACCGCGGAAAGATCATGGGATCCCAAAAACTCGGTTGATGTGTATCAGAAGAATAGTTTTTAACAATTAAAACTTTACATGAAGAGTTGCGTCGTATTTTGAACATTGACTTCGTACCAAGAACTGGTTTTTATTACAAAATCATAAACAAGAGACAAGTTTTGATGGAATCAAGAAAATTTCGGAGTGGAGGACAAGATGTTTGAGAGAAATCCAAGAAATTAGTGTTAAAAACGTCCCCATCATATATTTAGATGATTTTTTAGCCACGATACCGTCAAGAAAAGATGGACTGATGGTAACAGCAGGAAATGGTCGTTGGACGTGTGAGTTTCGCTGGGGAAACGAATTATCATACTATATGCGGGCTCTGAAACTCGTTGGGCAGATAACGCTTTATTGGTTTCTGCAAAAGACTTCAAAGAAAGAAAGGCTAACAGCAGATATCTTTGAAAAATGGTTGTCTCAAAAAAAGCTTCCCGATATTCCACCAAAGAGTATTGTCGTCAGCTTTCAGCACGAAGTACTGAAGTACGGTTCTGCAACGTCATTGTGGAATCTAATCATTGAGGGTTACAAAAAGAAACCCGAGCGAGGTAGGGCTGCGATTAGACCTTCATAAAAATTTATCAAAATATCAGATTTTGTTGTAAATGTGTCGAATGTGGCAGCAACTTACATAGTTTAAATTACACCCCCTATATGAGTAATTAATTAAAAATAAAATGAAATAAATGTGTTGGTGGATGTGATATAAATGAAATGTAAAACTTCAGGCGCCTAACTGTCACAGAATCATTAAAAATATAAGCACTAATTTGGTCAAATCAAAAATGTAAAAATATTTTTGCTACCAAGCTACTTCTCTACTGAAGGTCATAAACTCTTTAGAATCTTGACTTAGCTGGAATGCGGATTTTCGAATATAAAATATGAAATCCAAAAATCGACATAGCCAAAATAGAAATAGAATGTGCATATGTTGGACGTGGAACCATCGGTAGACTGGAACCTAACATATAAATACCTAAGTAGATATAAATAGGCAAAAAAGAAAATAACTGCAGCATACAACTACTACAAATTTTGTTGTTAGACAACAATTCACGAATCGGATTAAATAAATGGATTTTCGCTTCCAAAATTGCGTTTTTAGACATGGAAAAAACTTTAAATTAAAATCCTCAATTACGGGAAATTCTGTTAAAGAAAAAGGACGAAGATAATCCCTTAACGTACGTACGCAGCATCCAGATAGCGAAACCGATAGCGCTCGCAAAAACTGAGGATTTAACTTGATTTATAGAGACGTTTTGATACAAGAACGACGCTGAAATCGCCAAATACAACCTTGATAAATTTGGTCGAATTTTCCGATAAATACTTTAGAACGGAATTTATTTCGTCGATATCAATGTTTAATTTGAAAGTGGCTCCTTTCATTATTGTTTTCTTGTGGATAGAAGTTGATAATGCAATAGGCAATATTTCTTAACTGCTCTTATAACAAAAAATAACATTTAAAATACTGACAATACCAGCAATGTTTTGTTGATATATTTTGTTAAATTGCGAATTTTTTGCCGTATCTGTAGGCCTGGGGTAGCAGTTCTGCTTGATCTTTTTTAACAAGCAATTCTACTTTATGAGTTTTCGCAAGTTCATGGACCTATAATTGATGCATAACGCTTCACATCTTCAGCTTCAGTAAAAATATGTGCACAAAAAAAACATAACAACTTGTGTGCCATAGAAATTGCAGCACCCAGTAAATGTAAAAATATGGTAGGTTGTAGTTGTGGTAAATATGAATAACAATCGTTGACATTTTCAACTAAGTTTGCGCCTCCGCTTAGGCTTCGACATTCTGTAACCTTTTTCAATTTTTATGTTTCTGTCTAAAAAAACTAGAGGGAACGTACTATTGCACTCCAGATTTCAGTCACCTTGTTCTTAACATCATCCCAGACGTAGCGGTCTATGTCTATTGGTTAATGGCAATATCGATATGGTTGCAGCCCTAAGCACTAATTCTTCGAAATTTTACTGCATATTAGAAATGAACGAAAATTTTCTGAAACTAACGACACATCGGAGATAGACAATAGATGTTTTGTCTGACATGATATTTGTTGCTTATTTATTTAATTATTTATTAATTAAATAAGCATTAATTATTAATTAATTATTAATTATTTCCAAAGCTTTACAGTTTAAAATATATTTGCTCGAAAAGTGAGATACGGAAATATTTCCTTGTTTAAAGTCGTAAAATTAATTCTTTAAAGTTCTTCTAGCAAGTCCCGTCGCTGCTTGAGTTTTAAGATCTTAATTTAAATCGGCGAACGAAATTAATATTAATAAAACGACAGCGCTTTCGCTTAAACCTTAAAATCGTTAAAAGTATACGTTAGTATAAAAGTAACATTTCATATTTGAAATCTCAATATTGCTACAGGTGCCTAATTCAACCCCGGGAGATAAAACTAACCAACCAAATACGAGCTATAGGCTTTTTTACCACGTCCAGATAGTAGTCTGAAGAGTCTCGTTTATTTCAAAATACTTCAAGGGTGATGAGTGGTTAAGTGCGACCATGAACTTTATTAACTACAATATTTCTCTAGATAATTGTAGTTATTTCTGTTTCAGTTGCCTGTTCGACTGTGACGGTTACAAAATGCCAGGCAGCATTACGCACACTACAGGCGTTTCCGTTTTTCAAACCCACATGTCTCTGTCGTGAGCCACATATGGACCCCGAGTGCAACTCGTTCAGAGATTTCCTTTTCGATCATCCGTGCATGTTCGTCAAGGAAAAAGGTGAGGGGCGCTACTAAGGAAAAGAAGACATATATGGAGACAAAAAATTTAATTGCTATTGTAATAGTAATGAAATTTTCCATTTTCCTCAGATAGTCGCTATACGTGAGTTCCATTCCAATTGTATTTTGTATACTGAGTGTCCAGAAACACCAAAGTTTATTTCTAGCTTTTTTGTAGATTTTTGTAGAACTTAAAGTTGTCTTAACTTTAGTAAATTAGGCGGTAATTTCCATTTTCATGTATGTCGATATACAAAAACCATACAAAATAATTGTTTTTTAGATTTATTTTTTTTACATATGGAAAATCTGTACCTTTTTTGAAATTCACAATAAGTTCAGTTATTGCAGGAAGCTGCGTTCCCGAAGTACACTATTTCTGATATGTATAATAATTGTTGGTTTATATATTTAGCATAAATAGCAAAAATTCGCCTTAATAACCGCTTACCTCAATTTTGAAAATTTTTTACAGCAGATGAAAAACTAACAACTATAGAAACTACTAACTATAGAAAACTACATGAAGTATATTTTTTGGCCTCGAAATGTCCAAATCTTTATTTTTGTAATTTAAAAAGGAGTTATGTTCTTTCGATGCGAATGATACATTACTTCGGAAGAAATAATGTATCGTAGCTGCAATAAATAGATAATCATTAAAAAACTCAATCACTTTATGCATTTAGAAGCAAGAGCATATTTTCCTGCTTTTTTATAATTTTTGCAAGTTGGGCATACTTTTGCTAATAAATTTCGTGCTCAAAGAACTTAATGATCAAATTCAATTTTCTAACATAAAATTGGATAATTTTATTATTATAAGAGATTATAATGATTTTATATCAACAAACAACAAAAAAAGTAGTAGAGCATGCATCTTATATTTCATATTTACGGGATATGATTTCAATACTGCAGAAGCTTTAACAAAAATCTGCACTTGTAAATCGGCAACCAAGTATACGTTTACCATTGACTCTCTATTTGATGTGTGCCCGATGTTTGGAAAAGCTTTATGAAAACATTATTTCAACGATCCTCCCTGTTCCAGTAGCAGATAACATCTAACATCTACCGAGCTCGATCTCAAAAAGCGGAACCAGACATTTTGATCTCGGATAATTTTGCTAAATATGATAAGAATTGTGAATACACAACTTTCGCCGCTACGAGAAAGTAAATATCAAAAGAAAATAATATAAATGCAAACAGGGGAATAAATGAAAAACTTGTTATTGTTTACCTGCCGCCGAGCAAGAACGATTGGTGCGATATTCTTTAATTCTTGCGGCTCTCATATTTGAATTCAAAAAGGAATTTAGAAAAGTGCTCGCTTCGGGTAAACAAGTTTATTTATTTCGATACGAAAACATTTTGCTTGCAGAATAACGGTTCTCCAAAAGGTTTGTTTGATAGTGTAAATCCAACACAACGACTTTAAGCAAAATGTATATAATTTTCCCAAAAGCTCTAGTTCCTGTTTCCGATAAACGCATTAAGTGTTAGCGTGTCCAAGGCAATAAATATAAATCCTGTGAAATCGGATTTTAAGAATTTATTCCTTTTTGATGGTGTCCATCACAGGAAACAAGATAAATAAACGGCTGCAAATCTGATATGTTACCAAAATCTTGGCTTTTAATATAAATAAGTAAGTACAAAAAAAAATGAAAATTATCTTAAGAGTTATTATATATCGTGTGCATGTGCACAACGAATTTAGGCAGTTAAGTACTGTTATCCCCTCCACATTTTAAATTAAGACTTTGTCAAAGTTTATGTTTTTGAATATTGTCGATCAATACAAAATAATCAGTTTCTTTGAGAATTTTATTAAAAAATCTTGAATTATTTGATTTGAATTGAAAGTTGAGTAAGTTGCTGCTTCTGTTGCCTTGTTGATACAGAAAAAAATTATGAAAGTTTGTGTTGCATTCAAATAACCGTTACATTTTATGTAAATTATAGTATGCAGATTAAAGTTCTTGTTACAGAGAAAGACCCTTATCCAATTGACGCGCTGCCAACTTGCACCCATGCCCATTTCGTATGTCAGCAAGAACCGAAATGCATTAAGTTATACGAGGACTTTAAAATGCACTGCAAAGTCAGAGAGAACAAATGTCGCATGGACGACAGGTAAGTAAGCCGGACGGCAAATTATTCGGGGTGGCTTTTAACGAGACTTTATGCGGTTTTAGCACGAACCATTGTTTAGATAGTTTCTGGTTTCTTGCAATTTTTATATACCACAAGTTATGGACCTTTTGCGCTTCTGAAATTTCTAAATTTCATAGACAACTGGATGCGATAAAACGAATTCTATATCGCTGAATACCATTCGATCGGTAATTCAAAAGAACATTCCCTAATAAGCTAAAAAATATGGACCTGTATTTAAATGATTCTAGTTATAGCTACTTAAAATTCTTATTAGATTAAAATTAATTTTTGGACACCATATAGTTGGTATTTGAAATATGATTTATGTCTTCCGATTCGGGAAATTTAAAATTACGCTGCATTTTGACAAAACCAAATTTTTAAAAAACCTTAAGGTTTAGATATCATAAACTTTAAGACTCACACTTATTTCGAAATCCAAAAATTGTAGACAAAGTGTTTTATTTAACAAAATACAACTCTAATTCTTCAAAGGCCACAGGCCCCCGTAATACTATTTACAAATCTTGATGTCTTCTGCCTAGGTTGTTGAGGAAAATCCGAAAATTTGAAACCAAACATTCTCATCTTAATTGAAAAATGCTTGTCTAGAACATAATTTTCTTATTTTTGAACAAACAACAAACAGCTATATGTTCTCCATTATCACCAGTCTTCGCGAATATATTTATAAAACCCTTTGAGAGGAAGGCCTCTATTGGTTCTATCCAAACCAAAATTATGGAACGCTTCGTTGATGATACGTTTGTTATTAAACTTCTCAACACCCCAACATACCTCTGAATTAGAAACTAATAATACTCTCCCATTCTCAGATATTCTTATCAATAGAAAATCAGACCTAACATTGGGTTACTCTGTCTACCGAAAACCTACGTACACTGATAAATAACTTAATGCATTGTCACATCACCATCCGGCCCAAAAATCATCGGTTATCAACTCTCTTGTTTACAGAGCTGTAAAATTATCCCAGCCCCATCACAAAATACACTTCACCACAACCTTTCAATAGCAATGAGTCGGAAAACAATGCCGCACTTGCCACTATTGTCCTTCCTTATATTCAAAACATCACTGACTACATATCAAAAGTTCTTAAAAAATGTAACTTCAAAACAAGATTTTCCGCTTGTCCAAAAATCTCTCAACATCTTCATTCCGTTCAGGACAAAATTACCAAATACCAGAAATTTACGAAAAACTATAAATTTTTCCATATAATCAATTCTTCTAAGAAACGAAGAATTAAATAAACAAACAATCTTACCCCCGACTCAGGTGTCCCCAATCTAGGAATCAGTCATCCGAGAACATGTCCATGCCCCTCCTTTTGCTCCGCGTACCTTAAAGGATATTTAAACAGGTACAGAGTTTCAGTACACAATTTCAGTTAAGCTCTGAAGAAGGCAACAAGATGATTCCCAAGTGCAATTCATCAACAACATCAACAGCATATTTGGGACAACCTGCATATTTACGAAATTATAGTATTATATAATAATGATGAATAAAATTTTAAAAAGTAACCGCACCAAAATTAAAACTTCTTGAAAACCTTTTATTTTGGCAATAACGTTACGTGCCCGAAAAACCCTGCGTAATTTGAAATATTAAACTTGATGCTAACGTTTTCTGAAAGCATGAGGCTTACTTTCATTTTGATGTGATAATAAACAAAAGCAATCAAAAAATAGCTCATTAATGTTTTAATAAATTCACCGTGCTACCTACATTCCTTCCTTCACGCTGGCCTTGTTATTGTTTTTTTGTTTTTGAATAACGATTGTGATCAAACCGAAGCGACCGTCAAAGTCCTTACGATATGACGATCAATATATTATTTTTGTGTGACAAAATATCGGTCATATACTTCTTCGACGTCGGCGTCGCGTCGACGCAGAAAGATGTTGGTTTAATGAATAGCAAACAAAGTGTCAAATTCTTTAAGGTGCGTCAGTCAAACATAAATTGCTTTTAAGAGTCTCGACTAGATATTAATTGAAGTTTAGTCACGGGTAGGATTTAATTCAGACATGTAATTAATTTTCCTTACTTGTTAGAAAATAATTTCGCAGCGATGCTAAATTTGCTCCGATGTTTCTAATTAAAGCCAGAAACCCATGAACTTTATCAGGCAAAAAAACATACTATCGATTTTCGCTTGACTTATTTCAATAGCTCGAATAAACGTGTTACCTGAAGTAAGATCTACCTTTTGTATCATTAGAGAGCATCTTGAGCAAAGTGAAATACTATGTTCCTATATTCCTGATTTGTTCTGGTACTGTGTAGACTATGCTGAGCGAACAACCAAAGAAATTCGATAAATAAGGAACAAGCTGCTGCTGTGTTTATTATAATAAATTGTAGCACATTTTCGCACTACACAAAAATGCAAACGTTTATTAAATGCAAGATTCAAGACACGAAAGTTTGTCTTTTCAATTCGATACTCGAGATGACAGCTCACTACGTACCTTTAATTTCTAAATTGTGTTGGTTAATTACTTTAAAAAATCATAGTTTGCATTATACACGGGATATAAAATATTATAAAATAACCCATATAGGGATTTGATCACTCAAAAAAAAGAAAATAAAGATTTGTCTGTTTTACAAAATTAAGATAAATTAAGTCTATAGCTCTAGCGATTAATGAAAAAATGAAAAAAGGAGATACTACCCTATACTGCACAGTACTGTCCAAATTCCAATAACTTAGTCATTATTAATCCCTGGCGATAAAGCTTCTTGATTTTCTATATCAGATTAACCATCCATATCTATATGAATGACGTTGTACTTATTATATTATACTTATAATTCGACCAGAATTATAGTGCTTTTACAACCGACCCCGTGATTAACTTTGCCTATTGTTTCTTACTTCAAAACTGCAGGCCCTTTTAGAACATCCTGCCGAGCAGACCCTTAACCGTAACCATTCCAGGACCGTCCTAGGAATTTACCTACCCTAACAAGCGGGATATAAGTATGTTTTCAATCTTTTTCGCCTAGCAATTCTTGAAAAGTGTATATAAAAAAATTAGTACAAAGTAACAATTTAACACGTTCTATGTCACTTGTTCTTATTGCTGCAATTTCTTATAAAATTGTAAGCATTCAACAATTTGTTTAGCATCGGAAGACAAATGGATCCGTTTTTTTATTTGCTGAAGTTGTTCGTCTTCTTGTCATTAGATTCGACCACCATCTCCACTTCGTCTTCAAATTCTGAGCTGTTTTCCATGTCTTCTTCTAACAAGGGAACATCTGCTTCATTGCACGGTTTTCAGACTTTAAAGTGTTAACGGGAACCTTCAAAAATTGTTTAATTGTAAGAATCTAACAAATATTTATCTGTATTCTTATGCCGTACCTTTATCTACAGCGAATATCATCTATAGTCTTCAAAAAGACTGTTGTTGTTTACAAATTGAAGAACTATGTAGAAGATACAAAGCTACAAGAAGAAGAAGGTTGTTAATCGACAGGCACACAAAACAAATATTAATATTTGCAAACTTACCTGTAAGATAGTACAGGTACTAACCCCTACCCTTTGAACTTGAAAGCTCGAGAATCAAGTACATAAATATGTACTTACTGGAAGTGTCACATTGAAATACCTCCGTAATATTTACGAACATATTTGAATTTAGATTAAACTCTTAAGAACGAACATATCACCTGATGTTAAAAAAAAAACGCTTCTACTTATTCGAAAATACTCCGCATCATCAATGCTTAACCACATTTAAAACGGTCCATTAACGTTTGAAATAAAAAAATTAAGTTTCTACAAATATTCATTACGGTCCATCTCGGGCAAGACTTACTTAAAGCAGAATAAACATTTTTTGTTTTAATTTAGTTTAGTTAGTCTACCACAGTCCTGCAAAGGTCTGCGGTTAATGTACTGTAAAATATTTAAAACGTCAAGGCAATAAATGCATTATCATTTTGGTCGTACAATACATAGATACATTAAAAGCAGCTTAAGAGAGCATTTGCTTAAAGTAAGCTTTAAAAATATTTCATTGAGACTCTCTTGTTAACGTGTCTTTTTGTAACACATCTTTTTGAGTCAGAGTTCATGCCAGAGTCAGAGAAATATATTATTAAGGAACGCCCTGTAATAGTAAGCCAAGTAATAAACATTATAAATGATGAACTTCTGACGCCAATCGCCTTTCCTTGATCTTGCTTGATACATTCGATTCAACCCCTGTCGGCCCTGTAGTTTCCGCACTAGCTCTACGTTATTTGCTTTATTTTGTTTTGGGTTCGTTTGATAAATAAATATTTGCGAGTTCCATATCTGAAAAATAACATTTCGCTTTTACGTAATTTTTCAGGGTACAATGTTTTGAAGCCTGGACCAACCTGCACAAATCTCCCATGTTCGGATGTATTTGTCCGAATAATCACATGAAAAAACGATGCGATAGGATATTTAGCATGGTGAACCACAATCCGTGTGTTGGTAAGTACAACTTTTATACTCTGCGATGTTAGATGACCGCTTTGAGAAAGAACTGCAATTCAATTATTATTTCTCAAGTAATACTATAGTCCCTTTAATCACTGCCCCAAGTCACAGGCAAACGACACAATTAAAAGTTTTTAAAGCGATTTAAAAAGTACAGATTTTGTTTCTGGACTGAATTAAATTCGTTTATTTCCGGTGGGTATTTTCGTATAACCTTTCTAAAAAACGTTTTTGTAGTATTTTGCTTAAAAATTTTCATAGTAAGTGGACTCGTAACTCGACTAAAAAATGTTAGGCTGGTTTCATCGAAACATTTCTTAGGAAAAAAATGTCTCGACTATATTGATTGTAATAAGGAGTCTTGGAAAGTGAATCATGAAATTTTACACATAGAAGAAAATCGACCATTTCGAACTCAACAGAAGCGCTAAATCACTTTAAACTGTCGGGAACTTAATGATATTCGACCTTCGATTCGTCGAACTTCGGCAAACTTCTTTCCTTTATACCACGGAATATTGCAGTTAAACTTTTCAAATATCCTACTAATAGGGAGTTTAAAAATTTTACGTGAGCCAAATTTGATATGCTCTATTACCTGTATATTACTAGTTTGGATTTTGTAGATTCGCAAATTACATTAAAGTTTTAGTTTTCATAAGGGCATCGATAATTTAAGAAAATAATCCCTAAATAGTATTATTAAAATTAAGTATTGTAAAATATATTTTTTGATTCCGATTTAAACGTTTTGTTAATGTAGCTAAGAAATTTGAGATATAAATTGGAGTTTATATCTATCAATTTCAGATTCAGGCGTTCTTAAAAATCAACCGTATTTTCAAAAGTTTAGCCAAATGTTATTTATAAATGCATCTCGGTTGTTTAATAGTGACAATAACATAATTGAATTGCTTTTTTTCTAGCTAGCCTAACAACGTTTTCTGTTTTCTACAAGCTCCGTTCACGTTGCACATTCACTTTACTGTTGGTGGAAAATGTTTTCCATTATTATAGGAATTAAGACGACATTTATGTGTTCCTAATTTCAGTGATACTGTATTGTTACCATTAATTGCAAATGTGGCGATTATATGAAGAAGAAAGTAGTGATGTACTGCAATTCACTGGTACATTCTTTGAGCTAAAATAATTGCATTTTTTCTACATACTAACTATACAGTATACAGGGGTGTCAAAGTTAGTGTTTTTATATTTTTATTAAAATCTGCGGGTGTTTTTAGAGTTACAAAGACCTTATTAGTGACTTAATTTGAACATAAATATCCTTAAGGATAAACTCAATGGTGACAATAATAACTCATTATATCCGTCATTACATCAGTTGCTTTTTTTATTTCTGATTTTTAAATTCAGATATAATTGTAAATATATCTTAACGTTAATAAAATTGTATTATAAATTTAAATTTTCAAAGGGATATCGGAATTATTAATAAATATACAATTAACGAATTGAGCTACTTTGTTATTACACAAAAATAAATCCTGTAGGAGTTCATTTCGAAATATGTGCGAACTGTGCAATTGATTAGTGAAATTAAAAATTTTGTTTCTTATTCTTCTAAAATTACTTTTATACATATAATAAATAATAACTAAACTACATAAATATATTCACTTGAACAACAAAAGATATATTATTTTCTATAGAATTATTATTTTTACTATTTTTTTTTCTATATTACATGAATCAGCGAAATCGTTCGCAAAAAGAGATATTTTGCTGGACATTGAGCGTGCTCTGAAAGTTTGTTAATTGTATTAGGTTTCGTAATTTTATGGAATTTTTTTAAATTAAATTTAATTAAAATAGAAATCTTTTCACTCGATGTATACGATTTGGGTACCGGAATACTGCTCAATGCCCGCTACATAACTCAAACTAATCAATGAAACTTGGCAAAGCTCCTTTCAATGAAAGCATTTTCCCCTTCCAGTAAACTATATGCATGTACCAGCACAGATACTAGTTGGCACAGGCACTGAAACGAAAGCAATGTATGGCACGATCACCAGAGTAGTATGGCATTTACGCATTCGGAGGGGATGCCTTCATCGGCCTCGTCGGTGGTCATTCACGCGGGTGAGAGTGCTTTCTTGACATTGCAAAAACAAAATATACTCCATTTACCTATAGATAATCGCTTCAATTTAAACCACGTTTAATTCGGTGACCTCTTAATATTGCCAGCGCCACAATTATTTAACTAGTTTTAGCTTTCTATCCCAACTGATATTTTTTTTAAAGCATGTAATAGTGTGACAACTAGTAGGTGGCGCGACAGTATCGATCTCTTCGTTACATAGAATTATTGGTTTTCCGTATTCGACAAGCTTTATAACTTTACTTTCGTAAATAATTTATTTCAATCACTGAAATAGGTTTAGGGGACTAAACTGAATCCAAATTTCTAAACTGATATTCATCTGACAACTGCGTACAAACTTATCGTTTACGAAAACATCAACAACACCTTACACCCTAAAGAATTATTGTCACTATTGTAACTCCCTACATTGGAATTCGACATCGGGCGTTACTGTTTATCAAATAATATTTTCTGCACGCGGATACATGCATACTGCGTTTCCTATTCGGCCAGCTTCGACTAATTTTCGTTAGTTTTGGTTAGTGAATTACATGAAAACAATTGTGGTAGAAAAATACGTCCCACTAGATCTGTACAAACCATTGCAAAAGAAAATATTTTTTTAACTTTTTGATTTCCAGAGTACGAGATATTAGGATATATATATATATATATATATATATATATATATATATATATATATATATATATATATATATATATATATATATATATATATATATATATCTTCAGAGGCCGCGCGTCCATGTCACTCGTACGTGTCCGCACTACTCCAGGGTCAAACAACGAACGGGTGAACACCCGGATTACCACCAATACACATAGTTCCATCCGTGAAGGACTAAAACAAAACATGTATATATATATATATATATATATATATATATATATATATATATATATATATATATATATATATATATATATAACTGACTGACAGTTTTGACTCATCGCTTACGAAATTTCAATAGTCCCTACCAATATAAATAATAAAAATGATAATACGAGGTATTTTTCTTAAAGTCGTCCCACAATTCATTCTATTAGCTGACCCTAAATTGATTGACCTCTGTGGCTTTCTCGCTGAATGTTGCCGAGTATATTATTTATAGATGGGTATGTTTTCTTGGGGTTCCCCGAAGTTGCAAAGATGATACGAACATGAAAACCCATTTACGTTTCCCCCATTTTTGATGTTGTTTGTTTAAGAGTTTGCAGGTGGCCAATAAATCTATGCGAAGGAAAATGCCAAGCCGATTAAGTTCTTCATACCTTTTTTCTTTAAATTCTCGAAACTGTTATTTTTAACTTCCGAAATGTTACAATAAAATTGATCTTATTATATTCAAAAATAATTTAAAATAATTCAGTAACTACCACCTGTGAAAGTTTTAAATGAATAATTCGTTTTTACGTCAAAATATCACACTATATCCAAAATAATTTTTTTTTAAACAAAACAGGTGCAGAAACAATCACTGGAAGTTGGTTAAATTTCTATGTCGAATTCATAAAGGTAATAAAAAACAATAGGTTAAATTTCAAATTTCAATGTTGCCACTGATTTCCTGCCACATTGCAAAAGCGAAAACATTTTTTAATTGTACGTCAGGGCCAATTATCACCATATACCAAGTTTCATGACAATATTTATTTTGGTTCTGATAACACGTCTAATGGATGTTCTCCCTGGGAAACCCTGTATATGTTTATATCATCTATCAGCGGCGTTTTAAATCATTTCATGATTTTCTTTACATATTGAAAAAAGAAATCTTTGGGCAACCTACGAAACCGAGGAGTAGCCCAAATTTGCCTAACGTAGAGAAAATTATTTTTATTAAATAATCTTTTAACAAGTGCAAATTAAATTTTAAATTGATTAAAATAAATTAAATAAAAAGTATAGGGCACAAATTATATATACATATATTTACGATTGACATATGAACATAGTATTTTAAATATCTTCGCCATTGAAATTAACTGATTAAAATAAATTAAAAAAATATATAGGGCACAAATTATGTATATATATTTATGATTGACATATAAATTTTAAATATTTTGATTTAAATATCATGATTAAAGAAGAGAGCAATTGATAAATAGTAGTACAGATGAGGCGTAGTATCATATAACATTGATGGGCATTAGATGATATGTCAAACCTGCTTTGTCCTCAAGAGAAAAAAACTACAGCTCTCGAAAAAATATAAAACTATATATTGTTTTAAGTTGAGTAAAAAAAGTACTATTCTAATGTTTTACGTGCAGTGACATTAGTTTTTAACATTTTCTCGTGGGGTGTACGCGATGAAAGTATAGCCCTTTTCAAAGGTATCTAAAAAACGCAACGTGTAGAAGTTTCACCATCAATGTTATATGAAGTCGGCAGAAAAATAATGTGTGAATCAACCCGTGTATATTTTCACGCTTTTTCTCTATTTTCAAATCAATTGAATAAAAGCGGACAAGATTACTACTAATTATGACCGACTAAATGTACTGTTATTATGAATCGATGCTGAAACCCCTTGTTAATAGCGGAAAAAAATATTTTCAAAGGATTGGACGTAAAGTTCGTTTTAGTTTTATTGCGTTAAAGCACACAAACTTGTCTTGGTCTCGTCTACGGAGCGAGCGCTACTTTTCCAATGATCAAATCAATACCTCATCAGGATTCCGGAAACGTCTTGCACTGTAATAGAACAATTTATATAATCGGGTCATATGCTCGGATCATGAGTTGTAAAATAATAAGAATATCAGACACAATTTTCGGTTTCGGACGTTGGCAGTTTTTGTTTTTGTTTTATTTTCGCGGTTCAACGTCCCTTGACTTATGGCAGCCTGCGTCGCAAAAAATGGGAAAGCAATTTGCCGAGGAGGGTAGTTATGGAAACGGCAAGGATGCGATAACGTCTTGATCGAAAGAAAAAGTATAATACGTGCAGCAGGATTTAGGAAACGGCATCACTCGAATTCTTATGTGTTGTGTTGCTAAGTGTCGGCTTAACTTGGTCACTTTCGTAAAAGAGGATTTTGGCGTGTCTTCGCGAGTAGAGCTTTTACAGTTTAATAGTGGCCTTTGCAGCAAGTCTTTCAAAATCTCGTGCATCTATATACAGTGTGCTATAAAAATTGCTACACCCAGAACAATTAATAAAGTTTTATCGGTTGATTGCTCGATTTAAGTGTAGCAAATAATATCATTTTATTTAAAACTAAGAATTGTATTCCTACCAGAGGCTTTCGAGAAATTAGGACAAGGATGTTGAGCAGAGTACATCATCTTACCATGCAAATCAGAGGGCTTTGAGAAAAACCAGTGATCGCAAAGAACGGTTCCTAAGATTTAGTGCAATCGAATATGACTTTAGAGCAGCCATGAGATCGATCGGACCTGGTGTCAAGAAGGAGGAGGTGCTCGCGATAGTTGTATAAGACCAACGCTTAGTTCTACATTAATAACATGTTACAACCTGTCGACAACTGCAAGATCTATTTTTTCAGCAGAATAATGCAAGACCACATACCACTACTGCACTTAGAAGAAACTTTCTCCGACAGGCTAAAGTAACTGTTTTTTGTGGCCCGTACGGACACCAGACTTATTGCTTATTGAACATGAAATGTAATACGTAGAAGGCTAAGTCGGTTGCCTTTTTATACTGTGTACATTTAAGACGGGTTTATACCTTATCTCGAAACCTACTTGGGTAACAAAAAAAAATTAAATACAAAATACACTTTTTTATTTACAGGGTGGTAAAACCAAGTTACATTTTTTCAATTGAATACCCTACATTTATTGCTTTTTTGGATAGTCCTTTCAAAGACAAATTCAACGATATATATAGGTATGCGCCTGTGATGCACCGTTTTGAACCTATTAGCGATTATCTTCAGAATTCGGGTTATGTTTAATCCGTCATTGTTGGGTTGCCAATTAACTTTTTAAAATACGCAATGTTGCCACGTTTCGCAAAATGATACTTTAATAGCAGTTTCAATTATTTCTCTCTCTGACTTACCGTTTTGGCTTAATTGGCAATTATTTTCAAATAATGTTTTTAAAAAATATATAGAAAATATGCTGCTAGATATTCTTCTGCATTTTGAAAATAGTCCAGAGACCTCCACCCGCCTTGGCGCTTCAGAGACCTAAGACGAACCACACTTCAAACATGTTTAAAAATTAACAGTTATAAGCCATTTAAATTCACCCCGGTACAAAAACTACAAGATGCCAAGATGCAGATTTTAACTTAACATTCGAATTTTGCAATATAATGATGGATAGGCATTGTTTAGATAAAGTATTTCAAATTATAATTTGGACCGATTAATCAATATTTACAACATCTGCAATGTTATTTAATAGAAAAAATACGCATTATTGAAGTTCAGATAATAAAAAAAGTGTTCTTGAAGTAAACAAGCAGGGCGAAGATCCGTGAAAGTATGGTGCGCAATCTGGAGATCTAGAATTTTATTACCCATATTTTACCAACAAAATTTAACATCCGTACGATATTTAAACTTATTAAGGAACGAAATTCGGCCACTTATACATAATAATATTCTCCAAAGAGAGCATGCAAATCTAATTTGGCAGCAAGATGGCGCCACTTACCATCGAAATGCTGCAATCATTCGTTTTTTAAACGAAAATTTCAGAGAGTGGATTGGACAAAAAGGAAACATCTCCTGGTCAGCGAGGAGTCCAGATTTGACGTCGATGGACTTTTGTTTGTGGGGCACATTGAAAGATATGGTTTACAAAGATAAACCGTCAACATATACTACTTGTATTCTTCAAAATGGCGGAAATATTGAAAAACTTAGTTAATTAATTTTACTTGAAAGTAATAGGCATTAGTAATTAGTGTTAATTGTTTGTAGTCATTTCGAGTAGACATTTAAACGTAGAAATAAATAATTTGCGAAATTAGGCAACATTGTTCAAAGCTTAATATTCTGTTTTTAATATGACTTCTTGACAATGCTCTAAAACGGTTGTAAACAAGTTGATACCTAGTTTTTAATTTTATCAGCCAATTAAACCAAAACGGTAAATCAAAGACCCGTACTATGTTGTACAATTGCACAATATATTATATATTATATATAGATACCTCATTTAAGAAAATTTAGAAAAGTGTCATTTTGTGAAACGTGGGAACACGGCGTATTTTAAGAAAATATTTTAAATTTGATCATTGCCTAAAGAAAAGCATTATTTTCGTATTTCGTATTTCGCAAAAATGTAAGGTGTCCTATGCAAAAAAATTAAACTTTGTTTTACCACACTGTATATAAAAAAGTGACGATTAGGAAAATAAAAAAAGTCGTTTTAACAGAAACAACTTTTGTATTTAATTTTTTTTTCTACTACCTTCTGTAAAATGCATAATTACACTTCGATCTAGCGTGCGGGAAACGTCACTTTACCACGTCAGTTTCGATTCCCATGGATTTTGCCGCACTGGTTTGGGAGCAATCGGATAGTTTCGGAGATATTTCCCACGCTTTCAATTTTGACGTTTGTCAATTCTGATGGTCATGTCAGTGAATGTATTCGTGTTTTCCGAGAATGTATCCCAAAAACTAACGGTCGTAGAAAAGGTAAAGTATGCAACATGTTCGGTAAACTGTTTAAGTCACTCGTCTATTAAACGCTCGATCCGCTGCGCTCCGAATGCCGTTTAACGCACTTGTTGCATAATATACTATTTTAACCACCGTAGGTTTTAAGATAAGGTATAGGCCCCTCTTAGACAGGTCATCCTGTACAACTTGGCAATATCATCGGTTCTTATTCATAATAATCACAACTACTACCCAAAAAATTAATAAAGTATATTTACAGTTGCAATTTCTATGTGACACGGTATATTGAAAGTAACACTTTGTAGATCGAAATATACAAATTCGCAAATGAGGTAAGGGACCGGATATGTGACTCATTGCATGGCGGAAATGAAGCTGCTGAAAATTTAATGTTATTTTGCGAACACTAAACAATGATTGAGTTTATCCGACCGATCGCGGAAAGTTTTCAAACTAATACGAGCTGAAATGCCGCTGTAGTAAATTCAAAATTATTTGTGGCGGGTTGACGCGTCACCTAGAAGAGATAAGAATTACCGCTTTTTATTGATCATAAATAACAATAATAACGATAATGCCATCTAATATTGATAGGTTTGCAATGGTGATCTGTATAATCCCCAAGAGGCATCAACTTTCTCATTTTAAATTGCACCTTGAACATTTTGAACCAGCAGTAATGCTTATTTTCAAAATGGCACCACAGACACCGTCTATTTTCGGGCTGTGGAACTTTTTAGGTGCACTTCTTCTGGATCTCATCACCAGCTAATTATGTTCATATTCTTCATTATAATAATAAAATTATGGCTTTAAAAATACAAAATTGTAAGATATTGTGTTCTAAGTAACTGCATCACCTTGTGATATGCATAGCGGATAATTGTAGCGAAACCCAACAGCATTTATTGTTCAATCGATCATATGTTCATTCGGTGGCTCAAATAAAAATTTATGGATTTTTGTTACTTATAATCTTAGAATAATATTCTCTCTCAGTTAACAGTAAGTAAGTTCTTCTTCATTTTTGCTACAAAAATTTCTCATTTTTTCCAAAATGACGTAACACTTGGACACCGATAAGCTACAATTATCTCTTAATAACTTAGATACTAGTCAGACATTCACAAAAAGTTTCTTTCGCAGCATTATTTTTTCAACCAAAATGTAACCTAATAGAACAAAACCGCTATGCTCTTAATCGAAGTTTTTAAAACCTTCAAAATTTAACAATTTCGCCTACCAGAATCAGATGGACGTCCGTCATCGTATCACTAAGCAAGCCAGAATTAAGTCAAAGTCTACGAAAATAATAATTAGTTGCAAACGAAAATTGCAATCTTTTTTTCCAAATCAATATCTGAATATAACCATAGTCAATCTTCAAGTCCCAGTACTGTAGGCAACGCAATGGCAATACAATTTTGTCCTGTTCTAATGAGGATGTTGCTGCTTTGATAGTACTAGAAAGGCAAGCTCAGAAATATTTACATCTTTTTATGTCGTTTATGTAGAAACTGTACACATGAGTGCAACTTAACAAGATTAATAGAGGCATATTAGAGGAAATAATACAACCATTCACTAGTAAATTTTCAACTTCGTAACAGTTTACAACGATAAGAGAATCGAAAAACTGGGAAATGGTGTATATTTTGTAAATACCGTACTTGCCATTTTAAATCGCGAGGTTCACTTAAAGTTATTTCAGCTTCAGACAATACCTCAACATACTACGACGACATAACGCTTAAAAATCCGCTGGTAGACGCGATCCATGGCCAAGAAGCTCATGCGGGCTACGACCGCATATCTGTTTCCGTTTTAAAGAACAAACCTTACAGCGACCACCGGCAGTATCCTGAAGAGGAAGAAACACAACCGAATGGTCAAACGGGAAACGCAATACATCAAAGTACGTATTTCCCTGTGCTGCTGTATACTCAATGTTATCTGTGTAGCTTTATGTTCAGCTAACTATACGGCCGATGTCTTGTGTTAGTGTAACGTGGAATATATTTTTTCCTTTACTCGACACTAATACCTTCGGGGTAGGATTTGTGGTACGCATGTATTCGCGTATTGGACAGTGTGTAATTCCAATGCATGTCAAGTTTCTGGTAATTCGTGTGTATCATGATAGGGTGGTTCGACTAAGTTGGTCCAACGCTCTATTTGAGTGATCCATTCTATAACGTCGCATCTACGGCCATCTAAATGAATTTCTGCGCACATTTTGAGACCATTAATGTGCCATTTAACTTTAAAATCGCAAAAACTAAAAACTTTAGAAAATTTAAACATGATTTTTTCGAATAGTTAACGTTTCATAAATTTCATAAAATGTCTGAACTTCTCGTGACACGCTTTTTAGACGTTGTAGATAAAATAGGTAAACCTGCAACTAGGCATCGAACGATCTAATGATGGATGGAATTTCCAAAAATTAGTTCATTAGTTTGTGCATGGAATGATGCCAAAAGCACTTTTATGTTGCAAATCTAAAGTTCGACCGTATTAATCATTAGACTATCGAGTTCTAGACTACTCGGTAAGCAACAATTTGAGTAAAAAGTAAGTAACGGAAACTTGTTCTTTGGAATCAGAAGATCAACCACCATATTAAAATGTCTGACAAAATTGACTGGGTTTATAACGAAAATGATATTCTCTTTAACAGTCGATTCATGTGTTATAATCATTCAAATAATTTTCATTATTTTCCTACTATTTATTCTTCCGCCTGTTATTCGCATTATGAAATATTATTTAATCAAAACGTAATAATTTTATTAGCTGGCTTTTCATGTATCGTCGAAAATGGCCTTTTGTCTGACGGTGTGTTATAAAATGTTCAGCCTTTCATGACACTGCTAGTTAGAATAAACGTCTGCAGTATATACATTAAACGCTTACAAATTGGATATGCAATGCAAAAATAAGATTGCCAATTATTAAATATTTCTGAGATTCATGAAAAGTGCTGATGAATCCAAGCTAATTTACTTTTTCTACTCCGTACTCTAAAATATCCAATTAATGTCGTCTAGTTTATCAGATCTCTTGTACAAAAGTGTACCCAAAAAATAATGGAAAAAGTGTAGCCTGCAATATGTTGATAAACTAACAACTTCACAATGATCTTTTTAGATGAAAAGGTTTGAATTCATTTGAAGACGATTCTAAGGAATCACGTCTCCCTCAGTAGGTTATATGGTGCTAATGGTAATTATTTCACACCAAAATTTTAATAGTAGAGTTCTCCGAACGATATACCGTTTTTACTACATAATCCGGTGTTTAACTTTGGTCAATTTTTATGAAGGTCTAACCGTAGGCTTACCTCACTTGGGTTTCTCTATGTAAACCTCAATAAATAGATTCGCAATTCCACGACACTCCAGAACCGTACTTCGGTACATCGTGCATACAAATGCTCAAATTTGTGTGATTTGTGTAGAGTTTGATCGATGAGATTCCTCGAATATTATTAGTGCACATAGTGAAAAATCCATTGTTACTTCAAAATGTTTATTATAAATATAAATGAAGGAATAAATTTAGCTATAAAAGAATTTTTATATAAAAAAAGTTATTCTATATCAAAATTATCACTGGACTCGTCCTCAACATTAATAATTTATTCCGAATCTAGTCGACTTCTGTAAACATTTTCTTCTTCGATGACATGTTCTACACATTTTTTCCAACTAGAAGCAAATGTTTTTTCTACTTCACTTCTAATTAATTCTATTGCCCCAAAAACTAAATTTTTTCTTTACCTGGGTTTCAGCTTTCCCCATATCAGTTACAACTTTGATTCCCCGCTCCATAGCCAACTTGTCATTATTGCCATTATACTTTTTATCAATTGTTCCCATCTTAAGAACTTCCAATAACCGCTTCTTTGTATAGCAATTTTTAAAATAGATATCATTTTCAAGCAAAAAATTTTGAATGACTTGTTTAGTCGATGATGAATACTAATTACAAACACAAGACGGAATAGAAATAACTCCAAAGCTTCGACAGCTAAGACAATACCGTTTCATAAAACTGACAGCATACTCCGACTTCACCAACCCCCACAAATCAACCAATAGTAAACTGAGAAATCATCCATTATAAATCAATTATCTATATAATATTTTGTATTGCTTTACTATAAAAATACTTTAATGTCATAATGTTAAATCTTAAAATTGGAAATCAGTTTAAGCTATCTAATGTGTTTTAAATGTGTGTCTAATGGGCACATTCAACTTAAAAGCGAGCTACATCAATTAGGGTCTGCTTTAGGAAGATTTATAAAAAGCACACTAATATGAATTAATAATTTTAATCAAAGCAACACCTTAAATACGACCTTGGCTTGGCTTGACGTGGTGAAAACAATGAACTCTTCTGCTTTACAACAGGCGGATCTTAAACTCATTCCGAAGTCAAAACCATAAAAGGTTGTAAAAATGGTATATGGCTTGGAGAACTCTAACCATTCTACAAAAATTTGTTACAGTACCACAAATAATTGAAGAGTTTTTACGTCTAAATACTCAATCCCTGAATGATAAAATAGTGTGAAAGCTCATCGGTAGTGCTTAAACAATTACGCTACAGCACTGGGTGTACTTCTCTTAAAGAACTTCCAATGGTGCAATTTTACTTCAACTAAAACTGCTGGTAGTCATACAATTTTGAGGAAATTATTCTTCGATAATTCAACAGTTTGGTATGCTTAATGCCGTAAAATGCGAATGTCAAATTATGTAACTAGGAACGCAATTACTGGGCTGGTAAATAGCGTTTAAACGAAACTAACGGCAGCGAATCATTTCCCAAATGGAGGTCGTAATGCCATTTCAAACGGTTCATATTAACGAAACACTATGGAGGTTAAATTAAGCAACGTTAGCGGAAATATCCGAATTTCATTCGCCAACGACACCAGTAATGAGCCAAATATGGCGAGAAAATGATCGTGTATAACTATTTTTCATCATCGTAGGAAAGGAAAAGGTGGAACGCATCGCAAAAAAAACTGTTGAATACAATGAATCGAAAACGGTACCTAAACGAAAAGTTCCTGCGTGCAACTCCACTTACCTCATTCCAAACGTCAGTTTTAATATCTTATAAATATTTTTCGTTAAAGAGGTGAAAAAATTAAAATCTCCGTTCATCTTCAGGGTAAATTTTGAATACATGGATCGTATAATGCAAGATGTGGAAATTGTATAAAATTTGATTTTGTAAGATCAGAGCATAACATATACCGGGTGACACAAGAAAGTGAACATTCTACTCGTATAACTTTTAAACGGCTTGAGATAGTAATTTGAAATTCGGACAGTAACTTTCGAATTTTAAATGGCACACTCGATATTTTTTTGCATTTTTGTATTCCGCAGATCATTTTACGTAGGATTGGTTTTTCTCACTTTTTTTTTTATTTGAAGTTAATTTTGAAAATTGTGTCTAGAAGGCTGTGACCATCATAAATACTATTGACCGGGTCAACGGATCACGTGAAAAATTGTAAATGAAACTTTTCTTAACTTGTCTTCCTTGAATCTGGTTTTTTTCTTTCTACTGCATGAGAGTGTCTAGAGTTTCTTCTGTATTTTTAATCTTACCGACTTGAACGTTGATAATGAATAGAAGCAAAACCACCTTATTAATATTTTGTTTTTATAAAAATGTATTTACTTATCTCATTCCTGTGAGCTTATTTTTTAACGTATTTTGAAAATTTTTCCCATGATCAGGTGACTCGGTAAATAGTATTTATGATCATCATAGCCTCCTAGACACAATTTTCAAAAAATAAATAAAAATTAAAAAAAAACAAAAAAAAGAGAAAAACCGTCCTATCCTACGTAGGAGGAGATCGTGCCATTTAAAATTCGAAAGTTACTGTCGTCGTCTCCGCTGAAACCGGAAGTGCAACCATTTACTAAATATTGTCAAAAAATTGGACATTCAGGCTCTCTCTCTAACTCTTCCAAATTTGAACTCGCAGTCTCAATGCGTTTAAAAGTTCTAGAGTGTTCCCACTTTCTTGTGTCACGCGGTATAGTAATACTATATCATGCAACAAGTGCGGTAAACGGCATTTGACTCACGAGTTTATTTGACACGAGCGGAGCGAGTTTTTAATAAACGAGTGACTTAAAAAGTTTACCGAACGTGTTGCATACTATACTTTTTCTACGACCGTTAGTTTTTGGGTACATTTTCGCAAAACAACAGGAATACATTCAATGACATGACCGTCCGAATTGTCAAACGTCAAAATTTAAGGCGTGGGAAATATCTCTGAAAACATCCGATTGCTCCCAAACTCATGCGGTAAAATCCCGGAAATGTCCAAAGAGGCTCGGATTTGTGGTGACGTGGTAAAGTGACTCTTCTTGCACGCTAGATCGGTGTGTAGTTAGGCATTTTGTAGACGGGAGTAGAAAATAGTATATTATGCAATAAGTACGGTAAACGGCATCTGATTCACGAGTTTATTTGATACGAGCGAAGCGCAGCGGAGCGAGTTTTTAATAAACGAAAAATATACGTATACGTAAACATCTCGTGTAAAACGATGGTAATAAATTTAATTTCAAGATTAATGAAGACAGTAATGCTACTTCGCATATTAAACAGTAAACAGAATGAAATATTAACTCTTAACAAATGACCATTAGATTAACCGAAGTGACCGTAAAGTCAATCGAAGAATAATTGCTAAGAACTAACAATAATGAAAAATGCAAGTACAAAATGTAGGTGCAGGATATTAAAATGTCGTTATATCTCCATAAAACGCATTCTTTGTAAAGTTTTGTGTGAGTTTTTTTTCAGGGAGATCGTTTTATTTCATTTATTTCGGTCGACCATTATTGCATGATGTTCATCTATAATCTATAGCGTAGAATAACCAAAGCAGCTTTTTATTTGCATATATTATTATATGTGTTCATTCCTACATAAAAAGTTTGCAAATATTCGTGGAGCAAATTAACAATGTTATTGTTTATGGTAACTGCAATGGGTAGTAACACAGAATATAGCTTTGATTAGGCTCATATTGCCTCTGCAGTCTTCAGCTTCGACACAGAAATCATTTACTGAAATGAAAGAGCAACCAAAAAAGTAATTTCAACCTTAAAAATATACATATAGAGTTTGTGCTGTGTGATGTTTTCCGTGATTACTAGAGAACATGAAATACGTAATGCTGATAATGACGGTTATTAAAAATAGAAAAAAAAACGCGAATTTACTATTTATTTATTTATCTTGCCGAAGCAAGCAATGAAACGTTAAACTATCTTTATATTCTTAAAATAATTGCCGAAACAGGACAAAAAGAAATCATTCCTCGGCAAAGAAAAGTTCCGGAGCAGGGTTATACTCGTTTTAATATATTATTTCCGTTTTCGATAGAGATGTGAAAAACCTTACAATTGCAGTTTACGCCAAGTGCACCAGCACATATTACCGTAGTTAGTGAACTGAACGAACTTGAATCCCCAGTGGAACGTATGCTTTTCAGGGTGTGGTATTTTACCCCTTCCATCCTTGCTTAAAAAATCTGCATTTTTCATTGGCAAACTAGTCGAGTTCTAAGTTCATAGTAAGGAATATTTCGCAGGTACTTCGGAGGAAGTGGAGCGTGAAAAGCTTGTATTTCAAAGCACATGTCACACGGCAATGGAAAGCTGCAACAATAATTACCAGTGCCGGAGATTGTTGTCGCCCGTTTTGTTACACTGCGATGTGTCGCATTGTAATAGGAACTCGTGCATGGAGGCCCTTCAGGGCTTCTATGGCAAACCGAACTTTCACTGGAACGTCGAAATTGCCTTTTGTTTGTGCAAGTAAGAATTTGCGTTTATACCCTTTTTAATTAATAATTGTTAAGCTGTTTTTATTTAGTTTTGGAGAAATCGAAATTACATACCTAAAACCGCATATCCACACTCCGCACATACACATGTTCGGTGCGAACCCAATAGAAAAACATTTCATGACTATCAAGAAGTGTACAAAATATAAATAAATTAATTATAAATTGAAAGACGAGTTCAATAACACATAACCATATTTGGATCTGGATTTATTCCTATTAATAGCTCTAAAAAAAATTAATTAATTAGGTTTAGTGGCTAAAACAAATGAACTTTCATTAGACCCACGTATTTGATTTCCGCACGGTTTAAGAAATATTTAAGGTTATGTGACTTCTTGAAAAATCAACATATTAAGAAAAGCTCAGAAAATAGATATTAGGCTACCTGATAATATTTTCAACACACTCACTTAATAAATTTTCATGATTTTCGAGTCTAGAAGTACACCTTCCGCTTTTTTTATTCGAGAAAATGGAGGATATATAGATAACACATGTAGAATTTGATAAAATTAATTCACTTTCCACATATTCGTCCTTTAAATCTCTCTAAATGTAAAATTAAAAGTTTTTGTTCATTTTTACAGTATTGTTATATTATTTGTCTTAGATACACACTTTTACTTTAGCAAAGTTTGGTTATATATGTAATTATATAGGTATAGATGTTTTACGCGCTTTCTCCTACTGTATTGATAAAAAATTATACAGTATAATTATATACTCGAAAATCATGAAGGTACATTAAATCTAAGTCTACCATCTATTTTGAGAGCTTTTCTTAATACACAGGTTTTTCAATAACAACTTAGATAACCTAAAAGATTTCCTAAAACCTTGCGGAAGTCAAATAAGTAGGGTAGGTTTCATATATAATGTATAATCAATAAGTGAATAATCTAAAAATTCCCTTAAATACGTCATTTTAACATTTCTTGATAACTATTATACGTTGTAACAAAAGCATATGTAAACACCCTGTAATGAATTAAACGTGGTCGATCTTGTTGCCAAAGGCAAAGCTAAGGTTTAAATACTGTCAACCTGTAATAAAATATACGGGATGTTTCATTTAAAAAGTCAAAGGTTAGGTTTACCATCATAAACTATTAGTTTTGGTTAGTTAAGAATAGAGAAAACAAATTCTGTATTAAGAGCTTTTTTTCATCTCATTTAATAAAGCCAACAAGAGCTCTTTGTACACATTCAGGATCTCTTGCGAAATTGCTTCGAATTCGGAAGGTAATAAATTGTTTTTGCAAACGCAACGACCGTGATAGTTCATGGCTGCATCCACATTGGTAGATCACACTCACGGAACACACACACACACATACACACACGTTATCACCGTCAAATTTAAGCGTTTACTTTAAAATTAAAATGCTTAAAACATGTTGCAGAAAGACTGACAACAAACAAGACGCTTGCGTAATTGCGCAAGAAAAATTACATCCGATATGTGCCCAGAGAACTGAAGAATCACCTCAACCCACATGTCTCCACATGGCTGAAGCATGTAAAGAAAGTAGTTCTTGCAGGTAACCAATTATCTCGTAAACTTCAGGAAACCAGTTTTGTGTTAAAAAAAATAAAAAGTCACTTGTAATTTTTTGCTTTCGTAAATTGTTTTATTACATGTTGGTTAGTAAATAACAACGGGAAAATGTTTTAAAAGTCATTTTTAAGGTTATTTCTGAGTTACAAAAAAATAGAATTTAAAAAACTTGGGACGCTTTGTAGCGTTACTGAGAAAAATAAATTACTTGGGCTAAAATACTAATATTACATTTTACACAAATGGTTTCATACATGAGTATTTAAGATATCAAACGAAAAAGGTATCAGAAATTGCAATGTTGCATGCCCGTGGTGATATTTAACAAACATCGGTTTCACACAGTAAACCACGGTCACATATTTTACCCGCAAAATTAATTGCCAATTTAATTTGGATCACTTACAGAGCGAAACTTGAATATTACGAGCAATCCTGTGCGGTCGATAGTGTAACGAAAAAATGCGCGGGCTCTCCAGTCGAGTGCAGGAAATCAATCCTAGCTATATTGGGGACAGATCTGAGAACTACTTGTGCTTGTAAAGGAGCGGACATTAGCCAATTATATGAATGTTTGGGATGGCAGCGACTGCTCTGGGTCAATCCGTGCGTTGGTAAGTGAATTTTTCGACAAACAAATTGAAATAAGATGCTAATTATCGGAAAAAGAAAAAATTTCAGCAAGCTCAAGCTCGAATAGCTTTAAATTATTTTGTGTCAATTAAAAAACATAAAAATTCAAGAACGAGGGTAATTTATTTATTTAAAAAAAGTTGTGAATCTCATTTTGTATTTTTTTTAGTCGATGCGCAGAAGCACTATCACATGAAGAAAGCCGCGGAACAAAGTAGACTTACTACTCACATCCCTACCACGCGAACAACAACCAGCACTACTACCACCACAACCAGTACCACCACCACGGTCCATCTGACAGATATGAAATCGGTTACAGAAGCCTCACTGAGGGCGAATACCATCATCGAGTTTGTGCCTCCCCCTCAAGCTTTCGTACCTACATCGACCACCGCCGCTCCGACCACAACTGCTAGGAAGACTACGACCAAACGAACTAGGCCCACTACGACTTCTACTACAGTACCACCAAGTAAGTATCAAATCTGTTTTGGAATACTAGTTGATTAAAATGCGTTTGAAAAATAACTGGAAATGTACTTATATCGAAAATTTCACACCAGTAGTTTTTAAACAATTGAAATTGATGTTTTTGACAGGTAGCCATGGTAACGCACGTGCGTAAATTAGTATAAAACATTTTTATTTCCAAACAGATTTGGCGTGAAATTTTCATATCGAATTTCCCTCATAGCCAAATTAATCTATTAAAATGTTTTTTTCTTATTGTAAATAGGACACTTTGTATATTATTGCATTTAAATTCTTTACAATGTTCTAGATATAAGATATAATATATACAAATAAAATTCACAAATTTCACAGTAGTTAAGCAATATCTTTTTATTCTATATTTTTATTTTTATATATTTTTTCAAATAGCACCTTTGTAGAAACAGGATCTTTTTAATTCAGAAACTGCCCCATGGGAAGATAAAACGATGTGCTTCTCTCACTTTTTTGTAATACCCGATATACGGTTTATACGAATTCAGATTTTACCTTTTCAATATTTCCCGATGCATTTTTAGGGTCGTGTGTGGTGCAACGTCCTCAATTTCCAGACCAGTTTATCACGGAGGGAAGCTTTAAACGAGTAAGTTGTTATTTAGCGTTATCCGCGACGTTTTACTGATAGAACAAAAACGGGTTGTTTTTATCCTCAGACTTCTAAAACCAATCACACCAAGAAACGCAAAGAATGGATTTTTTTGATTGAGATATATTTAGAATTATGTCAAAAATTAATTTTCATTTCTTGTTATTCAAATTATTTATATAGATTAGATACGTGTTATCTAATTACTATCATTATAGGTTTTTAATATTAATTTTTATTATTTATGAATTATTAAATAGGTATTTAAAAAATTAATACCGACTGTAAAGAGCAACTTAAAATTTGAACGATTTAATATAGGTTAAATGCGACCTAGTGCAGTTTAAAAAGCTCGTAATCAAAAATGTCTAATTTTGGACTACAAATCGATTCAAATTAAAGCTTCTTCTTTCATATCATTATGCAGGTGTATTAAGACAGGTATATTGACAAAAATGTTGAAGAATCATCTCTAGTCGTCTTGCACCAATAACTCAATTAATTATTAATTATATTTTATACGTGGGGTTTGCTATTAAATAATAATAAAAATTAATAATAAAGGAAACTTTTCTTACTTTCAAGGCAAGAACCACTTTGAAATTTCATTCACAGAGTGTCCCAAAAATGTTCACTTTTGTTTTGATATATATTAATGATAAAAATTCTTCCGTTTAAATATAGAGTTCTGGATTTTATGGTACTTTCAAATAAACAAATAACACATCTACAATGTTTCCATACATATATTTAAACCTATCTTCCACCATTTTTAATTATTAGAAATATTAGAAGTATTTTCCTGTTTTCGCAAAACTCTAGGAGTTATTGAGTGGTGCTAGGTGAAGCTAATTACATGCTCAAAACATATCGCTTTATTGATCTTTAAAAATAATACAAAAGTTTTAAAAACTTAAAGAACACACATTTCCTATATATATATATATATATATATATATATATATATATATATATATATATATATATATATATATATATATATATATATTACAATGTTGTTCATTAAAATACGCAGTTGATGCTTTTGTCCGCACCTAAAACCATTAAAGTTTTCAATATGGTCAGTAATGAAATTACGAAGAACAGATTAACTGCCAATGAAATAATCGACGATTGTCGTTCAATTCCCTTTGTTATCTCGTGTAGTATATAGACAAGTTTTACTGAACTTTACAACATAAAATTTTTCAATTTTTGTACGAAAACCTTGGCAGCTCGAAAACTAAAAAAATCTTATCTGGAGTATGTATTTCTATTATAAAATAATAGGAGTGGACTTTTTTCGAATTACACTTCTGGCATCTCCATCAACTTTTACTGGTCTCCCTGAAACTGCTGCCTGCTGACTTTCTCTAACTTTTCGGCTCCAGTCATTCGGGAACATCCGACAGTTTCTTGCACAGTAAAATTCGGGTGGGCGTATTTTATGAAAATGAAATTCACTCACTGAAAGTGGAGAATTATTGGCACATCTTTCCTTTGATGTGAGTTTCGCTATAAGTGTAAATCCAACCTTTTTTTTGTTAAACTAAACAATATACTCATAAAGGTGCGACTTTAAGTATGTCTTAAATACTCAGTCATTAAAGTCATTCCTTAACATTTACTACGTCATAAGAAGGTAAGTGGTCAAAAATTTATTAGTATCGGATTTCCAAGAGGGGATCAAAACTAATTTCATTGAATTTCATTCGACTTTACCTACACTTGGACCGAACATGCCGTTTTATTGCTCCGCACTTTTTTGAAATAGTCTATAGCAACATTTGTATAGCGCCAGTTAGGCTTAATCTTAACCTAAAGTTTCTGGATTTCGTTTTTTTTTTCCTCAGATTTACCACGAAGACGAATTCGAATGTTCCGACGTGTGCGAATGCGAAATAGGGGAAAAATTGTCGTGCCGAACCATTTGCATCGATCGGATGCCTTGCAAGACGGAATTCGCATTTTACAACCACGCCGCGCCGGCATACCAGGCGTTTCGGGGTCGGTGCCTCTGTTACTCAGGAAGATTTATCTGCATGAAGCCATCTCCCATGGATTACTCCTTGCCGCACGGCGTGTACTTATTTCTCGGATACAGCGAGGTTGATGAAAGAGAGTTGAACAGGAACCATACGACACATCTGGTTGTTATTCAGGACGTTGTCAGGGTTTTGCAGAATTTTATAAGGGATATAAACGAGGTAGGTGTGGACACAGATAAGGGAAAATCAGAATTGCATAAGTGTTTTCTGAGTTCGGGAACATTGTTACGTCTTGAACTGTGGTGGCTTTTACTTGATGAAAATCCATTTATCAAAATAAATAAGAACTAAAAGTTCAGATTTTCACGAAATTATATATTATGACATGACAATTGTTTCAACAACACTGTGTCTTTATCAAATGACATTTGAACAACTGTCATGTCATAATATATAATTTCGTGAAAAGCTGAACTTTTAGTTCTTATTTATTTTGATTGTTACGTCTTTCTTCGCTTAATTTCAACAAACCTAAAAATTTATTTCTTGGAAAATTAATAATAATGCCACTAAGTCATTCAATTCAGGTTTTAAGCAGGATCTGAAATAGGCGATGAATCTCATCATTTAAGCAAAAAAGTGTATACAAATTAAATTTTTATTAAAATATGCTGACTTTTGAAGATGTCGATTTACAATTTGATGTGCGTGGTTAATGCTTTTTAGAAAATTATCATTTTCAGCATTTCAAAGATTTCTATCCTCCTACAACTTTTTCGAAACACGCCTCCGACTGTCTACTGGCTAACTACTGACCAAGATCTTCTCATGTTTATATGATCTTTTCTGCTTAAAATTTAATTTAATTTTAATTTGTGCCTTAAAACGAACAATTAAATCAAGTTAATTCAAGTTATGAATCGCATGACATAAATAATGTGGAATCAGTTCGATTTTGTTGGTATTTTACTATTTTTAGTATAACTTTCACGCTTTAGACATAAATTTGAAATTTATAGACATAGATAAATTTATACACATCGTAATATTTTACCTAAAAGACATAAAAGCTATTGAAATCAGATCGCTTAAGACTAGCCGACATTTTTCTTATGTTCATAACATTTTAAGGATCATAATTTTATGTGTCATTTATTTACAGATCATTTAATTTGCATGTTGTGACATATACTAATAATAAAAAGTTTAAAATAAATAAATTCGGTCACGTACCCAGGATTATTCATGCATCCCGTTAATTAAAAGTTTATTAGAATGTGAGTTCGACACAAAGTTCATTTGTGTGGGTATATTTTCAGTGATGTTCCTTCGCACCGCAAATAACAGTATTAATAACTTCAAAAATAGAAATTTGTATATCAATCCAAAAAACTCTTAATAAAGCGTTTGTGCGTCTGCGTCTCTAAAGTTCAATATCACTTATACGACTTTTTATAATCAACAATCTCGCGCGCTTTACGATTTTTAATATTATTGATTATATTATATACCTAGATTGATTTCATTGCTGAATATACAGTGTGTCCCACCTCAAGACTGTATACCCTTGTATAATCTTTCTTTATGGTTCGACTTTGATTTTTTTTGTTGGATAGGTCTCTGAAAAATGCACTAAAACCTTGTTTTGCTTACTAATTTAACTTAAAGTCATGACCAACTGAGACTATTTAACAAAAGAAACAGAAGAGAGAAGAACCCAACAACATTTCAACATTTTTATAATATTTCGATTCAGTGTGTTTTAAATATTCGTTTGAGCCCCGCCTAAGGCTGCAAATGTTTGTAAAACCTTTGATACATTTTTTTTTGTTTGATAGATCTCTCAAAAACGCACTAAAACCTTATGTTTCTGTTTACATCAAACTGAAGTCATGGCTAACTAGAATTAATTTTTGATGTCAGATATCGCGGGTGCCTCACTTAAACATAAACTCATGTAGAATGTTTATTTATGGCTCCATTTTCATAATTCTTTTTTGTTGAATACATTTCACTGAAAGACACTAACGATATTCTGAAAATTGTCGATATTTGACGTCAAAAATTATTCCCACTTAACCATAACTTCAGGTTAATGTAATAAGGTTTTATTATCAAATTTTCAAATTAAATTATCAAAATCACAATTAAATATTTTACAACAATCAACTTTAAGTAGGGCGAAAACGATATTTCAAACATCATGTACCGAAATATTATAAAAATTGGTATACTTATAACTTATACTCCTGAATAAGAATTCGTTGACAATTTATTTTGTTAAGTGGTTTCAGTGCATTTTTCAAAGATCTATACAACAGCAAAAAATTATCAAAATCGAACCGTAAACAAAATTTTACAATGCTGTACCGTTCTTAAGTGGTACACACTGTAGACTACTGAATCTGCCATAAATTTAACGGATTTGACAGAACAAATTGATGCCAAACGTGTTCTATTCTTTAGACGGCCTGCATATTGGAGTTTTTCAATTCTACTAGAGAAAACGTCATAATTGTTGGAAAATTGTCGAACGAAGTGGATACTACGAAGCTCACTCCATCAGAACTGCTACTAAAAGAAAAGGTAATCGTGTTATCGTGCTTTATTTTTTCGATAAGCAAATTTCATAAATATTGCAACGGTATTTTATTTGGTGCACATCATAATGTGCAGTGAAGATGGAATTATTAGGGCACAAATTTCCATATTTAAATTTTTCCTTTCAGAGCATTATTCATCATCAAATTATTGAAGTTGGTCAAATTTGGCCAACTTCACCAATCGTCATAACCATATTTTTAAATATATTTATAGTTAGATTTAAAAAAAAAACTGACATCGGCGTAATTTTTATTACGTTCTAACAATAGACGAAATGGTGTTGTGTTTTTAATTTACCAGACACCCCGTATATTTTTTCTATACAAGTGGATAATAATAATTATACTGCATAATAGAAGAGTTGAAGTTTAAAGAGAAGGGGGGGGGGGCGTTATACTCTTCCCAGGTTTCATAAACTATTACTAATACTATTTTAATTCCAATATCGCATTTACCGTCATTACACATTTTTAATTTGCTTGAATTACGTTTAGAAAATGAATCTGAATAACCCGTTTCCAATATTATAAATAAATATAATTTTTTTAAAAAGTGATATTTATAACTTTTTGAATGTAACGGTTAAATAAAAAAAAGCAACGAATGTTTTTAAATTTACTATAACAATATCATTTTCAGGATGAATGTGCGGATTACATGGAAATAATCAGCGATAGAATAAATACCAGAAATGCCGATTTCATGTCGCACGTGCTGCTGTCGGTATTCAAAATGGCGGAAGTGGAGATCGTGCCCATCGAGACGGCTTCGTCGGCGAAAAGATACATATCAGAAAAATCTATATTTTTATTAATATTTTCGGTAAATTTTATTGGATTCCTTGGCAACTTTTTGTCGTGCTCGTGACAATGAGACTGACGGATACATATCATAATATTGTACTTTATGAGGTGCGAAGTGTTATTCTAAACACTTCATAGCTGAAGATGTCACACTCTGTACATATCATTGTTGACTATTATTGTTACCATTCAAAATAGACTACATTAGTCACAGACTGTCGTTTTAAAGGCATTGCTCAGACCTTCTAGGTAAATTTTTAAATTGAGAAACAACTGTTTATATTTTATTTTACAAATGCTTTTGGTGTAGGGATATCCGGAAATGTCTTCCTTATTGTGAGGTGCAAACTCATATCACAGGTTAGGATATGATACTAGTTAAACAAACCAAAATTTTGTCTTCGTCCGTTTTTCGAAATTGGCGCCGATATGTTCAGTAAATGATTTTACGAATACGAATCCGACGCTAACAATAAAATAATAAGATCGCACTTATGGTTTTATGGATTAGTTTTTAACAATTAAATAAATTGGGTAATTAGAAACAGCTGAGAAGAATGCTTGACTCTTAACAAATTTTTGGAGTTAAAGGTGTGTAATTATTTGTTGTAAATTTATTGTTAAAATTGTCTCAATATTTTAAACTAAATAAAGTTAGAGCTTGCGAAACAAACCTGTGTTGTAGGAGGTTTACTATAGAAGAATGGACGACAAAAAAATTTTACAACCCCCTAAATAATGCAATCACCTTGCGGTAATGATATTAGGCATAGAATTATCCCGTCCACTGGAGCTTTAGCTTTAACTCACCAAGACTTTACAGTGTTTTAGAGTCTCTAGAGATGTTTCCAATGTGTCATGTGACTCTAGTGAATATAACTAATGGTACTAAAGAAATCTAGAGCATATATGAAGTCCTTAAAAACTGTAGAGTATTTAATTATTGATGTTAATACTTTTATAGGTGAGTAAATGATTATACCTACCTAATCGTAAGAGTTTTATAACTTTTCTAATGCGTTAAGGTTAACAGACACATCCCCACATTTTCTACTTAATTAAATAATTCAATTCTGCCTTATATTTGCAGTTTGCTTTTGTAACAGCCGAACGGACGGTTTAAATAATAATATATAATTTTATTATATAAAATTATTATTATTCACATTATATTTCAACATATTTTGATTTAAAATAAATGCTTAATATTTGCTTCTGAGAAAATTTACGTCAAAATTTTAAAATGTAACAATACCGATTCCTGTTGTTATTTGCACCGACTGTTATTCAAACCATGCGTTTTATTATCGTGTAAAATAGAAGCAAATGCAAATTTCGACTGTGCCTAGGTAACCGTGTACTAGCGAAATCAATTTCCCGAATTATGTACACCCTCCAGGTATAAAAATCTGGTTAATTTTAATTCATTACTACCCTGACTGTGTATTTTGCAGTGTATACCTCGTATTAGGAAAATGTTAGTTTAATTGAAAAGTTTTATTAGGTAAATTAGCTAAATCTAACCTGTGATGCATTCTCACTAGTGTGCTTTGAAAACAAAACCATGTCAAGGCTTAAATGTAACAGATACATATCATAAAATAGCTTTAATGTAAAAATCACAGTGTTAATAGTACACGACGCGTATAGATTGTTATAGACAAAAATTAAATGGAAAATATAACTTTTTTTTGCTACTTGACTTTACACCTACCTACAAGTTTTTAGAAATTAGGTCCATAGGAAATTGTATTGAATTGTGTTACAAAATAGAGCTTTTTGATTTTGTTAACTAGAGTTTTTTTTCGCTATCTATAAGCTGTGGCTACACTACCATTTCGTAGAATGTTGTATAGAGTGGTGCATGAAAATGTTAATGGTTATTCGAGAGGCAACCACCAATTTTTTTTGTTTGGCTCGTCGCAAAATGATTAACTGTTTTTCGAATTTCTCTTTATTTATATTAATCCTCGTAGTCTACTACTTTCTTTTAAGTGAGGTAATATGACAATAATTCGCTATTGAAATGAAACCTAGCCAACTATAGAAGGCTCCTTTTAATAAATAATAAAGTCACCACACGAGTAGATCAACAAAAATAATTTTAAATAACCTTTTTCTGTTGAATTACGCACCATATGTGACAGCAAGAATTGTATTTATATATTATATTATATTTAGTATATTTATTATATTTGTTCTTCAGTCTCGTTATCGAAAGTCCCCTATGTGTCTTATTGAATACATCAGGAGAACCATTTTCTCTAACGTGATGGTGACAATTTCACAACTGAATCCAATAAACATACACAAAAGTATATGTGACAAAATTCAAAATGACGCAAATCGTTAAAACCGCCTCAAGTGCCACCTCGCGGTTCGTGCCCAAATACAATCCAGCCTGATTATCTGGTTACCGATATTTTAGGGGATATAATTTAAAAATGTAATATTGCCTGTCATATTCCAGTGAAATTTTTAACAGCATTCTAAAATTTATATCTTCTAAATCTGTTTCGGAAAAACATTCAAGTAATGTTGGTAATGGTGCAATCACCATTATGTCAAAAGCTTTGAAAGGTTTAAGAAATATATTTTGGTAGTGTTCTGACCATAATTAAGCTACAGTTGTCACGAGTTAAAATATTAATCGAAAATTTGTATATTTCTACTTTTAGCGATGTCATAAAACATCTCATCAAAATTCTTTCAATATAAAGTTTGTTACACAAATGTTATTTGATTTAGATGACGGTTTAGTATGCGGTATACACAACATTTGGTTAGTTTGTTATTGCATTTCGCTCCAGATTTAATGCAAACACAAAAAACTAACCAATCTAACCAAATAAGCTTGGATCAAATTTAAATTATACTATTGAGGTTAAATATTCTCATAAAACCCACAATGAGGTATAGGTACGAATTTGGATAAGTTGATAAGATGATGAGGATGAGGAAAATGATCAATAAACTACAAATATCTGTCTTTATGGATTACCGTGGTAATCTAATCAATTGCTTAGTACTCGTATAATATAAACAACATTAAACATTATATCAGAGATCGCAGTAACACTTCTAAAACTCATAATTCTTTAGCATAATTATTTCCCGTATATTCTTCCGCTTTGACTCTCATCTTCCTCTGGATGAGCTGCATTGTACTCCAATGATCTCAAAATAGCTGCCGGTATCGGCGGAGGTGTCGGTAGATGAGGCCCAGAAGCTTGAAATCCATTTTCGTTGGCTATGTATGATACAACTATCTGAGTGTTATCTGGAGCAGTGTATCTGAATGATCCTGTAGCTTCCATGGCCTCCGATTGAGCGTTACCAAAGTTCTTCACGCGACCTTGTTCTTCTGCGCCTATACCATTTTCAGTTTCGTAACTGAAAAATATATCATGACACGATATATTTTATGAATATATTTTTATATACGTCAATAATTGTCACGCACAATATTATCAAATAATAATAATATAATGATGATAATAATAATATGATAATTTTGATGAAATAACTTTTGTTTCAAAAAACTGACATGCTGATATGGAAATTTAAAGGAATTAAGCAACATGATACTAAAATTGAAAAAATCCAATCAACCGTCAAATTTTAAATTTTTAAAAATTTCATTGGAATTTGTGAAATAGGAAACTACTAGTTTATACCCATTTCATGACATACAAAACTAATAATGGAGACTTTCTAGCAAATTATTTATCCAATATAGAAAAAAGATTAAGGCTGGTCGTCTATGACTCAATCTTACTTGCAGTGTACAAAGATACTACTAAAATATTCGTATAAGCGTGCGGTAAGAAGGGAATTACCTAATACTATCCATCGATTTAATCTAATTAAATTTGGTCAAATTAGACCAGTTGAAATTACCTCCATTGATACGATCCGTCTGGATTGGGTCCTACTTGATCTTGTCGTAGAATTCGGATGATTTGGCCGGGCGTGTATGGTCTGTATTGAGCGCACGCACAACTGGCAATAGCTAGTACTACAATCTGAAACAGAAAACATGCAGAAAATAGAGACACACAAGGGAAGCATTAACCCCACCACCTCTCTTTTATATAATTTGACAGCTGCAAGACTTTCGTCAACTAAATCGAACTCAAAAATGCACATTCCGTTTTAGTTTAATTCAATATTAAGGATAAATGAAGTTTGTATGGGAATAGTCATGATTCGGCATTCAAACTAAGCTGACCTGTTGAATTTGGCTACATATTTATGATATTAAATTGTTCAATAATGCACTTCAAAAGGCAAGTGAAAAACCAATAAATATTTTAATTAACCTACTTAGAAATCAGAACTGAAATAAAGGACTTCAGTGTCATGTTTAAACCATACATCCTAATTTGTATCTGCAATAACACTATTGTTCTGATTTTGCTCCCAGTAGAATGGAATTGAGTAATTCTTGCAAAGTAATTATGCAACTGAAGTATTTACACACCATAAAGAAATTCATATAGCTCATTTAGTTTTTTTAATATTCACTGAAGTTTTGGAATGTATATGCTTCCAACTCAAAAATATCGTATAAGTACCAAAGTTTTGAAAAAGTCGCCACTGTGACGTGTCGCCAAATTAACCCATATATTAATAAATTTTAATGAAATCGGAAAAGAGTGGCGAGATACTTGGATATTTATTAAACTTAAAAAATGTTGTCTTAGGTAAATGAACTCCGCATCCGTAGGGACTAGGAAGGTGACACGATCAACTATTTGATATATAGTTAACGCGAACTTCACACAATCACATCGTTGCATTCCTACCAACGGCCACTGATAATCACCACCCATGTATATTCTTGCTCGCTCAAACCTACCACGATCTTCATGGTGCGCGATGGTCACTAACTATACGATGGTAGATACTGTACCAAATCAGAATTTCAACCTAGTTTATATATGGAATACAGATTACCTTAAATGCATTGCCGCAAATATTCGCAAACCCTCCTTCTGCAATAATTTGCATCTTACATTTGGTAATCCACAGGCGTATCTAAGAAATCCTATGTCAATAAATTTCTATTAGGATTCGAATTTCTATCTTGCGTGATAAACATAGATAACAACAGGGGAATATAAATTTTACATCAATTCAAAATCCAAAGATAATTCAGGTCACAATAATTATTAACATAAAACCTAACAAACTCTTTTATTATGAACCTGTTGTAACATAATCAATTTTAATTATGGTCATATTTATTTCGCCCTATATAGCACCAGTCGGTTCCGCCACTGAGGCAGACATATTTTGAACTTTTGATGTATACTGTACAAAAAGGTCAGAAATGTTAAAAGATGATTCCTCTTCGTGTTTTATTGGGCGTGTAGGATTCGATGTTTATTCATAATATTATAATTGCATCTATAAAATAATAAGTGCAATTACTATTCAGGTAATTCAAAAAACGACAGAACAATGATTAATCAAAGGGGATTTTAAGGATCGCGGCATTGCACTCTCACTCGTTGTCTGAGTTATGTGAGAAGATATTTTAATAGCCACGAACGCGACAGCTATTGCAGCTATTAACCCAAACGAGGCGAATACACACAATTAATTATTCGTATCAGCCATGAAGCAACAATAACTTAATATTCGACTGGTTCAATTGAATTTTGTACAAATAGATTTGTTTGCAGTTTGCAGCTCTTGATTCGTCTCAAACTGCAAACTTCATGATTTGTGCAACAAACTCTAGTTAGTTTATTATTAGTAGATTATCAATGAAAAAAAGAGATTAATAAAAAATAAATCATTCATTCGTCAATTTGTCAATTGTTAAAAAATAAATTAAGTGTATCTTCGAGTAGCTGCCGCAAACAATTTTGTCAAATTTAGTTTTAACATTTTATGCCAAAAAATCAGCACAAATTAACTACTTTTTTTTAAATATCACTGCGGGTTGAGATATACTCTTTTTTTTGGAATGTTCGAAGCAGTTCTATCTTTTACTTTTTAAAATATTTCCGCTTATAAATTAAATTACGCTGCCAATTAACACTTGGTTTTCAGTCAACTAGTATTTGCAAGTAGATAGTCGAAAGCTTCAAAAATATCGTTCCAAAAGTAACCCAACGCCAATAAATTAAGTCGGGACTTGCCGCAATTTTTAAATTCTAATTATTTCTTAAAAGCAAATACACCAAACCATTTTAACGTTTAAACCATTTAAACATTTATCTTTCATCTATCTTCACTTGCATATTTTGATTTTATGATATTTTTTGAGGAAGTAATTGTCGTATCGTTTGAGAGTTTATGACAAATTTCATAAATAAATAAATAAAACTTACAAATTGGTACAATTTTTTTACTTTTTACTTAGATAACAATTTGTTGTGCAATTAAATATTTTGAGTAAATTATCCCCATTTTTTCCGTTAATCAATTCAACCAAATTCAATTCAATTAGTCAATCAATTCAAGTTCTCAGTGGTCAAATTCTGTATTTTTAATGGTGTGGAATGGAAAAGGAAAATTGAAGTGGTCCGAACTGATAAAATTGCTAAAACTGAAATAGAAATGAATTTATATTAAAAAATGTCTATTTATAATAATAATAATAGTAATAATAATAATGATAATAGTAATGGTCTTTATTCAGCAAAACTAAATACTTAAAATCAGTGCAACTGATTAAGAAAATAATCTATTTCCGATCAGTACTCTTTTTATATGTGAACTCGGGGGTAAATATATTCTACAAGTAGTCATTTTAAACCTCTCGTAACAATAACATATATTCTATATATTAACTGCTTATGTAAAATTGTTTAGCTAAATTTTCTATCATTAATAACATATTCATAAAATTGATGTTTTATACAATTCTCAAAAAGATGGAGGCAGGTTTACACATGGCTGTACAATTTTATATAACAAATTAGAGCACTGTTAACATATTTGCATAAAACATCGAAATATATTGTTTGAGTAAAATTGTAAGAAAATAAATATCGAAACAGAAACACTTTTAATTTAGTTTAGTTTTAATTCTAACGGGCTGATCTCCTCTGAATTGGAAACAAAAATATTGTGTTCACCGAAACGTGAGTCTTCTTTCCTCGACCACACTATTATAATCGAAGTCTATACGCTGCGTAAAAGAACATGTTCTATAAATCATCCCAGCAATTATTATTGTATAATCGAAATGGTACGAATTTTTTCCGAGCCCCGTATATTGGCGGCGACCTTTTCCAAAGTGCAAGTTACATTCTAATAATGGCCTATTTGAAATGTTTACAAAGAAATAAAATCGCCAGGTAGACCTTGCGTCTTGGGATGGGATTTCATGATTTTTTTTTCATTATTCTTCAGTCAGTCCGTAATCAGATGCGGCGCGTTTGACAGGGCCAGGCTTGATTCTAAGATTAAGCGTGATTAACACACTCTAATATGGTAAAATTATTATGTGGAGATGATCGGGCTTTTTATATTTTTACGACAGCTTTTTTTGTTTGGCTGAAATTGAATACTCCCCCACCTCTCTATCTCTTGCTAACTCCTTTGTCTATTTCTCTTACCAAACAAATACAATCAGAGATTCACTTGATAAAGTTTTTTTAAAATATAAATAGTTCCAGCGTTTCTTGGTTCAATTAATACAGAATCGGTAAGTTTTTAAAAGTCATTCTAGGTTTAAATAGTTTGATTTGATGCATTTGGCGAAAAAGATAATTTGCGTGTACACCAGCATGTGAGATATTTATTATTTCTAATATTCAATATGGAACCCAACGTAAGACACCAAAATACCGATTCAAACAGACCAACCAACGGCCTCCCAGTTTCAAATTTCGCAACAGCTAATGTTGCCAAAACTTTCATCTTAAAATTAACAATTAAGCTGCGAAACATACTAAACTTATATCGAAATTTAGAAGCAAAACCTAAATAAACTTTACAACTTTTTAAACAAACGTCGAAAATTCTGCACCCAAATAATCGTGAAACTGACTTTGTATGACATTTGGTATATGATAACTAAGCAAAAAATTACTGGAAATACGTGAATTTCCAAACCAGCTTCCATGACACTTACACTTACTTAGTTATGCTAGGTTTAAAATTTTAAATTCAGTGGCAGCAATGGTAGCTTCAAACTTGAAGAAGAAACATTTTATAAAAAAGCGTTTTACTATTTCGAATCCAAAGGAAATAAGAGATTATACTTTGAAAATTACGCTGCCTACCTTCTCAAGATGATGTTAACCAATAATTAAAAAAATTGTTGCCGACATGAATGACTTTACATATATATTACCCTTAAGATACGATATAACCTAAGAGCCTAATTAAATACATTAACTACGTTTCCGTAAACTGTTATTTAAAATTCTAGCAACACGATAACAAAGCAAAACACAGTTAAGCAAACATTTGAACCCATTAAACGCTGAAAACGCCAATGAAGTCCCTCGTACCAAGTCGTTCGACGCAAAAAGAACGAAAAAAAGACAATTGAATTTTGACGATCCTTGCGATACTGATTCATCACAAATCAGTGAGATTATAAATCGACAGGAAATTGAATAAGCCAGGAATTCCACAAAAGATGAGTGCGGCAAAGTGGTTGTTCGTGGGATGCGTGTTTGTGTATCGCGTTATCGGCATTAGATCTCAGGATTCCGACTCCAAAATCATCAACTACAGCAATTACCTTGACCAACAAGGCTACAATTTCAGGTACGTTATTATATCGTGTTTTCGAATCGTGAAATTAATGCAAACTCGTTTACGTTTAGACATTTAACATAAATAGAGGTGACGCTTTTTTATATCAAAAACGTTATTACTGAAATTTTATAATATATAAGGAAAACATAAATGTAGCTTCATGCTATGTTATGTTTGTAGTTTAAACACTTTATTTTATACAATTTGCAATTAAACAAACAGGACAGTAGCAGCAATTTGTTTGCGCATCATGTCCTAAAATTTCATTAAAAAACCCGTTATAAAGTAAACTTAACGTAAATAATAGATTTTTTAGTTGCATATCGGCTTGCATCTAAAGATTTTACATTATATCTATCCAGCAAGAACAACTCTGTTAAAGAATGATAATGTAATAAACAGGTTTTTAATTTGTTTATATTAATTTCTAATTAATTTAATGTACATATTGTGTGTGGGGCTTTTCAATATTTTATTTTTTCCATTCCATAAAAGTCTTTATTTCTTTTCCTTTACACAACACTTTAATGTTACCTTGAATTTAATTGTTTGCAAATCTATATTTGTATTCATTTCTGAGCTATCGTTTATCAGTTGTGCAGGCTGATCATTTTTAGCAGAAGCATTAAAAATTTTGAAGAAGCAGAATTAAACATAAACTTACTTATTGCAAAAATTCTGTGACAAATGATAAATAATTTTTAAGTATTCGTATCGAACTTTAAAATACATAATAATAAATAAATAAACATATTAAAAATATTTTGTTAGAACAAAGTCTATTTAACCGCCATAATACTGTCGTTAACTACTACGTCGTTGCAATAGAAAAGATTTCCAGGTAAGAAACTAGAAAACACTAGGTAATTATGACAACACCCAAAGTGAAGATAAAATTACCTCATCACAGTCGTTAATTATAAAGATGGATGGTATTAATCTTAAATGTTTACGGTTTGATGTACACCATTTTGTCAAAAAAACTACTGTTTTGAATTAATTCCATCATGTGGTTTTAGACATTAATTAAGTTCATTAACTTAACAGTGTGTTGTAGCAATTAATAAAAACATTTTCCTGACAAAATAGACTTTATCTTCCACCATGCAGAAAAGTAACCATTCGGTAACTTGACATATTTTAGGTGACTAATTGACTGAAATTAGTACTACTAAAATCTGTTAATTATATAATTTTATTGCAGATATGAAACCAGTAACGGAATCACCCACAATGAACGAGGTATTGTAGGCGACAACACAATCACAGTGAAAGGAGAATATAGCTACCAAATTGATGAAAATACTATTATAACTGTCAGCTATATTGCTGACGAAAATGGGTACAGGCCCATTATCAGATATAGCGACGCTCAAAGACCGAGAAACGCAATTACGGGCATTATTTTAAAACCTAGAATCAGCACTAGCGCTCTAGCTTCATTGACTGGAGGTGGCTTGGGTTAAACCTCAAAACAATCTCCGTCAATAACCCGAGACGTTAATTTATTGTCAAATCGCACACAAATAAATTTTTCATTTTTTTAATCTAGCGTTTTAATTTCATTCGCCCATGGCATTAAGCGACATTTCCAAGTTGCCGAGTATTTATTATAAGTTACTCATGCTACAGTCAATAAAAAAATTAATATCCTATTTTTATGTAAGATCACAGAATTCTAGATACATCGTTTATCATCGTCGACGGCGTCCAACTGGTCTAGGACGCTCCTCGTCCTGTTCTGGATGAGCCGCATTATACTCCAAAGCCCTCAAAATGGCCGCGGGTATTGGTGGAGGCGTTGGAAGATGAGCACCTGAAATGCAATTCCCAAAGTTAGAAGTGATGATACGCGATGCGGATATAGAATACCTTGAGGCTGAAAGCCGTCTTCGTTGGCGGTATACTGGAGTTGAATTGGGGTTCCGTCATCTGCAGTGAATGAAAATTGTCCCTGCGCTTCCATGGTATCAGGGTTTTTCAATCGGCCTTGCTCCTGCGCAGAAATTCCATTTTCGGTCTCATAACTGCAATAATTACAAATTGAATTTGAGATAATATTAGTTACCACTGAATTTCTTAATAACATCTTCAACCAATATTAATCAGCAATAATCACTTTGCAAATTACCGTCGATTTCTGAAAGCAAATAGACCATTTGCTGCTTAGTAGATACATAATAGTTGTTCTCATTTCTATGCACGATACAATCCAAAACCGGTCTTAGCTAGTACCAAAAAAATGGAATCAGCGTTAAGAAGAAAAACTTTTATAACGAAGTACAAAAATTAAAAACTCGAAACATTACATATAAGAGAACCAAGTAATGCACGAATTTTTATTTAACAACTGTGATCTTTTTCTAATATTTTTATATACTTAGTTTAATAAAAATATATACATATACCTCCATTGGTAAGATCCGTCTGGTCCTATATCAGACTCTTGCCTGATTATCTTAATAATCTGCCCTGGTTGGATTTGAACCGGCGGCCTGCGTTGAGCGCAAGTACTTACAAGCACTACTGCTAGAAATATCTAGAATGTTTCAAGTTTTAATAAGTTAGTTATAGTTAATTGAAGGCGTATTTTTCAAATTAACTGAATAATATGCGTACTAATACTATTAATTGTATCATTATATCACACCATATTTTTTTGTATATATTATTCAAACATCGCAAATGCTCACTGAGCTAAATAAGCGACAAATACGCGTTCTCGTCACGCTTATTGCCCAAAATGTTTTCGTTGTTTGTGAGACTAATCAATAAAAAAAAAATGTTGTGACAAAACTACTACATTGACAACGCTGACAAGATATAGACACACAATTTAAAACGAAAATTCGTTTTAGTTTTTGAAAAACTATTAAACCAGTCTCAACGATGGAATTGTAGAGAATCAAAATAAAAGTTAACATTGGTATGAAAAATCGGAAAATTCTACGTGTGTTTTTTTTTTCGATTATACAAAATTTCGCTATTTTTTGTGTTATAGAACAGGACCTCTGTGAAATTTACTTTATGAACGTCACCCAAATATTTCCGATTAAAAACGGTTTAACAAAGATAGTGCAGAAAATAAACAAAATCGACACATCTTTTCATTAAACTTACCAGCGAAATTTTACTCATGTTATCAATTACACGAAAACCCACGCGGGCACAGAGACAATTAACGCGCGTAGTTATGACGGCGAACTTTTATATACGCGAAGATATTCACATGGGCCGGCCATATAAAATGCCTCCTCCTAAATTACGTTTTTACAATAACATTTAAATAAATATTGTTACCTCCTAAACCATCGTTTTATGTGAAATGTCAAGACGAGATGAGGATGATACCATCGCGTCGGGGTAATTACAACTTCAAGCCGTATCGTGGGCGGGCTCAGGACGAATAGATCATCTGACAATTACTGTGACTCAGATTGTTTTCAAAACTGGTTTTGAATACTCTGAAAAAACTAAAAGAATTCAACAACAAAAGCTGCATTAACGCACATATATAATAGAAGAATCAAGAGGTCTGTCTAAAAACGAAAGTTTCTGGTACCACTTCAAAATTTCCCATATTTGTTCTTTTGGCTGCATTTTCGCCCACCAAACAATTTCCCTAACTTAATGTAATTGAAGGTAACTAAATATTTTATAAACATTGAAAGTTTTAACCCAGCTGTGCAGTTTTTAATTCCTTCATATTAGTTTACGATTCCTGCTCAGGCTCAGGTAAACACAGATTTTATATTAAATTAGTGTGCAGGAGGACAAGGTTGTTTCTTTTTTTTTTCTTCCCAATTCAACAAATATTTAAGGAGCAAATAAAGTGCGCAAAAACGAACATAAAGCCAAAAATTATTGATCCTTACATGAAGTTCGCACACTAGTTGGATACGATCTTAATTTTTTCCGAATTTAATATAAATTGAAACCCTCATTACCTCATTACAAATATCATTCAGGTAACGAAAACGAACTTTTGTATTTTAACTTTAAATCTGCTTCAAAATTTCCAAAAATTCAATAGAGATCGCATTTTCCCCTTTACAGGCACAGTGGCAGTCGCATTATTTCTTCTGATCTCAAAAAAAAATCCACTGTACTAATTTTGTAATGATTGTATTATCCCATCACAGCGGGCGAGATAACGTATCTTTCAAGCGGTAATGTCCCACTTTACGCTCTTAATACATTTCTAAAAGATAAACTGGCAAATTTTACAAAATTCTGTCTTATTTTTGTGTTACATACTACAGTAATACAAGAACAGAGGGCCCTCAAAAGTTTGTCAAATTTTCTCGAAATAAATTAATTTTCACTGGTGACGGACTGTATTTTTAATTTTAATCTTCTGAAGATCAATCTCATGGAGTGCTCATATTATCTCATATTAATGTCTGAAAACTTGATGAATTTTTCTATTGTAGTTTCAGAGATAACAATATTGCCTCAAATCAACTGCTGATGAACCCGTCCAGCACACTTTAATTTTATTACACTTAAGCCATCTGCGGCGCATTTTAGTAAAAAAGGAAAAAAGAAAGAAATATTTTCAATCAATGGCATAGAATTAATTAAATGAACTTTACAGGCATAAGCATTATCGTTCCCGTATATGTTTTCTGTATTTAGTCTTCTTGAACGATTATTTTGGGAACTGGAGGTGCGCTACAGTTTAAACTAAATCTAAAGGTTCGAATTCTCAGCTCGCTCGTGTACATGAAGTGAAGCATCATAGGGGGAAAGGGAAGATTAAATTTGTTTCATTCTATAGTATATATTTTAAATGCAAAACCGCCGAAAGTGATTACCACAAAAAAAGTTTTCTCCCCATACTAGTGAAAATCGCCATTGTGTATTTGGTTATAAATAATTCTCTAATACAAAATGTAATTTCATTTTGAATATAGAATATTTTGTTTAGTTTTTTTATTTTTGTTAGTTATAAGTTCTTCGATAATAGAATAGAGAAATATCTCCAGGTGCCATATTTTTCGAACTAATATATTTTTTGCTTTATTATCGGTTCAATTAAAATTTAAATTCAACTAAAAAGTTGACTTTTCTGCGCCATTTTAACTTCAAAAACTGTCGTAGCATACCTAATCTATATTATTCTAAATGTTACGTAAATAACCCAGCTGTGTAATTTTATTCAATTTTAAGTAAATTCTTGCACGTTTATAGGAGAAACAAATATAAAACATGCTTCCCTTGGGGTACAGATGAACTATCTTAAAGGACAGAATAAATTCAAGGTCGAGCTGGAGGAGAATACGGATTTGAAACTACAGAATATTTATTGTAGTTTATTGTAATTTCGGTATCTGTTGTTATGCTAAAGTTACGCCCCGATCTGCGTAATTCACCTGGATTTTCCTCCATACAAATATTCTTCATTTTAAACAAGAAAAGAAACGAAAAAAGGAAAAAAAATAAACGTCCCACGAAGTTGACATAAAATACTTAAACTTTTTAGAAAAATACTTTCGGTTGATTATTTAAAAAAATGTATATTTGCCATACAGTAGCTAAATGTAAGTATCTTAATTAATGTAAAATAAGCGTCCAAATTATGTAAAAAAAAGCACTAATTTTTGAATTATTATTCATTATTTTCGTTCATACAGTTGTGACTGTTTGCGTACCCGGCCAGAAACATCGAAATATTTTTAAATTTTTCATATAAAGAGTTTTTAATTTCTTGGAACTTTTTCACTCTTTAAATATAAAAATTATAATTCAATATCTGCGCCTTCATCATTTTGTCATTATACTTTTATGATGTAATTTCTTCAAGTTCGATCGAACTCAAACGGTTAGAACTGACAATTTTGTTAAGTAATAGTTCCGCATTCGTACTTTACGTAAATTTTCTCAACTGAATGCAAATATGAACAGATCGTGGCCAAGAATTTGTTATATATTGAAATACCACAGACAAATCTGAGTAACAAATAATATAGAACTGAGAAAAATATTTGTTCCTTCAAACTGGATTAATACTTTGAACTTTTTGTAGATTAAACAAAGGAAAACATTATTAAGGAAGAACAATGACGTAACTAAAAAAGAATACACTTTTCACGAGAAGGATAAAACAATTATTATTTATTAGAATCATTTCTCGAAAAAAATTAAAAAACCATGGTTATTTATGATTTTATTGTTAAGTTAAGTCAATGTTCCAGAATAGTGATATAAGGAATCAAAGATAAGGTTAGCGAGTAAACTCATTTAATGCAAAAAATTATAACATAATGGAAAATATATATACACACATAAAATATGAATAACAAAACAACCACTAATCATTTTCCCCTAAATCCAGTTACAGGTCGACTAATCTCCTCTCTTTCTTCTTCCGGGTGTGCTGCATTCCATTCCAATGCTTTTAAAATTTCTGGCGGAATGGGCGGTGCCACAGGCAAATGATTCCCTAAAAATAATGTCGGTAAGTTTAATCAAAATTAACCAAGCTAACTGTTAGGTAATTATTATTACCATATAATAATGAATAAGTAAATGAAATAAATAGTTTGGTACCTTGAGGCTGAAAACCTCCTTCGTTGGCAATATATTGCAGCTGAATGGGTGTGCCATCGGGAGCAGTATACTGAAACGATCCTTGAGCTTCCTCAATGGGATCTTGCGAATTCGCGTTTTTTAACTGACCAGATTCCTGCGCCGATATTCCATTGTCCGCTTCAAAACTGGACAAAAAAAAATGTAATTTCAGAAGCAACCTAACCCAACCTTAATAATTCCAATGAGATTTAAATTAGTATTTTCTCGAGGAGAAAAGGAGAAAAATTAAAATGGTTTTTACTTTCCAATTTATTATTATTTTTCCTTTTTTTTTCACATCTTACAAATTTTAAGTAGATTTTATTAATGTAATCAAGAAACAAATAAAATCAAGTGTAAGTTAAATGGCTATGAATGAGAAAGTTTTTGTTTCATTTTACTTCCATTTACCTCCATCTATATGATCCGTCTATGCCAACATCGTTCGTTTCGCTAATAATATTAACCTGTCGTCCCGGAGTTTGTGGAGCTACTGGAACAGGCCTGAACGGCCGCTGGGCAATTGCCGTGCAAATTATTGCTAATAATAATATCTGAAACAGATTGTAAATTGCATTTTAAATATGAATGTGACGAAAATCGTATGAGGGAAAAAAAAATTAATTCTAATAAACTAATTTTTGAACACCACAAATTTGCTATTTTTAGTGTACCGAATGATGTAAAGTAGAAAAGTAAGACCATAAGAAAAGAGAATATGCGGAATGAAAATGCAAAATAGGGAATGAAAAAATAGCATGATATTGTGTTGTCAACGAAAGAAAGTTGCAATTTTCGATTTCCACAGACTGTGTGCAATTCAATTAATATACCAAGTGTCAACAAATATATATAAGATACCTAGGTTTGTCGTTATAAATAAATTATATAGATGAATGGTAAAGAGTTAAGTTTTCGGATATTTTTCACTTCCGGTTCCACCGGAAACTGCTTCGGTTTGAAATTTATTTCGATTTCTGCACCAACTCTACAACTCAAAATATTATGCACACGGATATCAAATGTATTATTGACAAAACTAAATAAATAATAGTAGAGTATGTTAATTGGTAATATTTCAATTATAAGGTTATTTTCAATCCAATTTTACAGTTAGATTCCCAAAAAAATCATCTTTTCGGAATGTGTTGGTTTTGTCTTCTTCCTATCGACTCTACCAAAGTAGGTTGTCCTATTTAAAAATTTGGAACCGCAGCCATTTTTGCTAAAACTAAAGAGTGAAAAATATTCAAAATCTCTATGGATCTGTTAACGACCAAATCCAATTTCAGACGAAACTAGTCAAGTGAAATTTTTATCCGTTAGAGGAACAGGAGCAAAAACTAACCAAAAATATCAGCACACTTAATTAGGGACAAACCTGTTTGGCTCAGAAATAATTACTTTTGGGTCATTTTTGGTTAGTATTTGCTTCTTTTGAAATTATCAAATCGGTATTGTATAAAATGCCTAGAAGATAAAAGTAATATTATTTATTTCATATAATGCCGGGTAGTTTTAAGGATCCCTATACAAATTCTTAGCAATTCTATATACAATGCTAAATTTCAAAACGCAACTTATAACATATAACGTGAAACACAAATACAGGAAAACTCATTTGTCGAACCGAAGCCGCAGAAGGAAAAGCTAGTGCACACTTTAATTCCTTTAATTACTTTTAATTCTTTCTGCCATACACCAGAGTTCGGTTTACCTTTCGGAATAAAGAAAAACTAACCAAGCGACTGGCATATTCTGCTAGTTTTGGTTTGTTAACGTAATTAAACTACTAGAGCGATCAATTTTTTTTGAATAATAAAAAACAAATTCAGTAAATTTTTGGAGATGCCACAATATTAAATGAAAATTGTATGTTAATGTAATTTATGTTTGTATTAACAATGTTCAAATAAAAAATTATACATCATATACTGACATCTAAAGACTTTTTTTACCATCCGAAATGTATATAATGTATATAATGGAGTATGAAATTTGCTAAATGGCCGAGCGCTCAAAAAATGTTTTGTTTTTTAACTCTATCGCCTCCGCGGGGATATCCATTTTAATTGCTGCCGGTCCTTTCCCAATACAGAAAAAAATCACTGCACAAACTCACCACTGGGTGCAGCATTGCGTTTCCTTCCGCTTGGTCACTCAAACACTGTCAAACGTTACAGATCACTGAACAATTTATAGCGAAGATGCAAAGCGATAAATAAAACGTAACCGTCTGCGATTTGAAGCAGTAGGCACATTTTCTTTAAAAGTGCATATTGCATATTTCAGCAGCATCGCATTCGTAATAAAGGTTATTTAAATATTCTGTGCTTCGAGATGGGTTGAGCATTTTTTAGATTCCTTGTTGACACGTAATAAAGGAATGCATAAGTAAAAACTAAGAGGGTAGAGAAAGTACACGGTGTTACTGTAATAATGCGAGGCAATGCGAAGTTTCGTAACAAATAATTAACATTTGTAATTTGTTTAATTACCGACAAATTATAATTTATAAAATAATTATTTTAGAATTATGTTTTGTCGTATATCAGATCTTCACTTGTAGCCCATTTAATTAAATTAATTTATTAAATTAATAATGATTGATTGATGACGATTGATTATTGCTTTGGCTCGTCGCATCAATGTGGCTGGTCGATTTATTCGTTATGTCTGTTGTGAATGTTGTAAAACTCTAAATTACCAAAGAACTATATAGTGAACCGTTGATTTTTGGCTTAAGGTTAAAATTAAATGTCTGAAGAACGTCTTGATGACCGATATATATATATATATATATATATATGATGACACTATATTCCGGGATATCATCCGTTCGCTCGTTGAACTCCGACTGGAATCCTGCATCCGACTGGAATCCTGCAAATCTTGCATCCGACTGGAATCCTGCAGACGTTTCGCCAAAATCTCACTTGGCATCTTCAATGCTCGCGCTCCGAAAACACTTCGAACACTGGGAGGTTATCGGCGGTGCCGCACGCACCGCCGATAACCTCCCAGTGTTCGAAGTGTTTTCGGAGCGCGAGCATTGAAGATGCCAAGTGAGATTTTGGCGAAACGTCTGCAGGATTCCAGTCGGATGCAAGATTTGCAGGATTCCAGTCGGATGCAGGATTCCAGTCGGAGTTCAACGAGCGAACGGATGATATCCCGGAATATAGTGTCATCACATTTTTCCATCCGTGAATCAATACGTGAGGATATATATATATATATATATATATATATATATATATATATATATATATATATATATATATATATATATATATATATATATATATATATATATATATATATATATATATATATATATATATATATATATATATATATATATATATATATATATATATATATATATATATATATATATATATTCAAATTTATCATAAGCTATTTTAAGATATTTGATATCGTTTGTAGTAAATAAATAAATAGTAGAAAGGACCGTCATCAGGTAATTTTCAAAACCCTTGCCATAGTTTATAAGAACTTTTATTTCTATTTTAAAGAGGATTTTTATAGGATAAAATCAAATTTCTCAACTTTCCAGGAATTACAATTACACATATATACAGGGTGTTTTCTAATTGAATGTCAATAATTAAGGGGGCGATTTTTGGGTCCATTTTAAAAAGAAAACTTCATATGAACATATGTCTCAAACGTCTTAACTTTTAAGATACAGTAGTGAAGTTGTCAAAAATAAAATATGTTTGCCATGCCACTACTCTATTTAAATTTGGCACACATGTACTGCATACATGGATCACGAGCCACTATTTAGTGTACCACAATTTTTTTAACATACACCAGCGGCGGGCGTACGGAATTTCACCCTCTATTTTGGCAGACACTGATTTCTCTGAAAATAAAAATTTCTTGATTTTTTTCAATCCAATGTACGGTTCTCGTTTAAAAAAATAAAAACCTTTTCTCTGCAAGATCAGAACAATTTTAACTTCTGTTATAATACACTTTTTTAAGGCAATAATTTTTTTTTCAAAGCAGCACAAATACTGAGTGACTTGTGACGTGACGATCTAAACTGATTAATTTCCAAATAGCAGCAGTGACTAAAATCTACCGAGAACTTACCAAATAGCGTCACGGTTAATGAGGGCGGCGTCTTATAGTGACACTTTGCGCGCGTTTGATCGGTGAATAATTTTTTAATAAGATTTAAGAAAAGATTATCCAATTACATAAACAAAATTGGGTTTTATCTTTTAGTATATCTCCTATATACAATATATAATTTATTTTCCAAATATAACGTTATCTGATCAATTTACTTGGTACCTCACGCATACTTCATCACTTTTAAAATGATAAAACATTAAAAATTAAAGTGATAAACATAAATATATATAAAAAACATATCTCCATAAAGTGAAAAGTGTTACAAAAAGGGGTGACAAAGATATAAAATATTTGCACATAAGTCCCTAGTTAGAAATTAATGTTTTTTTTTTCGTTTTGAGGTAATTTTTATTTATGCTATTTAGAAAACTTCTGGATTCTTCCCTCCTCCGTAGGTTGTTGAAAAATTTCGCGACTAGACTGTCAGATTTGGATATCGTTTAATCCCGCGTCTAATAATCATATATCATTACGCATTACATTACATGCAATAGTTGATGCTACTGACATTTTTCTTCGAATGAATAAACCGACTAAATTATTGTAACGACGTATTGGGCATTCATTTCGCAAGTCTTTTTAATTTTGATTTTACTTTAGTGAAGGTCTAATTTAAATAGCAACAAATCAAATTTGTGTTGTTCATAAAAAGAACTACTCAATCGCGAGTAACAATAACTAATTAATATTTCTCCGCCACACGTGTTGCACAAGTAGATGTAATTAAATTTAGTAAAAATATAATATGTTCATTATAGAATCCCAATTTGTTGATCACAACATTTAATGGACCGATGGTATACCACCTCTGACTTCTTGAGACGTTACCCAATATTGTGTGCAATATCAAGATAACATAAAAGTTAATTTTCGATTAGTATTCAGTGTTTTAAAGTTGTAATGTGTTTTCCATAAAAGAAAATTAAGAAATATTGGTCGCTGCACATTTCCTTTAGTTTTAGAATCTACTAAATTAATTAATTTTGTTTATTGGGCAAAGGTTTAACTTAATGCAAAAGGAGAAATTAAATATTGCCTTCTCAGGTCCCGTTCTTTTATAAAAATTAGCAATTCAATAATTTTGGAATAGTAATAAATGTACTTTTGACACTTCGTCAAAACTTATCCTGTAATGTAGCCTAGATTCAACATATTAGAGCGCAATTTTTTATTTATATAACGACGTTAGATCATTGTCAATACCTCTTGTAAAAAACGCTTGCAAAATGTTACGCAAATTATAAAAATATCAAAGATCAGGTCCACCTTTTTCGGGCACGTTTATACATTCTTGCAAAATTGAGAATCAGAGGTCGCATCTAATTACCCCACACCCATTTTGCAAGTTCATCATTTACGGGTAACATCTTAAATTGATAGTCTGTTGCATCAGATACCGCATGTATAGCTGTACGCTACTGAATATTTTCATAACTGACAGATGAATGGTGCCGAGTAAGCATTATACATCCAGAAATAAATAATTTTGAAAGTACCTGTTGCAATTTTTTTTCGTATGCCCGGCAATTAGAATTCATCGATTTTACTTAACATGGTTTGCTTAATATGTCTACGGAGTCCCTAAAAAATGCATTTGCATTGTATCAACCTTAACTGTGACAATAAACACAGACGTATTCTCAAACATCCTTTTGCTTATTAGGGTGTGTCTGGTGGTTTAATATACAATTTTACATGTTAATGATTAAGTTAATTTAAATTTAACATTTCCAACTAGAATCCTGTATCCCCTATTATATCACAAAAACAAATTTAAGTATACAACCGAAATTATTTAGAACACGTTTCCTATAAACGAAAAGAAACTTTTTATCACCGTTCTGACAAAAATTCTGTGGTACACATACCAAAAAGTCACTCATTATGTTTAAAGCTTCTTAATTTTACTAGTTTAATTAATTTTTTATTAGGAAAATATGCCGCGCTCGGAGTCGATCTTAAAATATGAATTCTAGGAAATTCCCCTATAACAAGCTGATTACAAAAAACATTCCAAAATACAAATCATATTCAATAAGAAATGCCGATGCAACGCAAATATTACACCATATAAAAAAAATTCTTATCTCTGCTGTAAACAGTATATATCCAATTATGCACTGGTCAGGAGTGCACAACGTGTCACTTTAAGACTGTCACTTTAAGAATGTATCTTTTCTGTTTTGCAAAAATGTACCCAAAAACTAATGGTCGTAGAAAAAATATAATACGCTAAAACAAACTCATCACTAAAACGTCATATATCTACTTTGATAATATGCTATTAACGGCTTAAACCACTATCTGAATTTATTGTATCAATCTAAGAATTTTTTTAGCTACTCACTGATGTCACGTTCAATGTCAAATTAAATATTTATATTTCTACATGAATGGCATCAGAATCTGTAATTTCTTACAAACATAAACATGCACAAAAGGAACTAGAAGACTTTTTGTTTTTTATTTGTGAAATATTGCACAATTTGTCAACAATATCCATTCAGAAAATATTACTGCAAAAACATAATGAGTGACTTTTTGGTATGTGTACCACAGAATTTTTGCCAGTACGGTGATAAAAAGTTTCTTTTCGTGTATAGGAAACATGCTCTAAATAATTTCGGGTGTATACTTAAATTTGTTTTACTAAAGAGCAGGATATCATTTTTTTGCTTATTTTTGTTCATTGAGTTAAAAATCCAGCACATATTATAAAAGTGGTTTGAAGTAAATTACTGTTATTCCGCACTCTTCTATCCAAAAATACGGAATAAATTTGCATAGAAATCTTGAATCAAAAGTTGCACATTTTCCCAACATTTATCTAGTTTAAAGTAACCTCGGCATTTTAATGCGGTCTGACAGGGAATTATTTATAGATGTCCTATAAAGCAGAAACATATTAAAAGAATGTTGTGTGGGAATGGTCATCTTCTTATTTTCATTCCGTACGTGGAACTGGCGGAAAATGTTCATTCGCCAGTAAGCGTAGGATGGCGCAGGACGCGTTGGTTTTCAAGTCGCTCTTTATGTTGTTAAGTTTAATCTTGATGAACCGACATGATACGTTTGATACCTGGACTTTAGATTAAAGAACTCGATTTCATCCTTTTTGCAAATTAACTTGGAACGATCAAACAATTTATACCCTAATCTTTAAGAAGTCAAAAATTGTCACAAATAAAAAATGATGCTAAAAAATGTGGTATGCGCTATTTCCAAACATTGTGCAGCCCTAGCGGTGGAAAAAAGAACCTTCGAAATAATTTGCCTCCCTTCCTCTTGTATGCTAACTTTGTTAAACAAGGATTTTTTCCCAAATCTCTAATCCTTGCCATTGGCGAGATACGATGGCTTCATATCCCTTATAAGATATACAGGGTGATGTGAAAAGTAGTTTATCCGAACATTTGTCTTCATTTCTGAAATAGGTGGTAAATTTTTCAGAAATAATTTTGTTTTATTCTAATATATGTGTAGTACGTTGTTCCCATTTTAACTATTTTAACACTTCAATCTAGTAAATTTTTCTTGCCAATTTTGATGCAAAGGGTGTCTTTATTTTCGTTCTAAATCTTATCAAATGCACTGAGTGAAAGCCATCACAATAAAGCAAGCATTGCCTCGCAGAAAATAATCTTCTCCGATACTCGGTCATTAATAATATCCGTTTTCGCAAATAATTACAAGATTGACATTTACACCCAAGACATGAGTTTTGTCGGTACTTATGCAAGATCTTATTACTGGTAATCTTTGATTTTATAACCTTTTGAGCGCAGACTTTGGAACAGAGTATGGGAAAAATGCAGAGTATTTATAAAACCATTCAATAAAAATAATTTATTTAAGAGGAAAAGTAAAAGACCTTCTTCGGGTGGGATATTCGTCGTGGATGTTGCAAGAGTTCCAATCGGTCGAACGTTAAATAAATTAGGTATAAATATAAGAGTTGAGAATGTCAAAGTCATATTCGAGTCTCGCCGGTTAAACAGCCAACATGAAACTAATCGTAAGTACTTAACACGCGGTACGTATTCATTCGATTAGAGACACACTTTTGAAATAAAAATTTAATGAGATATTTCGGATTCATGTGGAAACACTTTCGGAAACTCACAAGACGGTAACGTCTAGATAACTTAACAGAACCACCATAAGTAACTCACGTAAGATAATGATTCGGCTGGCATTTTATAAAAATTTTATTGTTCTCATTCTTTTTCATTGACCAAAGATCAACTTTTTTAGAAACCGTTTTAGTCAAAGTTTTAGTGCAAATTTTATTGTTTTCTTTCGGGCTATATAAGGTGGAAGAATTTTTGATGAGGATATTTTAAATGTAATCGTCGTCATAAGATAGCCAATGAAATACTCCAGGGAGGTCCTCGCAAACCCTCTCTTCTAGTATGAGTCAAAACAGCGTCAGCATTACAGGGTAAAAAATTACATACAAATAATTTGTTAATAATTTTGGTTGCTACCAATTCAAACCAATAATAATATTGTTTTTTTCACCTTCGAAAATGCTTGTATGTTAATTTTGAATTTACCAGTTTTGTTTTTCGTAAATTAAAATTCAGTTTCAACATCCTGTATATTTTTAACCATTGACATTGGCCGCCACATTTGTGGAATAAAACTTCTATGGCAAATAAAGTAGGGAGATCTAGAATAGTTTGAAATTTGGAAGTATCTATCTCGCAAACTGTCTTAGCAAAACGAAAAAATCCTAAAAATACTGTAAAACTTTGACAGCTTCAGTCTTTGTGCTCGTGGTTATTAAATAACAAAGCGTTAAGAGGAATTTTTTGATGTACCATTACTTTTGAATTAAAACAATGGCACTCTCTCGGAATCTGGAGTACATATTTTGGTAGAAACTATTTGTTCTTATTTTCATTTTTAATGTCTGGGATTTTTTAAAAAATGTAAGAAATCAAATTCCCTCCTAATTGATTTGATCTTGAAAATGCTCTTTATACAAATACTTAATTTAAATTTTATATTTTACAAAACCTTTTTTACTAAAAAATAAAACAATTTCAACACGAATACTTGGATTTGATTGTACCTTGCATTGTACCAACACCGAATACACAATATTTTGAAATGAAGGGAGAATACGATTTTATTGAAGCAGAAAGTTTATTTATTTTTGGCATTTTTTTGTTCAGCTAATTGCCCTAGCAGTAGTCGCGGTGAGCTCGGCTGCTCAACTCTCCGGAAATGAGCCAATTCCAATAGTGAGCCAAAGCGCTGAAGTGAACTTTGACGGCTCATACCATTCATCATACGAAACTGGAAATGGGATTTCTTATGGTGAGCAAGGTCAGTTAAAAAACGCCGGTAACAAAGACGCCGAGGCCGAAGAAGTTCAAGGGTTTGTCCGGTATACCTCCCCAGAAGGTAAGACAAGGGTGGTCGTCGACTAGTTTAATAAAAGCTTTTTCTTCATTTAATTTGAGTCTTCCTTACCACCAATATTCCAAGAAAAATTTATTTGTTATTTAGGACAGCTTGTAAATAAAGCATATTATGATCCAAAATTTATTGCAAATATTTTAAGGCTGTGTTTTTGAGATAAAAAATCATTAATTTGCTTTGATGGTTAGGTGCAGAAATCGATATTTGGATGGATGGATTAAAATGTTTGCGCTAAGTCACTCTTTACACAGTTTAAAAGTCTCTTCCTCATTTTTAAATTTCCATTTTAAAATTTTATTGTTTGTTTAGGTACTCCAATCGAACTTCAATTCGTCGCTAACGAAAATGGTTTCCAAGCGCAAGGGGCACATCTTCCAGTGGCACCTTCGCCTCCACCAATTCCACCTGCGATTCTTAGGTCTCTTGAATATAACGCTGCCCACCCCGAACAGGATCAACTGCAATGATCTAGTCAAAATTGTGTAGATATTTATGAAATAACGCATGTGATCAAATAATATGGTGAACAACTGCCAAATGACATTTTTTTAAGTTTGTAAATAAAAACGTGTGCTATGCACACAAAATCTTTTGAAGGTGTGCTTATATTTAGTTACCCTTGGTTTATATACCTAGAATTTGCATTTGGTTCTACTTATAGAATGCTCTATATGCGAAAAATTACACAAAGTTAAAATTGTTGAAGCAATAATAATTTATAAACATAACCTGATCTTTCTTGTAGGCTGACACCTAAACAACACCGCTTATTATTTAGTCCGCAATTAATAAATCAAGTTAAGTATGAGTTTACCTTTCATCTTCTATATTATGTTGAACTTTGGTTAGTTAGAGGTATTAGGCAGCCAAAATTGTTGAAATTATGTTTTTCAAGAATGCAATATCAGTCTATGGCAGAAATATTCAAACATATCCTACAATAATGTAATCGTATAACAGTTATTTATATATATTTGATGAATTTTAAGAGGAGGGTTATTGAAACTGAAAAAAGAATAGACGTGGTATCGGACAGTACAAAAAGTTAAAAGCTGTCAATTTATTTAAAAAAAAAAAACATCACTCAAAGAGTTAGGTAATGTTTTCCCATCTGCTTTACATAATTTTCCTCCCTCGTCAGTGCATCGAAGAATTTGCTATTCTAATAGAGTATTTCGTCAAACACATAAGATTTCAAATTCTTAATACAAATTAGAGATTTAAGCAAAATTTTCCTAGTATGACGTGTATGAATTATATGCCTTTTATAAAATGCATCACACTGTATTTTTCTACTATATAGTGCTAATTTTTCGTTTCTCGAAGATATATTACCATTGTAAAAAAAAAACGTACTTTTTATTTTTGCAATATCGTAAACTTTAGCAGCCCCTATCCCGAGAACTAAGCTTTTGTGATTATAACAGAAATACATAGTCCCAAGAAATTAGAACTCAATTGCTCTGTAGAAAAAATATACGGAAGAATTGTGACAATTTTTTTTTATGAAATTGGAAATTTATATGATAACGGTCCTCTATAAAAATACTGCCCGTTGTTCAGCAAACAAATTTCAACAACTTTCTCTTTAAATACTTACACAAAATTCCCAATTGTTGAGGTTTGCTTAAGTGTTAGAGAGTATCCGACTTTTAAATTGATTGGTGGAATTAGAAAATACGCTCTTCGTCCTGTTTAATTTTTTATAATTTTACTTTAAAACTCTTAATGAATTAGAATTACCATAATATAGAAGCGTCTTTCCATATATTTTATAAGCTTTTTAGTAATGTAATCATAAGAGAATTGTAATTTATCCAAAACTTGTTTTTTATCATTATTTCAACATTCAAAACCTGCTTAAAAACAGACGTCAATTACGGCATTGAATGTGTAAAAAGCTGCTTTTCGAAATATTTTAGACAAAAACTTATGCAAAAATAAAAAGATTTATTAATTTTGTGTTAATTTAATTATCACCCAGATTGTTGCATTGCGCCGAATTGAATTGTTTAAAGTATGAAATTTTGCGTCATCAAATTTTATATAACATTTGATTTCTTCCTAAAAACGTAAATGTGTCATACGTTCTTTAGAAAATTTTAGTTGCATAATAATCGCGCATTTACTTTGCACACATCACAACGGAGTCATCTCTACAAGCTCTCTACATTCGTCAATTAGTTAATGGATACTTGCCGTTGCACAATAGCGAGATATTTAAAATCATACCGACATTAATAAACATTTTACAACTTAGTATTAAAGGAATATATGTGTTCATTTAAATGTAGCCTGAAATTATCTCAAAAAAATATGGCTGGAATAAAAACCATAAGCGAAAAACTGAAAAATTTGTTGTATGTATGTTGTATGTATGCGGTAATGAACGACTTCCCATACATCCGGCAGCGGTACGACCTTGAAAACATTCTAAAATGAATGTGAATTTTGTATAACCGTAGAGAATCCAAAAATTCGGAATTATACATTCTGTCTAATACGAAAACTTAACAAATGTTGTAGGAACCAATGAGGATAAACGTTAACTTTTAGCATATTTTGTTAAACAAAGAGCAACTGTTCAGTTAATGTTCATGTTATTAATAATAACGAATAGGTAATGTTTGTGATACCGATAAAAATTAGAACATTTAAAAAAATGTATCGCTATTTCACTCGTAGGAAAATATTATTCCTAACACGTACTAGAAGCAGTTTTAACCCTTTTAAGAATATCCGAACTTTGCATCATCGCTTGAATAACTCCTTAAAGTTACATTTTGGTAGGTAAAATTCGGTCTTCTGTGAGAATAACCAATTTGTGTTGTTTATTGGTATGAGAATATTAGTTCGTCAAATGCGAGTGTAGTTAACCCTGACCGTTCAAAAACAACGGTATAAACAGGATAAGAAGGACCACTCTAAGCATCGTCACAGCGAGCCTTTTTCCTTCTTTATTAGTCCTAAACACTTCGTGGCAGTCCTTTACGACCAGATTATAAGCTGAAAAACCTGATGTTAATACAATGGATGTCTTGTTTGTTTTTTGGGGTGCTGTTGACATGTTCTATTTGAAATAAGGGGTTAAATTAATATTTATTATGTACCGACATTTTCATGGCGATTTCAGAGTGAAGAAACTTAGCAATTCCACATAGAGAAAAAAAATAATAATAAACGCAAATTGTTTGTTAAGTTAATATATTACCAACAATTTGTATACCATACCGCAAACTTTCACCCAAAAATGTTAATTTTTTTTTATTCATTTATACAGAAATATTCATATATTACTAATATCAAAAAAAAATCTGATATCTTAGAATACAGGCATACAGTAATTAATGTTTTATATACTCTTATCTAGCATTTAGCTCAACATTTTTTCACGATTTTATTTGTGTCACTACAATAAAAATAATTTATTTGAGAAGACAGGCAAAAGACCTTCTTCGAGAAAGATATGTGATGCAATTCAATAATCGACACATCTGAACGTTAAATAAATTTCGGTATAAATACAGGAGATGGGAGTGTCAAAATCCAATAGTCTCCTCATAGCGTCTGCTACCGAACGAGCAACATGAAACAAATTGTAAGTGGCACAAATATACCGTCTGTCCGTGCGGATATTGAAAACGGTAAGAGCAAGAGGGTCGGTTTGATTAGAAAACGGTACATTTATGCCTAACGATTTGCATATAAAATCACATTTTCTTTTAAATTTTAATTTAGAATATTTTATTAACCCATCATATATATTTGTCAATTCGTTTTAAACGCATAAACACCTATGAGCTTCAAACATTTTGCATTATATTTATTAACCTAAAATTGTTATATAAAATTGAATAGTTGTAGTCAAGTTTCTGAACAAACTCTTGATTAAGATTTTTTAAATATTTTTTTCTGACCGTGACTACTTCAATTTTTTGTTTCTAATTAATATTGTTTATTATGTTAGGCGTACGAGTTGCTAGATATCACCAGGAAAATTAGGACACGAAAACACAGTCCTGCGTGACTTATATCTAATACCTAATATATTTAAAGTCAACGCGGAAAAACTGAAAAACGGATAACTGACCTCTTGGCTCTTACAGTGTCTTAAATACATTACATTATAACTTTATAAGTAATTCTCATACTTCAGCTGTACTTCATGACTATACCACATTTGTTTCAGATTGTTGGTCTCAGCATCCTTGCTTTGGCTTCAGGCGCCGCCATAAACGATGAATCGCAGGCAGAAATTCTTAGCCAGGATTCGGAAGTAAACTTTGACGGCTCGTTCAGATCATCTTTCCAAACAAGCAACGGTATATCAATCCAAGAGCAAGGTCAATTGAAAAACGCTGGCAGCAAAAATGGCGAAGCCCAAGAAGTCCAAGGGACTATCCAATATTCATCACCTGATGGTAACGAATCCATTTTTTTTTAATGAGATTGTAAAAACCCGAATTCTAAACAGCTCTTATAGAGTTGCGATAACGATTAACTTTTTTCAAGTCAAATTTTATAGCCGCTTCGTTTTGTATTTACCGCGTTTGTGTATGTTAGGTACTCCAGTTCAGCTGCAATACATTGCCGACGAAAATGGTTTCCAACCTCAAGGTGGTCACCTTCCTGTACCTCCTCCAATTCCGGACGCCATCCAGAAATCAATTGAGTGGAATGCTGCGCACCCCGAAGAACAACAGGAACAAGCTCAACAACAACCTCCCAACAGGCGTTACTAAGTTGCGATCACTTTGTTTTTTTCGCTGCCGTACTTTCTGTAAATTGTTTTGTTGTTTTGTGCCATGTACAAAAATAAATGTTTTCTGAAAATGTTGTCTAAATCCCTAAGCGAACCTTTATGTTACCCCCTGCTGAGTTTTAATTTTTCACTTTTTCACAGTTTCAGAATCCTACGGTTTTTTGTAGGTGACGTTCCATGAGAAAAGTTTCCAAAAATTCGCATTTTACCTGATACAGTTTTCAAATGGGAATTGATAATAAAAAATGAGGTGGATATATTAAGTCCGTCTGATACGAACAGATCAAAAACAAAATGATATTCAAACAACTTTCAGATTAGTGAAAGACATCCTCCTTAGTTTACTTGTCAATGAGGAGAATCGAATTCCAAATAATGTTATGACAAATAAACTATTTTGATTTGATTTGGTTTTGAATGTCCTAGCGCTGTTGTCGATAAATAAACTTGTAAGTTAAAAACTGATATAATTTTATTTCACGCCACTGCTTTTATTAGGTACAGCTCAGTTGGCAATTTTTGAGTTTAAAGTTCGGCAAAATTTGCATTCGATGTGTTTTTACCCTGATAAAATCAAAAATCTTGAAAGCTATTTTCCTGTCATTCGCACCAAAAACCAGAATATTTTTCGCCTAACGCCTTTAAAGTGAAGATTTAATGGTCTTTTTATGCCAAAAATGAAATTGCTTAAAAACATCTATAAAATTCTTAAATAGGTCAATTTTGATTATTTTCTTTGAAAAATAAAGGAATAAGCCTAATAAGCGAATCTTTATTGTGTACTTTCGTGCAATTTCACTGAAGGGAACTGAAGAATTTTGCAGTAGCCCTAGGTAAGAAATATGAAGTGAATTTTAAGACAAATTCAAAAAATTCTGTATAACCCTGAATATATGATCCCAATTTTTTATTACAAAGGCTCCCACCTACCTCCAAATCAAAAATAAAATATCTCAAAATTATGAATTATGAAACAAAAAATAGGAATTGACACAATTTTTTTCTACTCCCTTCTGTAAAATACCTAATTATAAACAGATCTGGCTTGCGCAAATTGTCATTTTACCACGTCGGTTTCGTTTCCCACGGATCCGAGAAACTTCGGACATTTCCGGGAGCAATAGGATGGTTTCGAAGATATTACCGCACGACTTGAATTTTGACGTTTGTCAATTCTCACGGTCAAGTCAGTGAATGTCGTAGGAAAAGTATAGTATGCAACACTCGTTCCGCTGCGCTCCGCTCGTGCCAGATAAACTCGTGACTCAAGTGCCGTTTACCAAACTTGTTGCATAATTTACTATATACCTACAGTTAATCAGAAAACACAACTGTCGATTCGAGAAATCTCTCACAGGATTTTTATTTCAAAATTCCGAAAGCAATTCATTGTCATTTTTTGTTGATTATTAAAAAAAAACTATAAGGACAAATTTTAAGAAAATTTGATAATCCAATTTTTAGTAACATAACGCTCCAACAGTTCTTTATTCTTTAGGCGTCTACTTCGTTGAATAAAAAATCCTTTTTTAGTAAAAATAATTTATGCGACAAAGTTGGAGACCTTTAAAAATCGAGGATACTGCATTCGTCTGGTGCCGATCGATGGTTTGGTATAAATATAGCGCATTAATTGCCAAAATCTTATATTACTCCGGACGTGTGTGTGAGCCTAATCAACATGAATTTTTTAGTAAGTAAAATAATTTAAAAAAATATTTATTCAATAAGCCATCAACAAAATCGGTTAGTTCGACACGTTTACCATCAATTTTCCGAAAATGTATCTTATTTTAGATCATTACTCTCAGCCTGGTAGGTTTGGGTGCAGCTGCCCAACAACCAAGCGAAGCTGCTGCTTTGATTCTTAAGCAGGATAGTCAAGTATTCTTCGATGGGTCGTACCATTCGTCATTCGAAACCGAAAATGGAATTTTTGCCGAGGAAGAAGGTAATTTGAAAAATACTGGCAAGGCTGATGCCGAAGCTGGAGAAGTACGTGGATTCTTCCAGTATACCGCCCCAGACGGTGAGTGAACATTTGCATCAGATTTTCTGAATATGCTAGCCGCGACAGTTCTCGGCCAGTTCTACCAAAAAAGCCCTTACATAGTGAAAGATTATTTTAATTCATATTTAAATTAATAATACAAAGCTAACAAATATTAAAAGCAAGCCAAAAATTAACGTCTTAGAGAGATTTGTGAGTTGGGGAAGCATACTGCCGCACAGTAAAAATAGTTTATTGACAACAATACTAGATATAATAACATAGAGGCCTTAGCTATTCTGATAACACAGGTAGTTTTGCTACAAATATAAAAAAATGTTGAGAATAGATATTTAGTCTGTGCATGTGCCAAACGCATTTAACCACTAAAAGAACCTTGGCATTCAACATGGCAGCTGACATTTCTTCAATCCAGTTTTCCCTTCATTTATGGAATTTTGTAGGGCATATTTCGATGTTTAATGTCAAATAAATTTGTTTGCTTGAAAACAAAAATGCTCGGAATTATATTTAGTGGTTGATGCTGTTAATGCACTTTGCACAAATTAATTTAATTTTTATTGCTGCAGTTTTTCAAAATCATATTATTTTTTCTTTATTGTTAAATTTTTTCGCGACTATAACGATTTTAGTATTGCTTAGCATTTTGTCGATATATTATTGAGTCATGTGTATTATATTATTATTATAAGTAAAGTTTGCTAGAAAAAGCCAATTGACTTTGAAGTATTTTGCAGGTTCCTTGGTCCGAGTTGAGTACACAGCGGACGAAAACGGCTTTTCCCCCAAAGGTTCACATCTTCCCACCCCTCCTTCAATTCCGCCAGAGATTCTCAGAGCGCAGCAATACATTGCCGCTCAAGGTCAAACAGAACAAGAACTGCCTTACAGGAGAGTCTAATTAGATCTTAAATAATCAAACTCTCTTATTTAAAGATAGTACTAGGTTTCAATGAACCAATATCGCCATTACTATGTTAGCTGCTGAATGCTTATTACGTCACATAAACAAAAAATATACGTAACTAAATTATAAATACAAACATAATTACTTGATTTGTGTAATTATTTTACTCCATTTTACTTTTAAAAATTGAAGAACTCGAAAGCTTTCTTTATAATAAAATATAGCAAGTTTATGGCATAATGGGCAGATAAATAGTTGTAGTTAAGTTGAAGTTTACTCTACCTAGGTGCGAAGCTTTCTGTTAATTAACGGGCTTCGAAGCTGATGATACGCATAATAAAAATAAAATTTTATTTTATAGAAATAAAAAATGAAACAATCTACCGGATTTGTCATTTAAAGAACTCGCTAAAGTATGTTTTTAGAAGTTCATTACAAAATCGTTCTCCAGGTACTTCTAATGAACCACCTAATATAACGTATTTCTTTTATAATTCTCAAAAAGCTTTGGGACACTGAGTAACAAGTCAGACGTCTCGTATTCTATATTTTTTTATTGCGAAATGGCGTAGACATTGCGTATTAACTAACGTATTACTTATTAAGTAATCAACATTTCTCTTTCCTAGAATATTCGACTGACATTATCAAAACATATATTCCCCGTGTCACAAAACAATGAAATTTAATATATGTTGCGAAGTTGTTAATGAAACGCGTTCGCGGAGATTTCACAACAGACTGGCCCCAATTGGTGTATTAAAAAAAATCTACTAGCAGTTAAATGAGTTGCATCTATGTTCATAAAAATATTTAAAATTTACAGCCGCACGTAAAGTTTTAATTAAAAGGATGCAATCACTTGATTCGTGGTGTCCATATAGCTACTGCCTATATAAAGAAGAAACATTCAATGTGCGCATGCGCTCACCTTTTCAAAACTCGCTTGTAACTATTCCAATTAAATCTCGCTTTTAACCAATAACACTTTCCGACAGTTATAAACGCTTTAATATTGTAAACCGCTAAATAGAGGTTCCCATGTATATTGTATATTACTAGTTTCCCAAAGTGTCAGCAATTTGTTTATATAAAACCACGGTGCGAACCACATCGCCAGCTTTTTGTCATCTCGCTTGAACAAAGTTTTTTAAAAAATTAAATTCGTTTTCCACGACGAAAACTGGCTCAGTCGGTAGGATTCCGTGAAACAAGCATTCAAAAATCGACACTCTCAAGAGTTTATTCGCGAAATCCAAACAACACAAAAAACTGTTCAAGTGCAAAGTGCTCAATTGGCCAGGGAAAGGAACAAGCATCGTCCACAACCCTATTGGTGCGAAATAAGGAACAAAAATCGTCCGAATTTCATACGTAGCGCAGGGAAGAGACAAGCATCGTTCATCGTATTGGAAAACTAGATTAAGAAAACGAGACAACCAGGAATGAAAATCGTCGTTCTCTCACTGTTACTATGGCTCGCAAACATCGGAGCAAACGAAGTAAAAATCCACAACCTGAACAACTATCCAGGAATCCTTCCTTATAAACTAGGTACCGCAAAAATAACCTCTATCCATTTCTCCTTTATACAAATTCTTGATTTAAACCCAGCTGTTGCTGAATTCTATGCAATCTATAACCAAGTAAATATATTAAGTAGTCAGATTAAAAATAATACTAAGCATTCTCACGAATATTCTAATTCAGTCATCCCTCTTGTAACATTAGGAAAACGCATTGAAAACCAAATTAATCAACTCAATCCATCATCTATAAGAAGAAATAAAAGAGGCCTATGAAACCCAATCGGTTCTATTATTAAATGTATTACTGGACCAATCTGATGCGGAAAATACGATATAGAAATCTGCAAGAAAACCAAAATAATTTAAGGATCTATTCAATTAATCAAATAAAACTGTTAGAAAAAACAATAAACACATTTAAAAATTTGATATCCAATATTTCTCATAACCAAATCATCCTTAAATCCAAAAGGTTACAAATTGATCAAATAATTAAAAAGATAACCGTTGAACAAACGAATGATTATGAGTATTTCCAAACACATGTAGTAATGAATCAAATTACCTTTATGTATAATTCAATATATAACATTTTTGAGAAAATCGAAACCGCAATCAGCTTTGCTAAATTAAACATTTTACATCATTCGATAATTGATCCGTCTGAACTATTCGAAGAAATTAAAAATATTAAAAAAGAATTAAAGGAAAATCAACTGCCGTTCGAGTTATCTATCGAAAATATATTAAATTTTGAAAAAATTATATTAAAAAAAAAGCTACTCTAGAGGACTAATAACAACTTTTATTTTGGAACTACCGCTAGTAGAATCAGAAATTTATCAAATCCGCTACCAGTTAATAGTGAACAAGAACTGCAATATTACGTCAATATACCGATCAAACCATACCTTGCATTGAGTGGAAATATGTACTCATTTATGGACTCTGAATGTGCAAAACTATTAAAAAATGAGTTCATGTGTACAAATTGGAATAACTGAACTAAGGACCTATACCCTTAATCGATTGAGATTTGATGATACTCGTCTACCGGAAGACAATCTCTCACTACTACACAAGCAGAAATAATCTTCAATCCACCAGAACTCACACTGGACACGATCAACCTAAAGCAAATAAAGGAGCTACAAATCCAAATAGACGAAGCAAAAGAAAACCTTGGAAAGATGTCATTACCTATATATTCTACAAGAACAATTATATTGATTTTGATTTATTTGTTATATAGATGTTTTCCATTTGAAAAGTTACCTAAAATTAATAAACAGGAAGAGAATATTATTATTTTAACTGAAAGCACTTGTTGTACCCGTGCTTTCATCTAAGGGCTGAGGAGTTATAAACGCTTTAATATTGTAAACCGCTGAATAGAGGTTCCCATATATATTGTATTACTAGTTTCCCAAACTGTCAGCAATTTGTTTATATAAAACCACGGTGCGAACCACATCGCCAGCTTTTTGTCATCTCGCTTGAATGAAATTTAAAAAAAAATCAAATTCGTTTTCCACGACGAAAACTCGACGTTCAATAATCAATATGGTGCGTCATTCGCGTAATATCGTTTCTTTCTATACGAAAATACCATAGCCGTCTTAATTAATAACTTATTAAATAAAAACCAAAATTTTCTCACAAAATAAAGTATTTTCTAAAAATAGTAAGCACAAAATAAAGTGACCAAATATGATCTGCACATCTGCCAATTAGGATTTTGCCCCCAACGACCGATAGTAATCCGATATAATCTTCCATGCCTTGGGAGCCATGAAGCCATCTGGAGGTTGTTCTCCGGTACGCGCAAACTCTATAGAGATATTCATGAACATAAAACTTGTCATCTACACTAGTCATTACTCACTCCTCATTCTTGTACCGGAAATAAAATCAAAATCTTCTTTCCGTTTGGGCTCGAAAAATGCCATCTTTTTCTCAATCATGTCATACGCTGCCACCCGGAAGGGTAGGATTTCCAATGAGTCTAGACCTGGGGCCATGCGTAGCACTCTGGCTCCGTGAGTTGAGTCGAATAAGTTCCCATCTGGAGTTGCATCTTTGCCTTCCGGATGAGGCACTCCAGCTGGATCTCTGCCAACTATATAGTAATTTGCTCCAGCGACCATCCTTGCTTTCGCATGCCACTGAACCTAAAATTAAATCCGGGATTGTTGGATGCACATTTTAAAACTTCTATAAAACCAACCTCTGTGGGGCCAGCGTACAGCATGGGACTCGGAAAAATTGCAAGGACCGTAGAACACTTTTCCAAGACGTTATCTTCCAGAACAGCTTCATGTTGCATCATACGTATTGAGAGGGGTACGTCGTCGTCTTTGGTCCATCCTCCAAGAGGGTTGAGAAGGAGCACGGGTCTCTGGTAGCCTTTGGCAACGAGTTGCCTAAAGTTATCAACTGGCGATAAGAAATAATTACTAGTTTTCTCTAAACACTAACCTCTTGGTGTCCGTCATTAGAAGCGCGTGTCCGTTGTGAATCGGATTCCGAAGCTGAAAGGCAAACACTACATCGGCACCCATTTGTTTAAATTTTTTTCGTAACTCGTTCGGAGTTAGCCGATATTTATCCAGTCCGTCGTTCCATCTAACCCTTTTGACGACCTCCAAATCTCCTCCGATGAGCCAATCACCCGATTCGTAAATAAGCTAGAAGCAACAAGATCAACGAGGGATATTTACAAAAATCGAGTATCCACCTTAATATGCGGGTGGTCTTTGTGAGTCGTACCAAACTCCCTCGCCACTCTCTCTTCCTTTCTGTGAAAATATATCTCAGGTTGTCGTAATACGGCGTACAGTTCGTCGTTATAATATAAGGAAACAGCATTGGAACCTACCAATCTTTCTTTTACGGCGGTTGCTATTGGAAGCACGATCGGTATGCTTTGGTTAACTCTGGTTCCATTATTATTAATGGTGTTGAAATGAAGAACCTAGACGAGGAAACAATGCATTCGAGATGTAGCCAGCAATCCATGAACTAACCTGTAGGAATTCGTCCTCTCTCATAAACCCTTGCAGAGGAGTGGCCCAACCCTCACTAAGAACTTGCAACCATTGAACATCGACCTGGTTCATGTCGATTCTTGGTAGATTGAAGGCTTCATTTTTTATCTGTTTGACTTTATGATCTGGTACAAAGAGTTCTTTTACTGGTGTGTCGATAATGCCGTTAGAAATCTTCGCCAATGGGCTAGTTAAAACTTTAGGAATAACCCCCTAAAAATTAAGATTTTTTTAAATATATTCAAATACTATTAAAAACTTACATTTTCGACCAGCATTTCTACCACCAATCTTACAGATTCTTCAATAGAGGTCCTGGCCGTTTTTAAAACCAAATCCGGGTGTTCCGGTTTTTCGTAGTCTTGATCAATCCCGGTAAATCCTTTAATGAGACCCTGTCTAGCTTTTTTATAAAGGCCTAAAATATATAACAAGCAGGTGCTAAATTTCAATATTAACTTGTAGTATTGTATGTGACAAATGAAACCCTAACAGTATTTAAGTCCAATACAATCCAAGCTATTTTTTTGAAAAGAGAAACTGTTTTTAAACATTTAGGCATATATTTCACACAAAAAATAATATTAAACACTGTTTTTACTTTATTGAAATATCGTTGTTACCCTTAGTATCTCGTTCTTCGCAAATCGCCAATGGTGTATCGACAAAAACTTCAAAGAACTGAAGATTGTTATTCTCGTGTCCTGTCCTCACGTTTTCTCGATCAGCCCTAAACGGTGATACGAAACTACAAAGACAGATGTGTCCAGCATCAGCGAAGAGTTTGGCAACTTCAGAGATCCTTCTGATATTTTCTTCTCGGTCTTCTTTCGAGAAACCTAAGTTTTTATTTAGCCCTGAAGATACAAAAAACAAATAAAAAATATATAAATATGCAACTCTAAAAATCCACCTGTTCTCATATTGTCGCCATCTAAACTGTACGAAGGAATACCGTTGCTGACTAAATACTCCTCCAAAGCAAAAGATATGCTAGTTTTTCCAGCTCCGGAGAGACCTGTGAACCACACCGTGCAGCCTCTAAAATTTTTCTGCTGGCCACGTCCGAGAATTTGGGCCCGCTTTTCTCTGGACACGTGTTGCCATTCATATCTGATATTAGTGGCCACTTGGGTATTCTGCAAAAGTATCATTTTAGTTCATTTATTGATCCAAAAAGAATTTTTTTTTATAGAATTTGTCCCGAATCTCGTGCCGTATTTATAAAAATATTTTGTTCATGAAAAGTAATTCACCAAAGGTAAATGTAAAAGTTCGAGGCGAAAACGTTGGAAGAAGATTTGACTTTGTTTCGTATTCACGATTTTCCCCTTTTCTATTAAAGCAAATTGTCACAAACAGTTATTGTCGCGGGAAAAATATGTTTCAAATAAAATATGTCGAAAACAACGAATATTCTAATTTTTTATTCTTGCGGTTTGCATTTCAATTAAGTTTGTATTCCTTTTTTCTGACAAATGTTAATGGCATTATTTGACAGAAATTATAGAGTATCTCAAAAGGACGAGACTAATGACTCTGATATACGTTCAATTTCTTCTTCAAGAGCTTCTGTTTAACAATTTTAAAAAAGCAGATTCAGATTCCTTTTCTTTAAGAACAGAATATGAAGTTAACTTTATTCTAATGATTTTATTTTTGGGGTAATCGTTATTAAAATTTGGAACCCATAAAATTTTTATTTGATTAGTAAATACAACATTAATTAATTTTATACCCTTCATTTTCTAATAACTAAGGTAAATTTCTGTGTCTATGGCAGATGATCACTATAAATATCAGCAATTTGATTGTCGCATAGAAATCTATTTGCTCGCAAATCCTTATTTTATACAGGGTGTTCGGAAATTGAGTTCGGAAACTTGGAGGAAAGATTCATTGTGGTAAAATAATGGTAGTAAGTCATATAACAAAAATTCGAAATCGTAATATTTTGCCAGTTGTCAAAATTCATTTAATTTTAAATTTTATTTTTAAAGCGCTGTTTTAGAAATCTGTCACTAGAGGGCACTTTACCTAGTACATTTTTTTTATTTTCCCTGTATCTGTAATTTATTGAGTCTGATATTGCAAAATAGAACAGATTACCTTAAGCAGAATCACAAATCCTCAAAAATGAAATGCACGACGACTTTATATCGAGGCTTGTTCCATCTGCTAAGACTTATATAGAAGACTTAGTGAAAAAGGATCATTCAAACCTGATAATATGAATAAAGGGAGACCAAGGTATAAAAGAACCGCTGCAAGAGAAGAAAGATTACTTCAAGATGAGTACGAGAAAACTTGTTGCTCAGGAATGAATTGCTTGCTCTACAGTTTGGGAAGTTTTGCATGAAAATTATCCTCGGTCCTTTCATGTTTAAAGGCTTCAAGCACTATATGAAGATGATGAACAATTGAGAGTAATTTTTTACAATCAAATTTTAGGAAAAATTCTACATTGCCAGCAATTATTAAATGTTATTTTGTTTACTGACGAAGCTGAATTCAGTCGTGATGGCATTCCATCAGTAGAACATTGAAAACCCACATGCAAAAATTGAAGGAAAATCAGCGCCGGTTTTTTTTAAATGTATGGGCAGGGATTATAGGAGATAATCTTATAGGACCTCATTTCTTTAAAGGATCATTTATTGGGAAAATATATTTGCAATTTCTTCAAGAGGAACTACCACCTTTGCTGGAGATAAAACATGTGGTTTTTACATTGCCTGTACGAAGATATTTAAATCAGGTATTTGAATAACGATGGACAGGTCGGGGCGGACCTCTAGCTTGGCCGCCTCGCTCACCAGACCTTAATCCGACGGACTTCTTTTTTTGGAGGCACTTAATGTCTTTACTGTATGAAACACCTATAACAGATATCAATGATCTACTACAAAAAATAATAAACGGCTGCGAATTCGTTAGAAATAGTCTAGGAGTATTTTTTCGTGTTCGACTGCATTTTTTAAAATGTATAAGAAAATGTTTAGAAATGAACGGTGGACATTTTGAAAATGAATCGTAATTAGCGTTGTATACTGTTTAATTCCAGATTCTGATTAATAATTTTTTATTTTCCAAAATGTTAAATATATTTATGTTACTGAAATTAAACATTGCATTAAACAAGCATTGACCTATGCCATTTTTTTCACTTTTTTAATTTGTAGCACACTGTTTTGAAAAATTTAGTGCAGGTAGCCTGCAGTTTAACAATGCTGGCCTGCATTTCCACTTGCCTTTCAGTATATATCGCGATATCCAGGATCACCTTTCTGTAAATTAGAAGTGCGGGGTGCGACTCAAAACAAGAGTAAAAATTTTTGAGAATTCGTGATTGCTTAATTCGATCTGTTTTATTTTGCGATATCAGTTTAAATAAATAAAATACAGGGAAAATTTTAAAAAATGTTCCAGATAAAGTGCCTCCTAGTGACAGATTGCTGAAACACTTTTATTTTGCAACAATGACTTTTACTAAATCAGGGTTGTGTGTGAAATACCCGCCGCGTTACGTTAAAAATAAATTTTAGAAAAATAAATATTGATAAGCTATTTTTTGTTATATGACTTACTACCATTATTTTACCACATTGAATCTTTCCTCCAAGTTTCCGAACTCAATTTCCGAACACCTTGTATAAAAATCGATTAATTAATTTAGTAACTATGATGCTAAAAATTGTTACTTTGTAAATAGTATTATTATCAAACTTAAGCTCGTTCGAAAAATAGTTTATTATTAAATATTGCAAATGGTGGTTAGTTAGAATTATTAAATAAAGCAGATGTTAGTTTTGCCATCAAGAAAAGGTTTTATCACAATTGAGTATAAAAAAATTGTTCGCGTGTCATATTATAAAACAAGAACATAAGAAGAAACAATATTTGATAGTCATTAAAGAAAAGGATAAGTTTGTTATTTTTAAAAATATTAATTTTACTGAGACAACGACTTGTTTGATTCATTAATCAATAACCTTATTTGCAGTAAAGTTAGTGACAAAAACGTTCAAACAATAATGTGCTCTACAAAGAGATCCTACACTTAATGAAAATAGGTATGCGCTGTAGGCATTAAATATATGCAATGAACGCCAGCACGCTATACGTAGTTTTGTATTCAAGAAACTTTTGCTTTCTTTTGCCAATTAATTAGTAAGTAAATGAAATTAAATTCGGACTAAAATCTAGTTTGCATTTTTTTTTTGGAAGATGAGCTGTATCAAGAGTGGTTTAAATTTACAATCACCTTATAAGTATAAAATTAACACCTACGAGATGATGTTCGTTGACAATTTGGCAAAATCAAATTTCTTACCAAATTATATTCCAATACTGCGGTATTTCTTCCCATGTTTTGTCGAAACGACACTTCAGAGAATTTCTTAAAACACTTTGCACCAAATTGTGGTATTGTGACGTCCAATGTGTACAATTTCGCTTATGGCAAAATGCGGAAGAGTTTCGGAGAAAGTTACCCATACTATACCGTTTCTTGTTTCTACCCATCGAATCGGTCGATAGACTTAACCATAATAAACGTATATATAATGTGCAACATACAATGCAACTTAATGTTTCGACTGACAATTTAAAATATTATTATTATTAAGTAGATACACACTCACCGACATGGTGTCAAAAACTCCTGATCTAGATTCTGTTATTGGATCGACACAACTGCGGAATACCAAAAACCCAAATTGATTTGTGAATTTCAATGTTTATATACAAATTTTATGGTTGTATGATCTCGAGGAAATAAGTAAAGGTGCCGTTCTAATTCCTGAAGTTTAAAAAAACTTTAACGGTCACCTTACAACGTCCCATGACCGTGACTTTGTAGTGAAATAATTCATAAAGTGGCTTTATTTTGGTTTTTTTGCAAAATTTTACAAGCAAGCGTAATGGTTTATTTATTTCTCAAGGCGAACTTGTCAAAAAAGTTGGCGTTTTAGAAGACAAAATAATGCAAGGCGGTTTCGCAACTTTTATTGTTTTAACAAAGTATTTTGAATATTACCTCGCGGAAAACAAATTTTAAACCATCCTCCGACAGTAGGCCGAAGCTACTGGAATTAAATTGGAAATAAAATGCCTAAAACTTCGTGAGGATGTAGATGAAACTAAATAGTAATTTGAGAAACTTATAAATTAATTCCAAGAAAATCACGAACAATGTTTGTGTAAATCAGATTTTATTGCAAATTTACATGGTTTTTGCTGATTTTGAACTATATAACGAGAAAGTGGAGATCCCTGGCTATGAATCATCTTGATACATAATCTTTGCTATTTACTTCTACTTCTTTAGGTCTCACCTAACTATAATCATTATCTACATCAATAGTTAAAATATTGGTAAATATGGCTTTCACTTTTTACCACACTAGTTTACTAAATACTCTGGCACCATATTAAAATTATTCTGAAATAACGAGCATATCACCAATAAAAAATTATATAACGACCACTCTGTAAAAAACGCAATAACACGAACATTAACCTCCCGGGTCAAACACACAAGGTTGTGTATCAATTTGATATTCATTTGTGTTCTCGTATACCTGCATAACGAAATTTGTTAGAAAAGAAGAGAGTTAATAATATTTACACATTTCATCTTGATTAGTTATTTTACTACAAGGATATTACATAACTGTGTAGTACGGTGCCAGTATTCGCGTGTTTGCTATTTGCATTGGATCTTGTGTTTTTTATTTAAATCCTAAAACAACATATAGTTATCGTAACACAAATCTGCTTCTTCCAGTGACCGGTGCATAGAACATCTTAGGTGAGAGAAAGATGTTCGACTGGCCAGGCTGTATTCTATAGATCGCATTCTTTTTTGAAATAGTTTGATAAAGAAGCCATGCCAACCCAAACAATAAAATTTGCTTCTTCTAAACGAAAACCTTTTAATAATGACTGTTTAGCATTAGCTTTTACCTAAGAATTCATATTTTACCTGTTTTTTTTTTTAAATACCTACTTGTTTAATATTTTAAGTTTTTATTCAAAAAAATGTTTCTTTTTTAATTAACAAATTAACAAACAATGTTTAGATCGTCCATGCGTGAACAAACTACTCCAGTGGGTTCTGCGGATGGTACAAAAATTAACTTACGTATTTATTCACTGTCCTGTCTGTTTTAGCAAGCAGTTTCGAGAAAATGTTTTAGGAAGCAGCTTTGGGAAAATCATTGTTGCTTGCTATTACCAATCTAATTATATGAATGAATAAGATTTTTACAATTTTTTTCCCACTTTTTTTAGAGTTATGCAATCATCGGCTTTGCCTGGATGCGACAACGGCCCTATTGACTATAACAAAATAGAAAAGCACATGTCTCAGTTTGGTGGTGGCAAAATAACCATGTCCAAAACATACTGGGATGAAGGAATAGCAATAATTGAGCTCAACAATCCGCAAAAGAAGAATGCAATTAGTGGTAATAATGATTGTCAACTAGACCAAAACTTAGAAATTAGGACGGACTTGAATTATATTTAATTTTCAAAACAATTTACGATTTTATCGCGAACAGGAAAATTTTCGTCCCTAATTTCGAAATGCCCTTGAGAAGAAGTTGTACAATAAAATCTAATGGTTTCGCTTCATTCTATCCTTTTTTAAAATATAAAAATATATTTGATAAAATTCGTACACATACTCTAACCCAATATTTAAAATTTTCACAAATTTGTTGAGATAAAAAAGATAAATATAATTCATGGAATCAGAAAAATCGAATAATTTAAACTCAAGGTTGCGTTGATAGAAAAAAAAATCGCATGCTGTAGTAAATAAATTACAATTTATACTCGGTGTTTCATAAAATATTTCCCTCATTTCTGGGATAAATAACATTAGTTTGGATACACAAAATGTGTTAAAAAATGCCTACTTCAGAAGGCTCTGTAAGGGGGATCGCAAAAAATCGTTTTTCTTATTATTTCTTTTTAGGGTACCTTAATGAGGATTATTTAAACTACTGCAAACAAAATTTAAATACATTGTGCACTAGTATAGCGACTTATTTTAATTATTAAATTACCATAAAAAGAAACTTTTATTTAAAGCCCATAAAAATAAAGTTATTTGAGGTTATAGCAAGTAATATCCGAATTAATAAAATATTTTAAGTAACTTAATTATTTTCACTAAAAGAAAGCAGAACTACCTCAGTAATGATTGCGTTTGAAGCGCCTATGAACTTAAAATATTGTAAATATTTTGGACTTTTATTCTGTGAGCAGCAACTTCTTTATGGTCTAACTTTTTGGTGTCCTTTTACAGAGCCGCGTCTTCTGAATTAGGCATTTTCAGACCAATGTCTTGTAAACCAAATTAACGTTGCTTTCTAATAGTCTATTTACCCTAGAAATTACCGGAACTTTTTTTGGAACACCCTTTATTTTTCGCCAGGTTACCTGCATGAGACACAAATTCAAGTATAGTCAAAAATTGTAAAATCAAAGACTTTATGAATACTTGTTCGTTTTGTATGCTTGCTTACTATGCGACTGTTAAAAAAAAAGTTTTAGCAAATAATATCCACATTATATAAAATATTTTAAGGAACTTAATTAATTTAATGAAAAGAAAGCACGCACTATCTCAGGAAATAATTATTGTTTCAGAAGCAACTATGAATTTAAAATGTTGTAAATCATTTGGGACTTATTGTTGGTCTAACTTTTTCGGTTCCTTTTAATTCTGAAGGGGGCATTTTAAGATCCAGGTTAATCAAAATGAAACTAACTTTATTTTGTAAAAATTTATTTAATATATGATACATGATATATGATAAATATGAGCAAAAATTAAGTAAAATCAACATACTTTATGAATTATAAGTTGTGCTGTTCAAAAAGTAAATCAAGTGACAAAAAAGAAGCTTCGAACGAAAGTGGAGCTGCTCGTCCTTTTAAAAAAATATTTTGCAAAGAAACATGTAAACGTGACGTAACTGAGGAACATAGTAGGTTAAGAAACAAATTTCAACCATACATATTAAAAAAAAAATTCTACTCCCGTCTGTAAAATAAATAATTACGCACCGATCTAGCGTGCGGGAAGCGTCACTTTACCACGTCAGTTTCGTTTCCCACGAATCCGAGCCACTTCGGACATTTCCGGGATTTTACCGCACGGGTTTGGCAGCAATCGGATGTTTTCGGAGATATTTCCCACGCTTTAAATTTTGACGTTTGTCAATTCTGACGGTCATGTCAGTGAATGTATTCGTGGTTTGCGAAAATGTACCCAACAACTAATGGTCTTACAAAAAGTATAGTATGCATCATGTTCGGTAAACTTTTTAACTCACTCGTTTATTAAAAACTCGTAAGTCAAATGACGTTTACCGCACTTGTTGCATAATATACTATTGTTTAATTCGTTGGTATATGGTGGTAATTTGATTAATTTTAGGTAAGATGATGGTAGAGTTACGAAATATCATAAAAGAATTAGAAGATTGGGGGGATGGTAAAGCCCTTATTGTGCATGGCATTGGTACTAATTTTTGTTCAGGGGCTGACCTGGACTTCGCCAGAGCATGTAGCACCCCCCAAGACGGTTTCTACTTGAGCTCATTAATGATGGATACTTTATTTAAGTTACGCAAGTTGCCACTCGTAAGCGTTACACTTGCTCACGGGGCAACTATAGGAGGTGGCGCCGAAATTGCCATCCAAAGTGATTTTGTTCTGGCTTGTGAAGATATTAAGCTTGGTTTCGTTCAGGGTCACATGGGTATCACTACTGCTTGGGGAGGGGCAACTAGGTAAAAACAACTGTGATAGTAGGCTTCTTCATTAATATTTGCGTATTGCAGGCTGGTTCAACTCGTTGGTGAAAAGCGAGCCTTGGATCTACTACTGTCTTCAAAAATTCTTGACGCCCAGGCATGCGTAGAAGGTGGTCTGGTTAAGAAAATTGTTTCATCTTCGGGGGGATTAAATGAAACTCTTCTATGGACGAAAGAACGCATTAAACACCACAGGTCAGTGGTTCGAGCCTACAAATCGATTATTGCAACGGCCAGCTGTTGTAATTACGAAGAATCGTTAGTTTACGAACGAAGGGTATTTTGTCCTCTGTGGGGAGCACCTCCAAACAAGGAGGCTCTTCATAAGCATATTAAACATATTAGAAACTAACTCCCTGGAAAATAAGTTTTTATTCCAATGAAAATCTGATGCGTGTTTGGTAAGCACCTAGCTAAGATTTCAATTAAATGTGCTTATTTAAACCAAAAACTGGCTAATAAACTAGAGAATTATGACATTGTAGTTTTATCCTTTCATCTTGACTACCAATAAATAGTTAGTCATGTTGTAGCGAGCAATATTTTTAATGTAAATAATTATTAGTGGTCCAGAATTTGTTAAAATTTATTTTCATTTATGTACACCGTTGTTAGTTCGTTGATCGCTGTGAGGGATAAACTAACAATATACAAAGCATCGACTAATTCAGGTTATGTTGAAAAAACAGTATTTATTTAACCAAATTGTTTGTTAGGATTTCTAGTAATATTTTATTTGTCAGATAAATTCTTATTCTCCAGTGTTTTTATGGGCTTGTTTACATTTTCGCAACTGAATAATGCCAAGAACTTTTTTATTTGGAACTATAATTTGTGATTTTAAAAGCGGATCAAGGGGTATACAGATCAAATGTTTCATATTGAATATAGGATTAGTAATATTTAAAAAACTTCTAAAATTATGAGCGTTTTAAAAAGAAGAAGAAAGAAAATGGCAACAATGTCCACAATACCTCTTTGATGAGGGAGTTTGAATTGCCTAATTGCCCAGCCTCTCAGTGGATTAGGATATAAAATTAAGTGTCTTCTCTAAAGGCAACCAGCATGTTGTAGTTCTCTTGGCAGTATCATATCAGGATTTCGATCAGTGCTCATAATCTCGTATGCCTGAGCTGGGAGCTCCCTTTTGGGCAAACGAACCAAAACTAGCGGGGTTATGGATAAGTTTTTAAAAAAGTTTACTTTATGGTACTCAGTCTCCAGAAAATATTCTTTTGTTCCAACTCTGGAACTGCATCTTTATTTGCAATTTTTTGCTACTGGAAACTACCGTCTTCTCGTAAACCAAAATTTACAAATTCCTTAGCTCGTTTATTCGTAAGGCTTTAATTACACATGAACGAACGAACTTGATAGAAATAGTATATAATATGCAACAAGTTTAATAAACGAGCGACTTAAAAAATTATATCAAACGTATTGCATATTATAATTCTCTTACGACCACGAAACGAAACGACACTGAAGTCGTAAAATGACAAAAAATACAATTTTTCAGTGAATCTGGGGCAACGCGCTTATCTTTGCCTTTGGAATGTTCAAAATTGTACCTGAATATTTTCATAGTTCTTCTTTGTTTTAAATTTGCCATTACGATGTTAAGAAATATTTAATATTATTATTGCATCATTCTTGCTACGTCAGTCAGTAAATTTAACAGGAAATTTTAGTTCCGGAATACAGCCTATGATAATAACGTGAAAAATTAGATGCCGCGAAAATACATTTTGTTTTATCGACTTTTTGTTGACATAAATAAATAGAAAATTGTAGGAATGGTGACTAAGCAAAAGAGTCCTTATTACAACAGATTATTGAATTTTCTTGCCTCGGGAATGCTCTCTAACTTTGATCATCGAGTAAATAGCATTTCCTTCGCAACAAACTCAACAAAATCATAGTTAGCACTTTGGCAAAGGTCCGCCGGAGAGATAGTATACAGCACACATGTACATTCATTGCTTCAGCCTGCGCTGTTGCCAACCTATTGCGTTGGCGCAAGGTGTACGCTCGTCAACATCCAAAAGTCGTCCCGACAGTATATCGATTAGTTGACAATCGCGAATATCTCGTTGTTTTCTGTCAACATTAACTACTTTGTTTCGGTTTAACATGGTTTACGGTAAGTCTGTCGAAATTTTGTTAATTTTGGGCAATTGCAAATATTTGTTCAATTGTTTGGTGCTTATCTATTTTTATGCGGTGCGGCTGCCGGTGTGCGCTGATGCCTCACCTTGAACGGAATTTTCCATTCACTCTAAACTCAGCTTTGTTTTGATTGTTACATAATATTACTGGAAGGGTTAAATGTGCAGAGATCTTTAATCCCGCTTGTGCTCGAATTACATTTCCTTTGACACTATTAATTAGTAGGTTTCTGATTACCTTGAATATAACTCTTACGAATATTGAAGGTTGTGGAAATAAACTTCAATAACAGATTCCCTGGATTTAAAGGGAATAGTCGTTCGCTGTGGTTTGTCCGTTTGTTGTGGTGGCAGATACGTAAAAATAAATACACTGTTACGTCGAATAACGATCGGAATAGTTCTACGCTATTGATTTTACAATGTCCGAGAGGATTCCTTTAGTCAACAAATAATAATTCGCAACTTATCGCAATTTAAAGATTCCTCCTACCTCTTGAAACATAACTTACGATTTATTTGACATTACTTTATAAAAATCAGCAGAGAAAAAATAAAAAAATATATAAATAAAAATATTAGCAATTTTGAGTCCTAAAGCAAAATTTGTTCTGTTTGTTGAAATGAATTTTTGTAAAATGCATACTTTATATTTATTTTTATTACTTAACACTCATATTAATGTTTATATTTATATTTATACTAATTTTACTATGTTAAGGTAATTGAAATTATATGAATATAAATATGCAATATATATATACGGAAATACGGAATATTTGAAGCTATGTATTCATAATTTTCATTATCCCACAGATCCAACAAATTTTGCCACACATATAGAGTACATTTTTATTAAATAATTTTGGTTCTTTGAGATATTTGTACAACAATTCCAAAATCTCTAGTTGAGGTTGAATATTTAACAAATGTCCAAAAAATCGTTGCTCTACTTATTTTTCAAAATCGATTTTTGTGCGGAATAAGAAACCAAACTTCGTACGTGCACACCGGCACGAATTTATTTTCACAGTCATGCGCAAAACCTAAACCCAACATTGATTTAATTATAACTTTTCAAAATCAGAAAATAGATTTTACACCTTGAACTGAATTTTCATGTTTATGTAATTGATTTGATTATTAAAATGAAACCTATTTTTAGCCACACTAACCGCAAATTTTGAAAATTCGGCATTGCTATTTTGCGCAAAAAATGATACTAAACAAATCGTTAAAGCCACTGTACACAAACTCACAATGAAATGAACAGAGCCCTAAATTCCCGTGATGTTCTTACTAGATATCGACTAAGTAGCATATACCACGAGGTCAAATGAACTTTTTCAATCATTTGCAGTCTAAAAATCATTAGATATTTGCATTGCAATAATTATTACAAACAAAAACAACTTTTTCGAAAATTGTGGAACTTAGGAACATTTCGAATACTTTTATATCGAATATTTATATAAATTATCGCTGAAAAGTTAAAACTTTAACGGGGCAGCAAATTAGACGCGGTAAGTAAAAAGGCTACAAATTCTAAACCATTTTAACCGAAAACATATTTTTCTACTCACTTCTCTAGAATCCCCAATTCTGCACAGTCACAGTTATGAAAACCACAAATCACTTCGGATCTTTCCGATAAGCTATTACTTTCAAATACCGGCCAATATATAGTGTGATGCATAAAGAAGCTCGATAATCCGGACCAATAAGGCTAAGAATTAGGTCTTTATAAATTATAAGTAAACTTACCTACTGCTTAATACTATGAATGCGGATGAATAATAAGAAAGTGATTAGGCTACTATTTTTATTACTTTTTTTATTACAAATATTTGTTAAAAAAGGCATATATTTTTGGTAAAAAACTATAGCAATAACTCTAAAGAATGAATCTAAAAAAGAACAATTTTGGTATTTATATATACTACACGCAATATAGTTTTTTAGTGGATTATTACATTGTTATACTTTTTTTGTCTAGTGCAATAATAATAATAGCTGTAGTTTGTTTGGTTGGTCAGTATAAAAAATATGTGTCAAAACATCACTACGGGCTACTCATCTGATTAAATACACTTATCAAGATAATTTTTTGTTTTCAGATTTTTAACGGCCAACTCGAGAGCTAAACAGCTTCGAAGTGCTACGAGCAGACCTTACAGCCACATGCTAAAGTTGCGGCTGGTCTCCACGCATTTCCTCAAACAGCCGTAGATTATAATGTGTCGTGATAGAGATATGAACCCATAATTTTCGAAAACGTCATCCGCATCGTAGTTTCTGTCATTTTTAAACCGTAATTGTATTTTAAAAAATCGTTACTCTAGTAGTCCGTGTTTTTTGTTTCTAATTACATAGCACAGTTGTCCACGTAAGGAGAACGAGGTAATTCGCATGTTTTTTAATTTTAAATGTGGCCACGTTATTTGTTGGAATTTAGAATTTGACCGAGGGCTTGTGAGACCGTTTTTGAATATAAATTGATATTCTCCAAATTGTGTTAGTAATATTTCCACATATTTATTTAACTAATGATATTATTGGCGTATTATTCAGAAAAATCTGTTTATTTACACTTATCCATACTGTCCTTTCCTTAAATATATTTAAAAAAATACTTTAATGATAATTTTTCGCAAATTCTCAGCTTTTTCTACTTTTAATAAATTAATAAAATATCGAACTTAATAATTTATTAGCGATCGATAAGTAAACAGTTTGGTTAGTTTTGGTTAGTTTTGTAACTTTCTTAAATTGTAAATTGTCCCACAATATACAACAAAAATCATCAAAATCGGATTTAATATTTAGAAGATATTTACGAAAGATAAATTTCTGAAAATTCACCATCATTGAATAGATAAACCCAAATGTCAAACTATGTGATGCGAACTTTAAAAAAACGCTGGATATTGTTCTCTAGATATGAACATACGAGCAAGATACTAACCAATATACAGGGTGGCTCATTACTATGAGTCTTATGTTATACACTTGAGATCAAGATCAATCAATTATAATTTTATTTTTTCAATTAAACAAACTCAGCAAGTTTATCATTCATATTCAATTTTTTTTATTCTGGTTTACATCTACACCGTTTCATTTGAAACCAAATAATAATCAACTCCTAAAAAGCACACATTGTGCATTAATTAAGCACATTAATTTCATAAGCGTTAAACAAATATGACTTAGACAAAAATCGTCATACATCATACAATAATAAGATAGTTATTAACAACAAGGTTAGTTATAACAATTTTAATGTCGAAAACGATTAATACCACAAATTGAAAACCCAGCAAAACGGCAGATACGAAGTGGTACATCGGTACAATTAATAGAATGATAACAATAATGATATAATAACATGACAAACAATGCCTCCTGTTAATAAAACCATTTTACCGAAATTTTGCACAGTGTAGGGACGCATAAAGTTTATAGCATTTTTTAAAGTTTTTTGTCCAGTTCATGCCAATTCGTTCTATAGTATACTTTAATAAGATCACTAAAATACAAGGCATAGGGACTGCTCCCTAGTTCGTTGTTAAATTAAATATTTAATTAATTTAATTAATTGCCTTATTTTCAAGAGTTACATTTATAGATTAGTATATACTAACGATTTCGGGTTTTTAATGCTTTGATACATACTTCGTAATCGCCGTGTGTGCTTCCAGTGTTTTTAATTTGCCTGCTGACACAAAAAAATGTTTTTTATAAATTCGTTCCCAAACTTGCAGATGTTGCTAAATTCGATTGAAATTAATAAATGGTCACTGTGAGAGGTGATAATTAGTGCTCATGTTTAGAAGAATATTTAGATTAGATATATTGGTATAGCGATCTATTTGCGTCCTATATATAGCTATTCAAATTGCATTATCTGCGAAAATAATTATGTTTTCCGTTCCCTGCACTTATGTGTTGCTGTTCGGCATTATTTTGCGCATCTAGCGAATTCCTAATTGTATGGCGAGCGTTTCACGTAGCATAATGAATGTGTGCTTGCGAGTAAACTTTTGAGAAAGTAACATCGTCTAATTTTAACGAAATATAAAATTCCAACAATAGTGTCGATTAACGTTTCTGGACATCTATTAAAGCGCAAATCACCGGTGTAATATTAGAAGTTTTGATTCCTTCCAAATTGCAGAGTGTAAAGCATGAAAGGTCCTTCGCGAAGGGAAGAGCAACCGCAAAAATTCGTAGCCCGTATCGACTACGATCACAAAATATGTAAAGTGAAAAAGATCACTTTACCTGTCGCGAACAAACAGCCGTCGGTTACGACAACGACCTTTGACGAATTCAAAGCTTCATGCAAAGCCAGAAAACGGAAGGAGCGACAAGAGAGCATAAGTTCCTTATGCCAGGAAAGAAAAGTTATCAGGTAGGTAATGCAAACCAACTAAATTTACTTACTTAAATTTAGCTGAACGTAGGGTAGAACTAAACTTACTAAATGAATCCGATGACCATATTTTCGGCCTTCTACCCTTTAATATCGAGATAAAGCTCTCCAAAATGAATTTTGGAATAATAAAATAATTTGATTGTTAATGCTGTAGCTTAGATATTTTGGGTGTCCCTTGTCTCCTGTGTGAAGAAGAATTGGAAAAATGTGCAAATGATGGAATGACGGTATATATCATCATCAAACAAAAAAATAAACAAAACTGTGATATAAACTTGTTCCTAAACCAATACAAATACATGTGAACCAAATCATAAAAAAATTGCTTCTGTCGTTGGTGCAATAAAACGGCGAATAGAAAGTTTAAACAAAAAATTTAGATTTTTACTTTATAATAGTTTCATGCATTTCATGCTGGGGAAGCTATCTGCAAGATAAATGACAGAGAACTCAAAATAAATCAGTAAAAACATTTAAAGAAAACCAAAACTTCAACAGAAACAGTGTATGAAACAACAAAAACGAGGGACATAAAAAAATAGTGACTTTTGAACAAGCAAAATATATGTATTCCATAAAGAATAAATTGTTAAAAAGTAATTTAGATGTAAAGTAAGTCAAACAAATAATAGTCGTAATATTCGTTGGTGCGGGTGACTTTAGAACTAATTTTCCAAAAACTCTTATCCAAAACTCTACCAAAAGTGATTGGTGAAGCAAAAATAATAAAACAATTTTGTCAGAAATTAAAAGTATTTGCAGTGACTAGTTACATTTTCTACTTAAACTTAAAAAGACTTATATAAAATACCAAGCTTATTATATTGTTTTATTTTGATTATAAAATCTAAGGCTCCGGTACCAGTTTGTAACACTGTTTTGGAGTCAGTTATAAATAAATAAATAAAATTTAATATGGAGGAAGTATCTAAATGGCAGAAGCCATTCAGAAAGCTATTTAAATTGAAATAAATGTTTTAGATCAAATTCCGAAGAGAGACCGGTTCACAATAAATCCGTCGAAACTCGGACGAACATACGTCGCGTTTCAAGCTCGGGCGATTTCCCGAAATCTGCATCGATCGAAAAAATCAGCGTGTCACCGAACAGAATACCGACGTGTGAAAAATGGCTCACTTACGACGATGGCGAATATGAAAAACGACGATCTCACGAGAGATTCGCAAAACCTCACACCATCAAGAATAAGAGGCAGCCAAGCAAACGTCTGAGGATGCGATATAATACCAAAGTCAAGATAAAGGCCGAGACCATCAACGAAAAAGATTATGGCAAAAGGTTTAGTCTGACGCATAACCAAGGTATGACATTTGAATCGGTTTTTAATCGAGGACATTTGAATACCGTTTTCTTTTTAAGGAACTTTTCCATATCTGTGCTCTATGGCAGCTGAACACCCTAAAGACCACGAAGGCAAAAAATCGCCAAACCATCTGAATCTAGGCGAACATGAGGCAGAACCCACACACAGCCCAAATCACACTCCAGTCTCGCCCGTATTGGACTTTTCCACCCTTTATGAACAAGTGGATTGCTCAGAACCCGTGCTGTCTTCTACTACCCGACACGTCAATGAGAATATGGAGACGTTGCCGAGTCTTGCCATCGCCACGAACAGGTAAAACACAGCCAGAGGCTCCATCAAAGAGGTAAATTTATAATGGATCAATATTGGCAGGTCCCTTTCGTCGCCACGTAATTCCATAATAGCCACTCACAAAATCTACTTGGACCCTGACATACCCCACATGAATGTATCTTTGGAAAAGTTGCCCCAGAGTCCCATGCAAAGGTTGCACAAACAAATAAACAGTATAAAGAAAAAAATAAAAAATTACGAGACCGAATTTGAGACAGCACGCGGTTTTAAACCATCGCAAATCGATAAATTAAACGATTCGTGTTTAAGGAAACTATACGGGGAGTTGAGCAAGTTGAAGAAGGAAGAGAAACAAAGGTTGGAATTGCCTGAAAGTGGTTCGATGATCGATTTTGATGAAGCAACATGTGAACGTGGACGAAAGTTTAGCCTGCAGGATACCGTGAATGAAATACAGCAGGTAACCTTCCCTTTGAAAAACTGGAACGTGTGATGGGACATAGATACACTACTGATTTTATCACCAAACGTTTGATTAGCGAAGCGTATGTTATATCAATTGTGGTTGCAAACTCAGTATTGTATCTTAGCATACACCAGTAATAGCAACTAATGTCAAACATGTAACTCTGTAGGGGATACTAAATAAGCCAACACTTATACTTCAAAGGTAAAAACTTAACGTTTCTACTATAAAAGCGGTGTTTATTATCTTAAAAATACAGACAAAAATAATTTTATTATATAACAAGAACCAAATACCTCTCACACACAGAAGTAAAGGCAGTAAATTAGCAGCGTAAATTCTGGTTATTAGATTTTGAATTTGATAACAAGAAATATGGGACAAGTTAAAAAAAAATAAAATTGTTAATTTTCAGGTGAACCCTTTAATGAATGATTTTTGAGCATTATTGACTTTGTTATAAATAATAATGTGTACATTCCCTAAAATATGTTACAGTTTTAATGATAAAAAAAAAGTAATTCCCACTTAAAAATAAAAATTAAAAAAATGTATCCTGACAAACGTAAAAAGAAAATAGGTTCCATAGTAATATAATTGACTATTGACATTTGTTATACATAATATTACTTGAATTTAATGAGATGTTGCAGTTTCAATTTTGAAACAAAAATCCGATAAAAAATAGAATTTCAAAAGTGTTTTATCATAATAAATGTAGAAAAAAGGAGGTTCCATACTGATTTAATGAATATTGACCCTATCCAAATACCCCATACCACTTGAAATGGCAGATGTGAGTTTTGAAAACGTTTCCTAGAAACTGTCGAAAATGTTAAGGGTACCTATATCATAAGGGTATTTACAAAACTGGAAAAGCAAAATATCCAAAATGTGTGTGTTTGCAGAAACTGGCCCAAAAACGAGAATCAGGAAAACGATCTATTAAGTTAGAGGAAATGACATCCGATCAGCTAGTTGAAGAGAAGGTGTCCATGCAAAAAGCTCTCTTATACTTAGAATCTGTGCATGGGCGAGCCCAAAGTAAAGAGGACAGAGATGTCGTCCGACCTTTTTATGACCGATACAGAACCCTTAAACGAATGGTGGCCAAGCTGTCTATTGTAAGTGGTCGATTCAGGTGTTGTTCCCGTTTATTTTTTAACCGGCCTTGGATTCTAGGCGAATACTACTGTCACTGAGCTCGCGACGATCGATGAGAATGAAGCCATGCATTTCATAACACCCACATCGTCGTCATACGACACCGAATCCGAAAAAACAGAAAATCCAAGGCACATTGTAAAAGCACCGTCTAATAGTAGCGACAGTGACACGGAGTCCTCTTTTAGCGAAAACTTCCATTCGCTATCTAAAGCGGAACTGGCCGAGCAACTAAAAATCGTGGTTGAAGAGAAAAAACAATTGAGGCGTACAATTAAGGAGTTTGAAATAGATGTGCAGGCAAAAACGGGTAGAATGTTAACGAGGGAGGACAAAGTACCAATTGAAAATGTATATATGGCTTATAAAAAAGCGAAAGGCAAACTGCGATTGATCGAAGCACTTATTGGGAAACCATAAGTTCATTTAGCTGTTAGGTTGGTCAATAAATGCTTATTATAAAATCTTCTCCAAGGATCTTTTTCGTTTCTTTATTGTTGATTTGGCAAATTTTATTTTTGAATAGTTTTTGGTAATTATTGTTGTGTACAAACACAGTTTAACGTAATGGGTGTTAAAAAGTCTATGTTAACGTTGCACCTTTTTTAAAAATTAGTTATTTACTGATGGCAAAAGTGAAAATGTTTTTATTAGAAACTACATTTATGGGTATAAAATGTACCCGACTGTAATTGATGCAATTAAATGTGGTGTTTCACTATGTCAGTTTTTTATTTACCCTTTGGGAAAAATAGTTTTAGAAAACCTCTAGATAACAAGAAATGTGGGGCAACTTATTTGGCAATACAAAACATTAAAAACCAATCAGCTGTCTATGTGTGTCTTTTGGTGAGCAAAACAGTATTAAAACAAAAAAAAAACAGTTGTTACTTTTACCTCGAAATAACACAGCATTATTTCAAAGATCTTTTTCTTATAAAGCTCCTAAATTGATCAACAAATTACCAGTAGATTTTTTAAACGATTTATTCTTACTTAATTACAGAAATAGGTTAAAAATATTTATTTTTGTTAACGAGAATGATTTTTTAATATAATAATAGTGACTGAAAATGTTTCTTCTTTAAAAAAAATTCGAAAATTAAACTGCTACATGAACGCACGTTGATGCAACAATGATTTGTTTAGTACGTGGAAATGCAGGGTTTTAGAATTTTATTATTTTTTGATTTTTATCAATCATTTTAAAGAATTTAGCGATATTTCATATCTACCGGTTGCCAACTTGTTTTAAATATGATTGTTAAAGTAAAAATAAAAAGAGGTTGATAAATAAAAACAAAAAAAGATTGTGCTGAAGATATTTTATAAGAAAACTCACATCACCTCTTCACTTGCTTCTATTTTTCTTTCTCAATATGGCGTTTCAACACAAACTTCATCCACAAAATGTATAAACATTTTATCGGTTATTACTTCAATAAAAACAAATAAATGTATGGTGCAACTAAAACCAAACACATCCATTTGTGTCTTATATTTGTTTTGAATATTCTACACTTTGACAAATTACACAATTATCAAGTTAGGAAAGAAAAATTAATTATTTTTAGATATTTTATATTTATTGATCAATCTAATTCAAATGGATATATAATATTGAACTGATATGTCAACCTATTGCACTACCAACGAACTTTAACTTACATATTCTATACAGCAATTTATTATAAAAATCATTATAATTTAAACAGGTAGTCTGGTAGGCATACCTTTATCAATTCTTATAACATAGTAAATATTATTCATGCTTCAACTTGCCTTCATCAAAGCAAAGGGAAGTTTAGTAATTTTAAATTGATACCTTAAAACATATAAACAGTAAATGACTAAAATCAATTATGAGAACAATTAAAAAATTTAATTATTTACTAACTTTCTGTTGCTCTTCATAATTCAGAACGTCATCCAAATTCATAATATCCAGCTCCAAAATGCCTCTACCTGCAAATTGAGCAAACTTGGCCTCGGAGTGCAACATTGCAGATCTTTTAACAACTGAAAATATAATTTAATTTTAATTAATAAGAAATTCTGTTACATGTATAAAATTGAAACATACCTCCCGATACAAATTTCTCCAATTTATAAATAGGCATGCTTTCACATTCATTGTTAATATATACGCCAATTTCCCTTTTGTCAGTCATTGGAGGTGTAACCACCCTCATGGTCTCTCGAATCACTTCGGTATCCACTTTATAATAACCTTCCCACATCTTGTGAACCAAATCAAACAGAGATTTTGGCGGCAGTACATTACCTCTATTCAGTGGCATTACGAAACACCTTTGACCTAGTAGAAATAAAGGCCCGAACAATAGGTCACCATAGTTAATAATAACACCAATCTCAATCTTATATCCAAAACTAATTGACTGCGCAAGCAATTTATCGAAAGAAGAATTTCAAATGCTGACTATTACTAGGAAGGAAGTATACAATTTTCAATTTAATTCCATATTTTTGTCAAAAATTTGAACGATGTCATCGATTCTCTCCTATCACTCCAAATTTTTGAGAAAAAATGTTCAAAAAAGCATATAACAAAAAAACGTGGAAATTTTTCTCAAAAATTCTAAATTTAACTTACCAGTAACATCGATGATTCCTGTAATATTTGTATTGAAATCGTGGATAAAACGGCCATTCCGTCCATTCCGGAAATCGGGAACATCAATCTTTTCATATTTCTTATCATCGTCGATTTCGAAATTCTCTTGAAAGAAAGCCCTGTTCAGTATCCTCTGCCAGTCTTTCATGTTTTCGGAACTCCTAGCATTATGTAAATAATTTTAAATAACTTCAATTCAAGGAATAATTAACAAAATGTTCATACCATTTTCCGAAGTCTCGAATATCAACCGACTTTTCATCAATGTCATCATCAGGATTATCAGAACTAAAAATAATACAGAAATTTATGAAGAGTTTGTTCTGCAGATAGGCCGGTACCGGTATATGATACCGGCATATGGTAAATTTCGTCAAAAGATAAATGCTCATAACTTGTACTGGCCACATAGCTCATTAAGCAATAAAAGAAATTTTTGCAACAATACAAAAGTGCCACATAGAAAATAATAATGTAAGCCTAAATCAAGGAAGAAAACAATAAATAAAGAACACAAATAATAACTTGAAATCAAAGATAATTAGTAAAAATTTTGAAAACCATTAAACCATTAAAATTAGTAGTTACATGCAAAGTCAAAAGGTAACCGTAAAATTATAGAACTTACATCTAATTTAAAAGAGATTTTCAGTGTTTCATTGTGATGCGAAAAAGAGCTATCTGGACCTCACTAAGCACATAATTTGTTACCATCATGATAGGATTAAAAGATTAATTTTTGGTATATTTAAGGAAACAGTTTATTACATTAAGTTACAGTCCCTATAATTTTAGATTATTTAATATATGATATAAAAATATCACAGTTTTAAATTAGATAAAACTCAAAACATTTATCTGAAAATACAACTTATATATCAAATGAACGGAAACAAAATTGAAGCTAAATAAAAAGTGAAACATTTATTTTTTTAATTCTCTAAACAATATTTTCAAGTTAGAATGTTTTTGTATAAATTTTTATAAAATTAAATATTTATCAAAGTAAAAAAATAGAAACATATATTTTTATACTAAAAATTGTGTATGCTTAGGAAACACTTACATTGGGATTTTTGCCCATCCTTGGAATTTGGAAGGAGGCATTCTCCTAGTAACACTAATGTATTCATCATAGAGAAATTTGCCACCCACAATGCCGATGCTAACAACTGCCAATGCAACAATCAGCAAGCAAAATGTAGTCGAAGATGGCACACGGTGAGCCTGAGCTGGGAAAATTATAATTCTACGATGGACCCGTTGGGATTCAACGTCCTCATCTGTAGGCTAAAAGAAAAAATATAATCAACAAAACTTCTGACCTCCGACAAAATTTGTGTAAAACTTCCACAACACTCTTTTTGATGAGTGTTTAGCGGCCTAGTGTGAAGGAGAACTTATGCTCGCTTCAATTAATTCATATGCGTTATCGTTAACAATTATTTCTCATTTTAAAATATAAAGAATAATCATTTTATTAGAACTTAAAAATATAAAAGTATTCAATTAAAGGGACCACAATATACAACTCCCCTATTCTTTCGAAAGATTAGGTTTAGCGATTTTGATGCCGAAAATACATTTTTGAAATCGATGATAGATACACAAAAGTATATCCAGCATATAAACCTGATTTTCTGATATACTTAGTTCAATAATCAACTAGATCTTGCAGTTGTTGGAAATTTAGTAACAATTTTTCTAGTATTCTTAAGTTTTTTTATATCCATAATACAGTTATTACAAAAACATGGTATTCCCAAGATATTACAGCAAATTCATTCAAAACACCAACATTGTAAGAGTAGGTTTCACAAACACTTACCGCCTTTGGAACTTGTTCATTTTCCACAAGGGGGACTACGAGCTTGTCGCTTTTCTTTTGCGAAAATGATTTCGCAAGAATCGTCATTGTTATTATGAGAATTTGCAAAGTAGATATCGGTTTTCAAGAAAAGCTTAATTCGCGTACGCACAAAATCACTAATCAATAAAATTTTGGTTCTGTTTTATCTGTCAACGTCAAAGAAATGAAAACAAATAGTAACGGCACTGTTGTCACGCATTGTACAGGAATGTTCCAATGTTTTGCAGTTTTTTTTGTTTACATTGTAAAAATTATAACAAGTTACAGGGATCATAGGTTTTAAGTAAATTACCATAAATAAATTTTTGAGTTTTTAAAAATATCGGGTTCATGTTAAGGGGTATGTGCATAGTAGAGATGGGATAATTCTCATAAAAATTTGTAGCTATATCCCAATTATGACTTTAATTTATCTGATTGATATTTAGTATTGATATTTAAAGCAGGAACTATGCCCGAAAGAACACAAATCGCACGATTAGCTAATTATTACGCCCAAATCTGTAACAAATAACGAATTCAAGGCAAGATTCTGGCAGAATTGTGAAATCGGAAACATGTCTTATCAAAGGTCATTTTCGGCATAGAATGATTGAGATTAATAAAATATTATGCCATTATGAAAATCATCATGGTGACACAATAGCATGGTCTGTAATGGTGGTTACAGGTAACCATCGCTATTGGAAAGTTTATTGGCAACTCTATTGTCCTGTCAACAAACTTTTCTTCTGTTGTGGTAACTTGGCGAACTATTGTTGACAGCTGTGATCATATACTGTCATATATGTCTGTGGTGATTCAAGAATGACCAGTGAGAGAGAATGTTACATCAGCGATTTATTTTCACTCGAAACAAGTTTCATTAGTGCTTTTTACAAAACTTCTGGATTCCTCCTGCGTCGGTTTTTGCTTAGTCGAAATTGCTGACGTTTCGCCAATCATCCTGTTGGCTTCTTCAGAGCTTGACTGAAAAATTTTTTTACAGTAGCCTGTGGAAGTTTCTTTGAAAAAAAAAGTTTCATTAGTTTCATAAGGAAGGTGATATAATTTACCCTTTGCGTGAAACACAGTTAATTTTGTTTTACAGAGGAATTTTTTAGATTGAACCGAAAGTACTACGTCGCAAACCTAGCTAGGTATTATCTTTGCGGTAGACATGATTCTGGGATTCGCAATGCTTATGCAAAGTAACTATGTAGTCTGTTTCCAGGGTTGCCAATTTTAAGTTGCAAAAGTGATATATGAGTTAGAAAAGAAGAATAATGAACCGCTAACCCCTATCCTAAGCCTTTGGTGGAGTTGTTAGCACTACAAAATATTTTTTCTGTATTGTAGCTACTTGAAAAACTTTATAATGCTAAACACTCGATCTTACTACGATTTAAATATTATGGATACATGTTTTTCTGACGAAAATCAAAGAAAAACTCTTGAGTTGTTATACAAATGTAAGCTTACATTACATTAAATAATTATTTGCTATTTTTAAAAAATTAGTTGGTTATAGAACCATAGCAGTAAATCAAATGGTGGAAGATTCTAATATGGAAATTAAGAGGAAAAAGAAAAAGGGAGAGCCCAGAGATTTCATAGATTGTGTTCCAAACCCTATAGATATCAGTAAATTAAATCAAATTTCCAATGAACTTGGATTTAAAGACTTTACAATATTAAATAGACTGACAGTGATATTTTCAAATCAGGATAATTTACATAAAATAGTATGCACTTTTTCATTTTTTTTTATATTATACAGTTTCATATTTTTTTAGTTAAAATCTCCAAATTACAAAAAGTATCACATTGTCGCATCTTTACCAACATCAACGGCAGCATTTATGGTAAGAAAATGAAAAATAACACATGAACTTCCATGTTCATTAATGAATACTTTTTAATTTTAAGTTCCTATTTATTACTCAACTAAATTTTTACTGCAGTCCAGCAGGCTTTGGAAATTTTATGAAGGAGCATCCTACGTATTATTGTACTAAGTTTGAGAAACTTCATGTTAGATTTAGTCTTAAATGCTATTGTTGCTTTTTTATTTGTTTTTTTCAATTTCATGATTTTTATGCTTTTAGTTCACATGTTCAAATTTTGATGCAGATATTTTAACTATAGATCCACAAAATAAGACAAATATAAAATTGAATAGAAAATTGTATAATCAGCTAATTGAAAAAGGATGCCATTTTGAATTATTGTATAGTCCAGCCATTGAAGATTCTACTAAACGCAAGAATCTTATATACACATCCCACTTATATCATTCTATAGGAAAATCTAAGAATGTTATATTCTCAAGTGGTGCCCAAGATTCCATGTTACTGAGAAGTCCTTATGATGTAATTAGCTTGTATCCTTTATGTATTCCTGCTACAATCACGATTTCCTGGTTTATGATTAATTTTGTACTCAATACCATGGTACACTTTTCTTAATTAAATAGTACAGGGGTTTTATATTTGGTTTAGGTGAATTACAATGTAAAGCTTCAATTTCCCATTGTCCTCAAAGGGTGGTCATCAATTCAGGTATAGCAAATATTTTTTTAGTGTGAAGTATTGCTTCAACCTGTATTTGTTATTAACATGGTGTTGCTTTACAGTGGGCAGGATACATGGAAAATCTGTGATGTTCATAGAGAATACACAAAATGAAAGAGACATATCTTTGATCACTCTCAGTTCCAGTGACAGTGAAGAAGAAGAAATGGACACAAAGCCAGTCCAAAAAAAATGTAAACAATAAAGATAATTGTTACTTGTACATTGTTTTGTTTGTTTTTTTTTTTTAATTTAAGGCAAGTGTTTCATGAATAAATTAAATTGTATTCTAAATTACCAGAAAGAGTTGTGTCCCTATGTTTTTTAGCTCTGTATCAGTTCTAAAGTGAAGTCAACATTTTTTGTAGACACTCCCTTTTTGACTTTCCTTTTAAATAACTGATTACAGAAGGATATAGAAAAAAATTCTAATTTTGTAAAGGTGTAGACCCTGTAACGTTAGCAAAGGGAAAAGAGGGAATTACAGGCAATCAAAAAGCAACCTTTTGATGAATTTGAAATTGATTCTGTCAGATCAAGATGATCATTGTTTATACTCAAAGAAATCTATATTACACATTTCGTACCGTTTAAGAAGACAATCGCAAGATATTTGCAAATATAATTATTGAGAACAGATTTCCTTAACGCGTAGACATTATAATTTGATAGTTTTTGAATAATACTGGTAACTTATTTTTATAAATAAAGAATTTCTTGAGTTAAAACTGATTTTTTTTTATTTGCGATATGCCACGATGCGTCCTTGTGATTATCGAAATTAATTTAATTTGTTTAGTAATTTTAAAAAAAAAGTCAGCTGGAGAGTTGGTTTCGGTTAATAAAATTTAGAATTTTACCAATGAATTTCTGATGTAAAATTGTTGCATCTAGTGTCAAATTATAAAAAGTGGAATGCCTTAACAGTTATTTGATAAATTATTAAATTAATTTAAATGTTCTAAAAAAATAAAGAATAACGGTGGCAGCCTTTTTTTAGATTGAAATTTAGAGTTACGATTTTCAAACTTCCCGCGTGTAGGCGGCGCCACGATAGATCACAAGCCTACGAAAATCAGAAATGTTAAGATGGAGTCCGCAGTTGAAGTGCTGTTTGGACACAAAATTTGATTGCCAAGTTTTAATGTAATTATTTAAGAAAAGAGCGGTATTTATAAGTAAAATCCACCTGTTACAAATGTGATTTTACCGCAGGACAGTTCCCGACTCGTAAAATAGTGATTGAAGTGCAAAATTTCTAACGATTCCGAAGCGATTTGTACACAATCTTCTATGCTCATGGTGAGTAACGTTTTGTTTTATTTTGCAATGTGCGCGAAACAAACTGCTGAATTTTGGCAGAAAGGTGATTAATAATTTATGTCGATTTTCGATTTTTTTTACAATGGTTGGGATTTTCTAGGTTTGTGTTAAATGTTTAGTGCTCGCGAAAGCTTCATTGGCTTGTCAGAAATCAACATATCCATAAAAGATATCACCTGATTGGTTGCATTTCGACAACCAAATACCGAACTGTTTTATTCTAACCAATTAAATTGTCTCCTTTTTCTCTCATTACGGGTCGAGTTGTGTATTTTTGTGCAACAAAATCGGAATAGCAGGCGAAAAAACGAAAAAATGGTGAGTATTGTGTTTTTAAGTAAAATTTGCGACCGATCCGTAACAAATGACTAGTTTTCCTCGTCTCGGGGATCGCGGTGATCTTCATTTCGATTTTAAAGCGCGGCCCAAGCGCTGGACATTACGAATGGCGGTCGTCGTAAGGTTCATTGTTCTCTACGCCGGGTTTAGATTGATAGTAAATGACGACGTTATGCCTTATCAAATTCCATGAGACATTTTGCATTTAAATTTTCGTTTTGTCAGTTTAGGTTTAAATAGCGTACTGATGCGCGGATTCAATATATTTCTGTGAGTTTTTTAAAGATTCCAAGGGATTATCGATACGCGACCGCTAATCAATTTTGTAATTATTTGTCTCCTACACTTCTATTCACTGCTCCCTCGTCTTGTCTGCTCTGGTAGTCGATGTAATTGTCATGCTGTGAAATCGCCCTGGTCGATTCAGTTAATATTTTTGTTATTTTATGCAGATATACGGTTCTGTGCGTTTATTTTTTGCGATTTATGGGTAAATAAGTTCTCATTGTGGGAATTGTGTCTTTAATCCCATTCTATGTGTATCGATTTTAATTAGTAATTAGTGCGGATAATGTGTGTAATGCTAATAATAGGTATTGTACTATTAAGTTTAATATGGCGATTGCAGTTATTTTGTTGAACTTGTGAATCTGTATTCTGATTTATTTATTTATTTGATATATTAATTCATTCATATAATATTCCGAAGTTTAGTATATTTTAAAGATTTTATACATATTAGCGAAGGTATTAAAAACTTTTCATTTGTTAAAAATATTGTAATTATATTAAATTTTGTTGCATGTGCAAAAAGTGGAACAAGCTAAAACGCTCAGATATGTATGGCGGTCATAATTTATTTAGGTAGCCTCAGAGGGTAGAAGCAACATCGAAAATCTTGGAAATAGGAAAATTTTCTTAAAATTAGTTTTTATTAAGAAATACATCTGAGAAAAGCTGTCTACCAAATGTATGTGTATACTAATTTTTTGATTTAAGACACCAGATTTTTTTTTAACTATTGATATCTGGAAATGTATACTGTGCATATATTTTTTTATATAAAGTCAAACTGTAAAGAAAAGTATATACATACTCGTCAACCTAAAATCATTAAAAATAAAACCTTTTGCTCGAGAAATGAGTACCATACTTGCTTGTTAAAAAGTGCTTAGTACATGGTAAGACTGTTTTTATAGCCGCAGATGCATTAAATAAATTTTATTATGTTAACAAGGAAAAGCAAAACTGTATTTTAATGTAGCAAATAAAAAAGTTTTTTTATACGAGCATGTAAAAATGGCTCTTCCCACGCTATTTTCTGTGCGGGAATGCCGCAGTAGTGCTTACTAGTACCACAGTGCCACATAAATATTTTTTAGCTTTAAAATATAAAATTCAAGCACTATCTATGTAAGGTTTGGGAACTTAGCTCTACCAACTTATTATTTTACCGATAATTAAAAACTTGAATTTTCATTTTATTGTATTATATAAACAAGCAATTCTAAAATATTGAGACATACATATATGGCTACATTAAAAAGACGTAAGTTGTTATTTAGTTTTTGCGGGGGTTTAGAGAAACAAAACATTAAAATAAGGGAATTAATGGCGCTCTATAAGATTTCAGGAATGCTGCATTTGTTTGCTGCATAAGTTTTCTTAGTTAAACTTCTTTGTCTATAATCTTTATAATAATCTTTAACACTGTCTCACAAAATTGGCCTGGAACGATACTAAGTTAAATTGTTCCTTTTTAGGAATTTTCTAAAAGTAAATTGATGACCCATAAATTAACACAAACGCTTGCAAGAAAATCTCACACTAGATCGGAAAGTGTCAAATTGTGGCTACAACAGTAAAGTTTTTGACCAATTTAACTTATTGGTAAAGTCATAAATGTAATTAGGAACTGCCCGTTATGTTCAACAGGGGGACATTTTGTTAGTAAGTTTTTTACCATAAGGATCTCCTGCAGAGTTCGCATGAATTACTATGTGGTGGCGCTGCTCATTCTAATAAACATGGTGGAACAAAGATATCTCATATTGTTTACGTATTGCGGCTGAACGCCGGCCGGCATATTTTATCTGCACTAGTATTAGTTAAAGCGCGGTATTTTTGGCTCCGTTACATTTTTCATAGTGTGTTCTTTAACCCATATTACTACGGAGATCGATAATTTAAAGTACATCTTTGCATTGTGCTTTAAGCAAAAACAGTAAAATATCAAAATAAAATATACAGCAACATTAGATTCATATGAAAACAACGCTACCATTCGGTATATTACTTACGAAGTAGGTTAACATTTTTTCTGTTGATAAAATCGCAAATCGTAATTTCGACGACTGGACATAACGCATTACGTCCTCCGTGATTTTTAGATAGATCAAAAGTGATCCAAAGCACGCATGATTACCATAACCATACTTCGGCGCTTTTTCGTCCAAAGTGCAAACACTTCAACATTTGCTAAAAAAATAATTAAACAATTAAATATTGTTATATTTTTTGTTTTCGTGGAATTGTTAAATTGAAAATTCTTTCTAACTTTTATGTTTAGTATTTTAAGCATTTAAACAATGCCTTTGTGTCCCAAGTTTTGTTTTTTTTTTTGTTAATTTTCTGATCCTGTCCTTTTACATATTTTTTTAAATTTTTGTGTAATGAATTTTTATTACGAGTTTTTTTAGTATTTTCAGATATTCAGTATGCAGCAGAATACATAATTGCTCAAAATTTATGTGTAACATATATTTCTCTTCAAATTTTGCTAGGTATGTCTCCCTTGAACTTATTGATTTGGCCCAGGGGTGAGAGGCTGTACAGCTCATGTTATTTTTAAAGCATAAGCGTATAGCTTTTCCCCTTTGGTTCTAATCACTTTTTGCATTAAGTATAGGGTATAATATACTTATACTAACCAAAGCAAACTGTCAAACATTTCGCAACGCGGTAGCTGTATTTTCTTCCTATAGTTTTCACGGCCAAAATTAGGATAAATCCTAAATAAAGGAAGATACATAGAACAACTAATAAATTCTTTGCAAATAATAATAATTATCTCAGTACCAACTAATTTTTTAAAAATTTTGTTGTTTGAAACTGTCCTTGGTAACAAATGTTTCTTTCGACAATTTTTGATTTCTGACAGTTTTCTTTTTTTAAAGACATGCTGTTGTGAAATGAGCAGCAAAAAAGCGATATGTGTCGCTTAAAGCGATGGACTCATACGATTTGTTCGGGGAAGATGGAAGTGGAATGTTGGAAGGATTGCCTGAGTTGGGCGCGGTACACCTCGACCCGGCGGTGACTGGAGATAGAAATGCACCATCGGCCTACTCACAACCTGCCTACTCGCAAGAGACACCTCTTCAAAAATTGGCTACTTTTGGCACTAGCAATACAAGCACATTTAACCATATGGACCCAAACACTCAGCAAAGCCTGTATGCCCAAGGATATGGTGCAGATGGTAGACCGCCTATGGGTCCTCCAGGTGGTGCTTATCCGCACCAAAGGCAAATACCTAGGCCACCCACAGTACCGCCAACTGGCACTCAATATTCTTACCAAGCACCTGCTGACTCTATGTATTCTATGCCTGATGTACAGGTTGGAACAATGGGTGATACAGGTAGCATGCAAGGTAGCTGGAGTCAACATGCAGCTGGTTATGCTGGAATGCATAGGTAGGTATTTTTTATTATATTAGGAAAGATTCAACAAAAAAAAATCTGCCAGATATGCACAAATGGGCCAATACAGGCAACAGCCAATGGCAGGTTATCCGCACCAGCAAGAACAGAAACAGCAACAATTTCCTTCGAGTCAACATCCAATGATGCAGCAACCTCACCAAGCAAGCTACCAGATCCAACAAAGGCATGTGCCGCATGGGTATCCTCAAGGGTCTGCATATCCAAATCCTGCTGCTGCTCAAAATTATGGAGGTTATATGCACCAAAGAATGCCTCATCATCAATATCCACAAAGTCATCATCAGCTTGATCTTCAGTCTCAGCAATATAGTCAATTGGGGCACTCTCAATCACTTTCACATCCACCATCTCACACCGCCCCTGGTCATATGGGTCAAGCACCTATTTCTGTTAGTCATCCTCAAAGTCAAAGTCAGCAGCCTCCAACTCCAAATCCCATGACTCATCAAACATCCATGCCAAATTATAATCAAACTCATCAGCCTCATCAACCAATACAAAGACCGCTGGAGGTGCAACCCCCTCCGCCACAACAACAATTTAACACGTCTAAACATACTGGACCCCTGGGAAATGCGAGTCCACAATATAGAGCACCTTATCCGCAATTATCACCACAGATGTCTCCGAGGCCCCAAATGTCTCCAAGACCGCAAGCTCCTCAGATGTCTCCCAGACCTGTAATGTCACCTGCAAAACCGAGCATGTCGCCTCATCAACAACATTCTCAGATACAACAGACCAATTTAAGTCCAAGACCAGCAACAAGCTTAACCCCAAAAACGACAGTTACTGGAACTGTACCGTCATATTCCCAACAAACGACGTTGCAAGCATTGGAACAGATGGTAATCCCACCATCCAGTAGTGGGACCGATTATCCGTATCAGTCTCGAAATTCGTTGGGGCCACCGCCTGGATCTCATCATCCGTTATCGCCAGCCATGAGCAGTGTTAACAGAAATCACATGGCAGATCAACAGTGGCCCCCATCACAATCTCCGCGCCAAACATTGCCTCACCTTACAAACATGAATAATGCTATGTCAATGATGGAACAGATCCCGACCAGTCAGCCATTACCAACAACGCAAACGCTGATGCCAACAACACTGCCTCCAAATTCAAATTTAACAGCCACCCCTTCTGAAATTGGATATGGATGTGAAGAAATTAGAACTGAAAAACCGGTTTCTGCATCAGAAATTCCTTCCGAAACTGGAACATCAACACCTGTAAGAGATACTACTACTCCTCAGACACCTCAAAGTATGCCAGTTGCTTCTCAAAATGAGTTTAGTTCAGTGCAATCTCCCACAACCAGTATGCCAGATAAAATGCCTAGTAGCACTACTAATACAGATTTGACGGTTCCAACTTCAACTACAGCTACTTTGTCTCATCCGCCTACCCCCACTCCAACTTCTACTACAGATGATAATGTTACAAATATGCAAGAGTCTAGTCTTCCTTCCAATGGAGATTCGGTGAAACAAATTGATGAACTAAGTAATGCTAGTTCAGTATCTAACCAACAAATACCTAGTCAAAGCAACACAATGAACACATTTACTGATTTTAATTGTGTTTCCAGCATGACTGGGTATCAGAGTGAACCAACAACTCCAAAACAAAGCAAAGTAGACGATCTAGCTCAATCTAATGTATCAGTATTTAGTCATGACAATTCATTGTCACAAGAATCTTTGGCTGAATCTAATAAATCCGAATCAAGCATGGCACATTCGCCTCGTTTGCAATCTCCAAGTTTTCAAAATCAGACGGCGGCACCATCATTTTTGTCAAATCAGGATAGAATGTCTTCAAATATTACTCAGAATAATGCAAATGCACCATCGTCGCCGGGTCAACCTTATTATTTATCACTAAATAGTAACCAGCAAGCTTTGAATGTCCCTGTTAACCAGTCGGGTCAATCAGAGCAAGGACTTCCAAGTATGGCCCAGCACTTTGCCAACTTGCAACAGCAAACACATAATCCTCCTGCAACACAAAATATAGCAACATCAGAGCAACATTCTGTTTCAAATATTCTAAATGCAGGAAATCAAGGTATTGCGCCTTCACATAATCAAAATAGTAATATTTCTGGTAATTCATTAAGTCCTACTCCAAATCGAACGAATAATACGTCAACTTCTTCTCCCTCACAATCGGCAACCCTGACGACCCAACCAGCAAATTTGGGGTCGCAACAAACAAACTTGACTCCACAGTCAGTTCTTACAGGAATGCCTGTAACAAATTTGCAAAATCTCCAAAATCAAAATATTCCGAGTATCTCTCAAACACAAGCAATAACTCTACATGGGCAAATGACTCCTAATACAAATATTTCCACCGTAATGTATGATCAGAATCAGTCATTAATGATAGGACCCAATGGAATTCCTGTATCTAGACAAATGACACCAAATATGACTCACGGAGCAATGCAAGGCCTGGGGCATCCAGGAATGAATATCATACCAGGAATGGGGTTGATGCCTAATATGACTATGATCCCAAATCAAGAAATTCCAGGGTATCACCCACCTATCAACCATCAACAGGAAAGAGCTGCTTTACAACAACAGTTGCAGGAGCTGTATTGTATGCCACCAGCACCTGAGCATCAGGAAAAAATAATAAACTTACAAGAGAGGTTAAATATTTTAAGTCAACATGAAAGTACAGACCAGTGCAATGGTGGTCCTCAATGTATACTACAGAGCTCTCTATTTACATCGCCTATGATAGACAGTCCTCAAGTAACAAGTACAACAGGTAGAGGGAGGGCAAAAGGAACGGGTAAGCCAAGAAAACCCAGAACAAAAAAAAGTGAAAAGGGGATGTCTCCAGTTCAAATAATGAATCAGCCGCAAATAACTGCTCAAATAGTTACCACGCAGACTCAGCAATTGCCAGTTTCGGAAGATTTTGTGACTGCTGGTGCTGGACTGAATATACCTTCCGGTGAAATGTCGGAATTTTCTGAAGTAGGAATGGACCATCAGTCTCCAGAGGAGAAAAAGAGGGGACGAAAACCCAAAGATCCTAATAAGAAACCCAAAGAACCAAAAATTCCAAAAGAACCAAAGACTCCAAAAGAACCTAAATCCACGAAAGAAAGAAAAAAGCGGGAACCAAAAGATCCTAGTGAAATTAAAGCCAAAAGAAAATATGTAAGGAAAAAGAAACTGGGTGATGGTTCAGAGGAGAGTGCTACAGATGAATCAATTAGTAAATCAACAGAAAACTTAGATATATCATCACAGGGACAGGATTTTGCTTCGGAAGAAGCTGAAGCATTACCTGAAAAATCGCATATTCCCTTTATGTCACTAGATGAGCAGATGTGTGAGTCCAAACCTGAAGATCCGCAAGAGATGCAGGCAGACTCGCAAACTCCGTCAGAAGGTTTGCCAGCGCCCGAGTCCAGTGAAGATAAGAAAGATGAATATGCATTTGATGAAAATCAAACAGAAGAAGAAATAGGCGAATTACCTAAGAGAACCAAGAAATCACGAGGTCCGCCAAAGAAAGTGGTCAGTTCTAAGCCAAAAAGTAAATTTGGAGGATCAAAACGTAACAGACGAAGAGGAATTGTTCCTGAATCTGACGGAGAGGGAGAAGATCTTATTAGTACTCCTCCCCCTTCGCCACCGCCGGATGATGATACTTCAAATAAACGTCGTTCAGCAAGGAATACACAGCGGAAAAAATACATTGATGACGTGATGCTCAGATTTTCAGACGATGATGCTCCAGCACCTCCTCCTAGAAGTAGAAAACCTCCGGTTCCTGACAAACCAGTCCTGTCTACTTCTGTTGCTGTTGTTACACCTTCAGTTTCATCTTCTAACACTGCTGGTACACAGGAGAATGTTACTGCGGAAGAGTCTATTGATTCCGCCGATGTCTCTAAGGGAATGAATTATGTTTATGTTAATACTTCAGATGAGGATTCCATGGTTGTTCAGTATGTATTGGCATCAAGAATGGTAAAAAAAGAGTGCAAACTGGATGAATTAAAGAAAGAGGAAACCACTCTTAAAGAGGAAGACGACTCGAAGAAAGGTAGCGATTCTGAATTTGAAGACAAACCAATGGCAGATACGTTGAAAGAACAAGAAAGAATTGAAGGAAAAGCAACAGATGATAAAACTGAAGAAATGGACCTAGTTGATGTTGAAGAGTTTTTTGTGAAATATCGGAATTTTTCATATTTGCATTGTGAATGGAAAACGGAAGATGATCTTTTCAAAGGTGATAAACGCATAGCCAATAAAATAAAAAGATTTAAACAAAAGCAGGCCCAATTAATGAACATATTTGAGAATTTAGATGAGGACCCGTTTAACCCAGACTATGTTGAAGTTGATAGGGTATTAGATTATTCTGAACATACCGATCCTGCTACCGGGGAATTGGTAAAGCACTACTTGGTAAAGTGGCGTGCATTACAATATGAGGATTGCACATGGGAGTTAGAAGAAGATGTTGATCCTATAAAAATTGAACAGTATGAGAGATTTAAGAAAGTGCCTTCAAAAGACAAGTGGAAACCAAGAAAGCGACCAAATCCTGATTCTTGGACGAAACTAGAAAAATCACCTGTTTATAAAGGGGGTAATACTTTAAGAGAGTATCAGCTGGAAGGGCTGAATTGGCTTCTTTTTTCTTGGTATAATGGCAGAAATTGTATACTTGCAGATGAAATGGGTTTGGGAAAAACCATTCAGAGTTTGACATTCATAAACGCTGTGTGGGAATACGGTATAAGAGGACCATTTCTTGTAATAGCACCACTTTCAACAATTCCAAATTGGCAAAGGGAAATTGAAAGTTGGACTGACATGAATGTTATTGTATACCATGGTTCATCTACAAGTCGCAATATGATCCAAGAGTATGAAATGTATTTTAAAAATGAAAAGGGTCAACATATTAAGGATATAACAAAATTCAATATATTGATTACAACGTTTGAAATTATAGTCACAGATTTTGCTGATTTGAAATGTTTTAATTGGCGGCTATGCGTAATTGATGAGGCTCATCGCTTAAAAAACAGGAATTGCAAGTTACTTGAAGGACTGAGACAGCTATCACTGGAACACAGAGTCCTACTTTCGGGTACGCCGCTTCAGAACAATGTGAACGAGTTATTTTCACTTCTTAACTTCTTGGAACCCACACAGTTTTCAAATTGCGATGCATTCTTGAAAGAATTTGGGGCATTAAAAACAGAACAAGAAGTACAAAAGTTGCAATGTCTTTTAAAACCTATGATGTTGAGGAGGTTAAAGGAGGATGTAGAAAAGTCTTTAGCACCAAAGGAAGAAACTGTGGTTGAAGTTGAACTGACAAATATTCAAAAAAAGTATTACAGGGGAATTTTAGAACGAAATTTTTCATTTTTAACTAAAGGCACCACATATGCAAACATACCAAATTTAATGAATACTATGATGGAGTTGAGAAAATGTTGTATTCACCCATATTTATTAAATGGGGCCGAAGAGCAAATTCAATATGATTTTAAGCAACAACATGGTGAAGATCCAGATGCTTATTACAAGGCTCTTATTAACTCTAGTGGTAAAATGGTGTTGATTGACAAACTGCTACCGAAACTTAAAGCAAATGGACACAGAGTACTGGTTTTCAGCCAGATGGTTAAATGTTTGGATATTCTGGAAGACTACTTGATGTTTAGGAAGTATCCCTATGAAAGAATTGATGGAAGAATTAGAGGAAACCTCAGACAGGCTGCAATTGACAGATTTTCAAAACCAGATTCTGATAGATTTGTCTTTCTCCTTTGCACCAAGGCAGGGGGATTGGGAATTAATTTGACGGCTGCGGATACTGTTATTATTTACGATAGTGATTGGAATCCACAAAATGATTTGCAAGCGCAAGCTAGATGTCACAGAATTGGGCAACAAAGAATGGTAAAAATTTATAGATTACTTTGCAGAAATACCTATGAAAGGGAAATGTTTGATAAGGCCTCTCTGAAATTAGGTTTGGATAAAGCCATTTTGCAAAGCATGAATACTAGTCAGAATGACAAGGGAACTGGCCCAAGACAGTTAAGTAAGAAGGAAATTGAAGATTTGCTAAAGAAAGGTGCCTATGGTGCTCTACTTGACGAAGAAAATGACGGGGACAAGTTTTGTGAAGAAGATATTGATGTTATTTTAGCTCGAAGAACACAGGTTATAACTATGGAATCAGAAAAGGGGTCTACATTCTCCAAAGCTAGTTTTGCTTCTAGTGCTAGCCGGTCTGATATTGATTTGGACGATCCAGACTTTTGGAATAAATGGGCTAAGAAAGCAGAAATTGATACTACAGAAAAAGATGAGAGTGAAGATTTAGTAATTTCAGAGCCTAGAAGACGAACTCAGATTAAACGTTATGGACATGATGAAAGCGCAATTGATATGTCGGAGTTAGAAAGTTCTTCAGACTCTGACCCAGAAAATGAGGCTTTGGGTCTAAGAGGAAGTCGACGAAATAAATTAAAAAAGAAGAAATACCGGGATGACTACATTCCCAGAGATGGTGAAAGTAGGGGAGAAATCGTTTATGGAAGCTGGTCTAGGAGGGAATGTTTTATGGTTGAAAGGGGGTTGCTGACTTTTGGGTGGGGACGCTGGTTTGAGATTTTGCAAAATTCCCAGTTGCGCAAAGGATGGAGGGAACAGGACATTGAAGACTGTGCAAGAGTGATAGTAAGTATATTTAGAATCATATTGTATTTTTCGTCTTATTGTACAATCTCTTTGTTTGGCCCACCATTGAGATTTACACAACTTTTCTTTTGCAGCTTTTATATTGCCTGAGATTTTATCGGGGCGATGAAAAAATTAGAAATTTTATTTGGGACCTTATTGCTCCATCTGAAAATGGCGAGCAGAAAATTTCTAGAAACCATCAGGGCCTGAAAGATCCAGTACCAAGGGGTATTAGAAATAAACACAAGAAAAAACCTTCAAAGGATATTAGGCATGCTGCTTTGACAGATCCCAATCATTGGAGCAAGAGTGAAAAATATGATGGCGACATTTTCCTTGAAAATAATTATAAGAAGCATTTGGGAAGACATGCGAATAAGTATGTAGTTTAACAGTTTTTTTTTTATATTTAACAGTACAATTAATTGTTATGATGAATACCATGCTAATTTAGAAATTACATAGGTATTTAATGAAAACAAATGTTTCTCATTTTTTCTGATGGATTTTTAATACTTGCTTGATTTAGTCTGTTTCTCTAGGCATATTTAAAATTGTTTTAAACGTTTATTGCAGAGTTCTTCTTCGCGTAAGAATGTTATATTACATCAAACACGAAATTATTGGGGATCTAGTACAGCACATTACCGATGGTGTACAAGCAAGGTAAGATATTTTGCGAGAATATTGGGTATTAAGGTGTGTTCAGTAAAGTGCATAATACTATTAATTTGTGTACTGTTTCATCATAATTAATAAAAAATTGGGTTTTATTGTCCATTAAAACGCTTTTGAATAAAAATAATTTAATATTGTGCAAAGGTAAGAACACAACCTTATTTTTTTAACTTTTTCACAAAGATCATATTAAATGTTTTTGCTAAATAAATGAAGGTAAGATTTTATATTTAACTTATTGCCCAAATTTGTTTCTCGTTGTTGGGATACCAGCTTCAGTTTTTCAATTTTCTTGCATGATGCTTTATGAGGTCATGCCAGTGCTTTTTGCATTAATAGATTTATCCTTGTACGTCATTTATTATTTTATCACAGCTTATGGCTTATACTTACATTATTGTTAATAACACTAATATCAATCCATTTGTATTGGTTCCCAACTTCCTTGGTATTATTCTTATTGTATACGAGAATGATTGTTTACGGTAATATCGCTGATTCATTGGATACTGCACTGAATTAAATATATTGATAATAAGTTGACCCCCTTTTAAGGCGTCTGCGGTAAAAAAAAAATTATATAGGTGTTTCATCTAATTGGTACCTGAATTGCTTTGTGAAATGAAAGTTTTTGTAAAAAACAAAGTAATTCGCTGTAATTTTTATGAGACTCATTTTAGTTAAATTTATAATAATTATCATATAGCGTTTTAAACATCTTAGCGAATATCCTGATATAGTGTGACACATGCATCTTAAACCTACAATATTTACTATCATTTCTAACATGTCTACTACATTGAACAAAATGAATAAAATATCACTAGTTATTAAGAATTTAATTGCACATCCCTTTTGTAGGTTTAGAAATTTGTGTTAAGCTATATTACATTGCATGTGTCTTCAATGAAAAAATTTTTTTTTTCAAATATATAGAAAAATTTGTTGGTTGATTGATAAAATGATATTGCTTTTGCGAAACACTTATTTTTCAGAATGTGTATTCTATTTAAGATATAAATGTGATTGTACATTTCACGATTCCTATTTACGTGATTTGCAATATAATTTGTAAAGGTTTAGTGTTTTTATTAATTAACTCTTATTTTTTAAGACATTCAGATAACTATTTCATTAGGAATTACACTTTTGACTAATGTTAATGAAATTAGCCTTTGTTCTTTGAGACCACAAGATCCAAGCCGATGACTTTTGCAATAATACAAACTTGCTTGCATTGGTAAAAAAAATACATTTTGTTATTTAAATGGTAAGTTCGCAACCACAACTACTGTAACGCATGTTTCGTGAATTTATAACTGATTATTGATGGAATTTCACTAATTTTTGATAATTCTGTTTAAAAAATTGATTCAGACAAATCATGTTCGAAAAGTATAAAAAAGATAACTCAGCTGTCACCGTTCTACAATATAGACGAATTTATGTTAATTTTGTAATGAAAAGTATAATAGCAATTATGAGGGGTAGTTTTGACATACACACTACTTAAAGGCTTGTTTTTTATAGTAGGGATAAATATGAAAATAACAAAGTCTTAAAAGAGGGTATATTTTCTATTCAGTTATGTGAACGCAGTTTCCAAAATGAAAATAATCACTCCTGAAAATTGTTAATACAATGTCATTCTCATATATAAGAATTAAAAAATGTTAACGGTACGGCACTTGATACCAAATTATCTCTTTTGAAAATTATTCGGTTACTGAAAAGTAAAAACTTCAAATGAACTTTGAATAACAGATTTTTACTGAAGACACTTTCAATATCTGGAGATTAGTTTGCTGTAGCATTATTTACTAACTTAAACAAGATTCATACTATTTAGTTCAACACCACGCTAATTTTAATTTGACTCTCAAGCAAAATCCATTCCTCTCAGATGGTTATTTTTCAGTCGCCAGCTAAGTTTTCTAACTTGGCAAGTAGTTACTAAGTTTGCTTGATGTCGGAGGTTTACTTAGATTTTTTAAATTATTCTATTCTAAACTTTTCAAGTTTCTCATACAAATTCAATTCAACCGTTCTGTAGAACGCTTTGGTTTCCAAAAGTTCATTTGAAGTCTTGAATTTGGAAAGCAATAATGTCACTATTGAAACTAGTCAAAATTTTTCAATTGGCGATTACGTATGTACGTTCACAGTGCCTTGCCGATTTACCCCCCGGTAACGGAGCAATTGCCCGCCGTGTGGTGGGACTCTGAGTGCGACAAGTCATTGCTCATCGGAACATGGAAACACGGCTACGAGAATTACACGGCGATGCGCCAAGACCCCACCCTTTGTTTTTTGCCTCGATTTGGGCCTCCGACGGACCGCGAGATTCAGATGCAGGCTGCAACTAACACGCAACCACCTACGCCTACCCAAGCCCCACCGTAAGTAGAGTTTTGGCTAAAACAAAAAGTGCAGAGCGGATCAACGCGCATTTTATATTAGAAGTCGCTAGATCTCAACTTGGCTGTTAATGATGTCTAACTTTGTTACATGAACAGTCTAGTCGCAATGGAAACAAAGTGTTTTTCTACTTTTTTGGTGCATATAAATAATCCGTTTTTCTTAATATATCTTTAACATTATGTAGATCAGTTCATCTAACAGAAATTAGATAGTCATTTTGTTGGTTCATACAAGAGCACTAATTGCTAAATGTAGGAAATTGCTTCAGTTTTAGTCAGTCATTAATTACTGGTTTTCAGGGGGTAACTTTGGTGCAAATTGACACTTTCATTCGTTAATTCGCCATTATGTAGAAAAGTGCCTGTTTTCATGTGGTATTTCCATTCCATTTTGCCATTAGCTTGCCCTGTTGTATTATTTATCCAAGCTTTTTTGTTTCCCTAGTGCATGAGAGTTTTGTGCAGATATTTGAAAAAAGGTAAGATCTATTTGGTACAAAAGTCCTAAAAAACGCTGCTGCTGTTCCTAAAACTGTACAGTCGAAAGGTTTATTTGCTTTTTTATATAAACTTTAATACAGGACTTTCCTTAGGTAAAGAAAGCTTATCCATAGTTTTGCGAATTTAAATTGGGCCTAAGTGCGCAATAAATCTCACAGTTCCAATATTGTTTAACAGCAATGAAGAAGAAATAGACGACGATGATACCAATGAGGAGTCCAGTCTCAAATCAAAAACTCGCGAATCAGAAGGAAATTCCGAAATAGCGGAGCCATCGCCTGGTCCGTCAGCTTGTTCCGAGACACAACCATTGGAAGGAGAGGAACTTAAAGATGAATTACTTGATGATAAAAACCCTTGGCCCACAGTTACTGACCTTAATACAAGACTTAGGCGAGTCATTACTTCCTATCAAAGGAATTATCGCAAGGAGGAACAAAAATCACAGGCATTGAAGGCTAAGGTAATTTTTTTCTTATCCATCATGTGTCATATTAAAACTTAGATAATTTTGGAACTTAAAATACCTGTGTTATTGTATGTTTAATGCTATTTTTTAGTTAGATATTTATAATTTACCATTGATTATTTTCATTCTCTCTAGACTAGCGAAAGTTAAATTTGTCTTAATCATATCTGGAGACTTACATATTAAAAGGTGTCAGCTATTTATTAAAGTAGTTGATATGCCAAGTTGGGGGGGGGCTCTTTTAAAATGATGATGGATGATGATGATGATCAAATTTGTGTGTTTTATTTGAAATATATGTCAAAGTTTAAACATACTGTTCATACTTGGTGATATTTTCCCATTTGATTGCTTGTTGATGTTAAAGTTATGTTTTTCTACCACATTTTATCTAAGTCATTAATTATTTCAGTTTAGTGGTCATATATTTAGTTGCTCCCTAAAAGTCTTGACATCATCTTAACGCCTGTCTACCCTGTACATTGAACTTATCCATAATTCTCTTGTGCACAAATGTTGCATGAGCGTTGTGGCTGTTTGTCGGGTAGACTAGTAGTACCATTCCTTGCACTGTCTCGCAGCAACAACAGCAGCAACAATCGGCGTTAGACACATCAGCTCTCTCTTCTCCATTGGCAGCACTAGCACAAGTCTCACAGCAGTTTGATCCACGAGACGCCGCCTCCCTGGGTCTGCAAGGTTGGGATCTGCAACAGCTCGCCCTTTATCTTCTGGTAAGTAGTGGCGGACCCTTTCTAAACAACGTTTTATTTGTTTTCAGAGCTTCTATTTAGATTGTGATAGTTGATGCGTTGTCTCCCTAATTGTTAAGGAAAAGTAACTCAGGAAGTTTTCAGATTTTATTCCCTTTATTCCGGTTTATGAGCATTAAAAAAAAATGGTTGGCCGCATTTGCCATTAAGTTATCGGTCAAGTGTAGTTTCAAAAGTTATTGTTGTAACTGTTTTGTTACAATTCTAACTGTTGAATGTTTCCAAGATCTTTGTAGTCCTTCCTGATTGCTTTTTGTCACCGCCTCCCATTCTGATGTTTAGTCAAGTTGTATTTCACATGTCATTTGCATTTTGGTGGATACATTTTTGATATACACACAAATTAATTAATTATATGTAGGGTGGGCAAGGCGTGCATTTAAATATAGTATGTACATCCAACTGGATCGGATGCAATTTAATTTGACTGAAATGTTTGATACATGCTATTAGGATCTAGATAAGTTTAAATACTTTTCTAACTAAATTACCCAAATTTTAAATGACTTTGTTTTGCCAATCAATAGTTAAATTAAAACGAATGCTACTTGAAAGCCTGAAGCCAGTTTCTTACTTGGAAACTTTGGGAAGTACTACATAAATACTAAATAACCATTGGGCAATTAAAATTGCTGTTACTAGTTGTTTCATAATAATGCAATAAAACCAATTACAGCAGACTGTCCAAAATTAAACAAAACATATATTTTTTAAAGAGCTATTCTTTTGGTCGCTTGAAGTGATGAGAATTATAAGAAAAATAAACACAAAGCATAAGAATTCTAAAGTAGCTCTATTATGTACAGCCTAGTGGCATTGCTGAATGTTTGTCTCCTTCGAATTTTTAATGGATTACGCCCGCAACGCACTAACATTAGAATTCGATCAGACATTTGAGTAAAATATCTGTGCGCATTTCCGAAATAAAAAACGCAACAATTTTATGACCAGCATTTCCACGCTGGAAAAGGCCTTAAATAAGCTAAATAATTTTGCATCAGCTACATTCAATCTTTTAGGCGTGGTCAAAATGGTTGGTTGCTGTTTAAAACAAAAAATAAACAACGAATTGATGGCACCTGAAAAAAATAATGGTTTTGTCCAGGTACCAATGACTCACTGTACTCTCTTCTCATAAATCGTGCTCTAGTGTGTATTACAAGCATCCATCCCCATCGCCACTAATAAAATTCCTTTGTGATTATAATTGTGATAACATTTAATACTGATAATAATTTCAAAAACCACGCGAATCATAAAATATGTTTAATTCTTTTGTACACTAGAAGTTGATACTCACCTTTTCAGAAGATGGAACGCCAAGGTAAGCAAGCATTAGAACAGGCAATGAAGGACAGCACTAAAGAACGGGAAAGACTCTCCATATCCAAACGTTGGACTAGAAGAGAAGAGGCAGATTTCTTTAGAATTGTGTCATCATATGGCATTATATATTATAGGAAATCTAAAAAGTATGATTGGATAAAGTTTAAACAGCTCGCGAAATTGGAGAAAAAAGCCGATGAAGAGCTGACTGAATATTATAAGCACTTTGTTATGATGTGCAAAAAGCAGACCGGATTAAATTCGGATGAAGGGATTTATGACATTACAATTGAGCATGTTGGTGAAGAAAAAGCCCGAAGGACGTTAGAAAGATTAGAACTGCTTTCTAGGATAAGGGAGGATATTTTAACGCATCCCAAATTAGATGATCGTCTCAAGGTCTGTCTAACCTCTGCCGATATGCCCGAGTGGTGGATACCCGGTAAACACGACAAGGATTTGTTATTAGGCGTTGCAAAGTAAGTATGATTAAATCGACTTCATCAAAAATTTAACTCAATTCTCATGTAGGCATGGCCTTGGGCGAACTGACTACTTCCTTTTAAACGATCCGGACTTGTCCTTCCATGAAGTGCTTAAGAAGAAAGTGAACTCAGAATCTCAAGATGCAAAGAAGGCAATTAAATTAGAGAGTCACGAAGACATTTTAAAGTTTGATAAAGACGAGATATTGGTAAAATTGGAAAAAGGAGAAGGTACCTTAAAAATCGAAAAAGTTGCACCAAAAAAAGAAAATGCAGATGACAAAAAACTTGAAGATGAAGTGACTATAAATTCGGAAAGTGTCAAATCTGAAAAGGAAGAAGCTGACGCAGAGAAAAAACCTCCGGAAAAAGAAGAAAATTCGGACTCAGTTCAGGAGGAAGAATGTAAAGATAAAGATGCTGATATAAAAGAAACATCAGAAACTAACAGGGAAGAAGATAATTTTTCAAAAACTGTGGCCGATGGCGAGAGCAAACTACCAAAAATTGAGGACAAATCGATTAAGGTGGAAGCAGAATTGTCTGCTACTGACTTGTGTTCAAAACAAGCAGCTGAGCTGAAGGCGATGTTTCCAGACTTGGAGGTTATTCAACCTCTTTCAAGGTTGTCTCAAGTGGATACCTTTGTGTTACGGGACAAACCAAGTACAACAGGTGTATTAGATTTTAGCGAGACCACAGTTGCACAGTTATTTAACAGTGCTGTGAAATGGCCCAAAGAATATGCTATTCAAGTCCGCCTGCAGCACATTATCTATGCTGTAGAAACCAAAGAGTGGCCTGCTTCAAAATCTTTCTCTGCATATGCGACTGGTATTGGCAACGAATTTGACATTCCCATTCATGAACTCCCAAGTGAACCTATGAAACGGGAAACTCCCACCCCCGAAGTAGATAGTGTATCCATAATGAAAAAGACTGACAAAAGAAAAAGACACATCGCTATAGATGTTGAAACAGAAAGGGCGAAATTGCACGCTCTTTTGAATAGTACTCAATTAAGTAATCCTCTTGGCAAGTCTCATTGGGATGATGATTCAGAAGATTCAAAACGATCTACTCCACAAGGAAATCTGCAACCACCTCCGGCACATCAACATAAGGCATCGACTTTAAATATTAATATTGGTACAATGCCATTTGATTTCTCAAACAAATACCAACCTCCTTTAACTCCAAAAACTATCGGACAGACAACTGTCATTCCCGGAACGAGTAGTACACTTACCCCAATTGACTTAAGTTCAAGGTAGTAAATCCGGTTTAATTTGCGTTAATATAATAATGGTTTTCCCTTTTCACTTTAAGCATCCCCAAGAGCAGCGATAAATGTCTAGATATGCAAAACGAGGTTCAGGATTTTTCATTAAAAAAGCCCTCTATGTCTACTGGAAGCAGTAGTAGTGTTAGTAGTGGAACATCCAAAACCGGCAACAAACTCGACGATACTTTGTCGAAACTAATGAAAAGAAAGAATTGCGTAAGTTTTTACATGTTAAGTGATTGTATTTTTCTTTACAAATTTTTGCGTCTCGCAGCCGGAACCGGAAGCTGTGGTAGGCAAAGAAAAGAAACGCAGAAAATTAGATGAAATTGTTTTGGGGTTGTCCGCTGCCAAAGAACAGTCGCTGTTTCCAGAAACTACCAAAAAACAGCCGGTGACTCCCAGTGTCACTGTCACTCCCACCTCTGCACCTGTAAGCTCATCCTCAAGTCCTTCCCAAAAACCATTTACCATAACTGTCACATCCGTTCCTTCTACAGCCCAAACCTCCGGTCGAAATAGTGGACTGCCAAATATTTTACCTAGCTTGTCTGCAAAAGACAGCTTTTCGACGTTTTTGGCCCAAGCCGAGCAACAAACTCTTATGCTAAAGAAACAACAACAGCAAAGAAAGAGTTATGAGGTAAGAATTTCGTTACTTTAAGGAATTCTTTATTTTAAACTGCTAACACTTTTTAGGCAATGATTGCGGATATTGGTTCCAAAGTAAATTCTTATTCTCACGAGGCTAAAGTTAACAAGTGGCTCGCGGAACAAAATGCCGCTTTAGCCGAACAACCGTTGGGTGCGGATTATTTATCAACTCGAAGAAGAAGACCTAGAGTCGACCCCACCTTATTGGATTGGAAGAAACTAACTGGCGATGAAAATGTTTCCGTCATACATAGGGTAACCGGAAAGAAACTAACTGGTCCCAAGGCACCCACCCTTAAAAGATTGGGTCCGTGGCTGATGGAGAATCCCATGTACGATATCGACCCTAAGTGGTCAGAGTTAGTAAAGGAAAGAGGGAATCTTGGATCGGATTTGCATAAGCGGATGCCTGGTCAATCTGGTGAGAAATTATTCATACATAGACTTGAAAATCATTTATTGTTGTTTTACAACCAATATTTTTATTAGAATTTGATTGATTTTTAGTTACTTACGAGATACACTGAGAGAAGTTGAACAACATTTTGTAAACTGGTTTATTCTGGATATCTCATTTTATTCATTTTCAACTGTTATGTTTACTGAGATTAATTTCGACAAGTTGTTCTAATTTCTTAGAATTAGAGAAAAATTATTCTTTCCTACACGTTTTATATTTGCAGGTGTGTCCGGAATTTCAACTGGAAAACAAAAGTCTGGAGCTTCTTCAGGCAGACCTCCCTTGTTATCTAGTCCCACTGGTTCTACTTCAAGTGTGAGTTCAGCAAATGTGAACACATCATTGCCATCGAGCATGTCTTTCCCTTCATTGACTAACTCAGGGCTTGCTGGATTGAACTCTAATCTTCTTTCTGGCATTTCTGGTTTGGGACAATTTGATCCAAAGTCTAATCCATTGCTAATGCCTTTTGCTGGCCTGCCCATGGGCTCCATGAACAGTCTTGGAAATCTTTCCAACATGAATCTATTTGCCAACTTAGCTGGTTTAGGTCTTCCCGGATTAGGCGGAATGGATCCATCTGTGTTAGCTAATGCGGCGGCAGTTTCTTCAGGGTAAGTGATTTTTCACAATTTTATAATATAATTGATGTACTTAAGCTACTTCAATTTTCCTTTCTTATAGTAAAAGTCAAAGCAGTAAGGCTAGTGCATCAGCTAGCTCTAGTAAGTCGGAAAAACCACAGGAAGCTCATACTTCAAATAAGAGTCAATCAAGTAGCGCAAACATACCCACAACAAATCCTTTCCCTTTCTTTTTCCCTAATCCAAGTTTACTTTACACCCCGCTTGGGCTAGGAGGCTTGAATCCATTTACACTGCAACCAGGTTTATCGGCATATGACAGTCTGGCGCAGCAGTGTGGGTTATTGAACGGAAATTTGAACCCTGCCGCATCGCCAAATTCAAAAATGAAGTCCAGTTCGTCAGGTAGTTCTAGGCCCTCTTCAGCTTCGATAACTACAACTGCTACGACAGCTCCTAGCCCCAGCGGAAGCAGCGGCAGCAGTGGTATGAAACAGCCAAGCAGATCATCTAGTAGAGATGCTCACATACAACAGTTGCTTCTACCGCCAGACACTCAGATTCTAGAGAATATATCGAAAACAGCAAGTTCTTTTGACTTAGGCATGAAAATTGGCAAAGCCGATAAAAAAGAAGACAAAAGAAAAGCTTTGGAGAATTTAAGAGGTGATTGACAGTGTTTAATGTTTAATGTCTTTCACTGAATCCATTTAACTATGAAGGTGGTTGCATTTGTCTTTTACTTTTACGTCGCTAACTCATATCATTTTTGTTTAGACTTGGTGACAATAATTCTTTTCCTTTTTTATTTTTGAAGATTTTTACATTTTTTTTCATTAGTGAGTGTCTATGAGATTTAGTAATATGGGAAAAAGAGGAGCATTTAAAATTTTCTACGCGTAATCACAATACCATCAACCACACTTTGAACGTCGAACAAAATGATTAATAAAAGTTTTACTATCTTGAAATGTAATGTTTATTTAAACGTTAAGAATGTTTGCGCATAACGTCTGTGTAATGTAATTGCTAGTAATCATTAGTCATGAAACTTTGTTTTGCTTGTAGGTATGTTACCTACAGATTTCACTCAAATTTCGAAAGATAAGAAAAGCGGACTTCCGGGACTGGCAGATTTCACTAAACTGCTAGAGGCACAGGTGAGCCAGTCGACAAAAAAATCACAAGAGCAACAAGTGAAAGAAGCGTTAGAGCAGTTCAGCAAAAACAACGCTGAACTAATGGCTAAGGCGTTTGTGGAGGAGCAGGTAACTAATGCGTTTTTTATTTGTGTTGGGTCTTTTTTATTTCTTTTTTTTTTATGCAGGCAAGATTAAATATTCCTACGTCCAAACGCCCGAGGGGAACTAGCGAGTCTCAACTTCTTCCCGATAAACGGTCGGCTGAAGAAGAACCAACCCCAAAGAAAGCAAAACAACAGGAAGATCAACAAAAGTCACGCGCTACTACCCCTACGACGCAGGCAACACCACCACCCCAGTCAAACACGTCGACTGTCGGTGAACAAGAAGGGGTAAGTAAATCGTTTGTCTTGAAATTGTCGGCGTTTATTTTCATTCGACATTTATAATTAAGGTAGACATAGAGGCTCTATTGCCATCTAGTGTAGTTACATCTGCGAATGTGACGCCAGAAAAGCAACCCCAGTCACTGGATCTTTCCAAGGAACAGGGTGACATGTCAGAACCCAAGGAAACTCTAGATGACACGTTTGCGGAGGAAACCAAAAACGACGATGCCTCCAAAGATGCTGACAGTAAACTGACAGTTGCGGGTCAGGCTGATGAAACTGATGCGCCACCAAAGAAAAATTCAAAAAGAAGAGGTAACTTGATGGGATTGATAATGAACATTAATAAACGTTACAAATTTCTACAAACAATAATATCTAACTGGTGCTGTTGAATCTCAAATTATTGAGTAATGTGCAATCTCCGCATTTATTTTGTTGGATTACAGGAAGTAACATTTTGAAAGTGTGCAAAATTTCGAATAAGTAATTGTAGTTCATGGACAAGTGAGAAATTTTTAATAATTTTTTAGGAATATTTTCCGGGCCAATCGCAATATTTACAAAATCAGTCGGAAATTCACCTTGTAATTTTAGAAGTATTAAAATCACAACTAGAGACGCCATTGTAGCCTTTGAGCTCCAAAGTTTATCCATTTTCAAGAGCGAAAATTTAAATATGTAAAAAATAAATCATTTTGTATGGAAGTAAAAAAGAAAAGCTGATTAAATAGTATTTTTTAATGCTTGTCTGCTTATTATTTTAGGCAAGCGTAAGTCTGGCGAACTTCTCATCGATCCCGAGGCGATAATTGAGAAGAAGAACTTGCGATCTAGTGCAAGCCGGTCAGCTGCAGCAGCTGCGGCAAGGCAGCAACGGGAAGCTGAAAACGCACAGCGGGAAAGCGAAAACGCTTCTTAAAAAGGTCGCGACAAAAATCTCACTTTTAAGAAACTAAATGGGTATTTGGTGAACTGTGATAAAATCGAACGTGAAGATACACACACAGAGATAGTGAAAATGGTGCGAAAGTTTTCCGAATAGAACGGACTTGCGGTACTGATTAATTACGCTTGGTACACTTATAATCCCCCAATTACAATGAATACTTGTTTAGGGTATATTATAATAGACGTAAACTTATCTTAAAGTTGAATTGCATTTGGATAAAACTCGAATTTTTTTTTTTTTTCTAGAGCATTTGGTTTCGCCAAGTAATGCAAAATTGGCTCGAGTTAAGTTTTTATTTTACGGTTTAATTTTTTTAAGATGAATATCTTTTTCCTTTTAAGAGAATGTATGATATTTTATCATTGATTTTTATTTGTAAATATATTATACATGAAGTGTGAAAGTGTGTAAATAAATTTATTAAGTGTTTTTTAAAATTCTTTTTTTATTATTATTTACTTGACACAATATGTTGCGTATTAGTAAGTCTAAAAATTTATTTATTGTGGATTTTCTAGTGTCCTGCAGTATAATATCTCTATTTATTGACATTCTCTTTTTTTACAGTTTTTACATTTAATTTATAAACAAGCTGACAGGATGAGCAATCTGTTGTCTCCAAAAGTAAACGTGTACACTTATATGGTAGGGTAGCTCTCTCTCTCTTTCTCATTTATTGTTATGATGTTCATGATAGGTAACAATTAAATGATTATAAATAAATTTTGCCTTTAAATTTCGCTATTGTTTTTCTGCAGAATATGGTGATTTTTAAAAGATTACTTGATTCAGGAAATGAATCTGTAGATTATTTTGGGAAAAATATATATTCCCCCCCCACAATAGCCATAATGGGATGGCAGTGATCTATTTATGAATCTATTAAATACATTTTTTTGACTATATTCCCTACTAAGGTCAATCTGTGGGTATCACATTGCTTGCTGAACGAGTAAATTGTTTGATATTGCGAAATTATTCCATAGAATCTTTTTAATGCCTTGACATTTTAAAATTTTATGTGGGATGTGCGACAAAAAAATAGCGTTTCCTTCTAAACTTTAATGACACTGTTTGTCTAATGAGTATCTTTTAGGCTAGTGAGAGAAAGAATACTCTGTCCCTAAGCGCAGTGAAAGAATTATAGCTTATTTGAGCGACCAAATTTTAAGTTTCCAAATCTCAACATTTTGGGGTGATTAAAATATGTCAACCTCTTTATCAATATAAATGGTAACCCGAATTATAATAGACAAACTTTAACATCATATTCAGCAAAAAAATTAATGCTTCATTTCCAGGGTGTTGAAATATTTCGAAGATAATCGTTTTTTTTTATTATTACAAAATCTCTTTTACATTTTGCTTTCAAACTTTGTAAATTATCAAAGTATAATAATTTCTGAAATTCTTATTAATTTAATTTGCACCATTCATTTGCAATTTTTTTTTTCTCGTAAACGGTTCTTTTAGAAAAGATCAATTTTGTTTACAATTGATCAGGGTATTATAAACCATTGCGGTAACACTTTTTATTATTTAAATAAATTAAAACGGTCTCAAACATCCCTGGCTAAACCAAAACCTGTGCAGCTATGCTAAGTATCTGTTTTTAAGTAATAATAAGACCCAAGTTTAAAAGCACAATGTAGAAATTTGGGCAATATTCCAACTCCAAGTTTATATGAACTTTTTTCTTTTTACCTGCTGAATATGCTGTTAAAAGTTTCTCCATTATACTTTGGACCACCCTTTATATTTGACCATAGGTAGAACTAATAAAATAAACCTTGTGAAATTTTGTTTTTAAAGGTTTTTCAGGCAAAGTGCCACTTTGCATACAATACATACCCACTACGACTTCAGATTCTTTCGGGAGTTTTTTTTACACTTTAAAAATCAATTGATGAACATAAAAAAAGCTAGGCGGTTACCTGCAAGCTAAAATTGGTAAAATTTAATTAACTTTATAGCTTATTGCCTGGACCAGAAAAATAAAACACTTAAAACTGTAATCTCATGTTTTTGTTATGTAAAACAATTACATGTAAGGAGGAAAATGTTTAAAGCAAAATACAGTTGAGCTATACAATACGCCAAGGCTTTCTCTAAAGAACCAATGCAGTCCAAATAAATCAAATCCACTTACTACTGGCACCATACAAGGATTCCTTTGCCTGTAAAACTTTTTAATAAAAAATATATTCCTTTCAAAAATTCCAATTTAATAATATTGTTCTTTAATTAATAAGTATATAATATCATAAATACACAGGTAAAATTTAAAAACATCTGTGCATTTTCATTGAAAAAAAACCAGCCTTGGTTATCGAAAAAACAAAAAACTAAAAAAATAAATAAATATTTTCGTGTTATGCACAGATCTTTTATTCATGTACGGTCATTTTAATAGACAGGATTATTTGCTATTTATACAATTTTTCCAAATGTAAGCAGATATTTACCTAATTTAAAAGTCACCAAGACAAAATTAAACAGTCTTTTAATATAAATGTTGGGGTATAAATTTTTGTAAATACATAATTTAAATTAAATAAATATCCTACACAATGTCATCCCGATTAAAAGAAATATGTACAAGAAGATAATTAAAATGAACGTACAGTCAGTTAGGTTCAAGGGATAAATATATAGCGAAAGTATGCTCTGCTTTGGGTTTGTTGAAAAATCATTCAAAACCGAGCAACAACTATATAATGCAAAATCAAAACTTGAACCCTTCATTGGGAACATTTGTATTTGGATCGAAATTGAAACCACTATCTCCTGCTGTCGGCGCTAAGTTTGGATCATCTTCAGCCTTAAACAGATAATAAACATCATATTATTAATCTGAACGCTATGAAAAGATTTTGACAATTGGATCATTCCAAAGACTACTGACTGAGACAGTTTGAATAACTAGCATTTAAATCACTCAAAAAAATTGACTTTATTCAGAACATTTCTAATAATTATCCCGTAACTGTATGGGAGGATGGGAAAAATCAGATAAAAAAAACATTTGCATACTTACATCCCCGCTGAAATATTGCTCTATGATATCGTAAGCCAATTTATAAATCTCGATATTATCGTGATTCTGCAAGGCTTCAATTTTATCCAGACCATTGCATTCTTCAATCATGGTGCAGAGCTGCTCAACTTGAGGGCCTGCCATCTTAAGCATGTTATTAATACCATCCAGAACAACTTGAATCACAGTGGCATCTTTGCAATTCAAAAGATCACAAAAAGGAGGGATGACCCCTTCCTGAATAAGTCTAGCCACTTGCTCTTTATTGCCCCCTATTGTCAAGTTTGATATAGCCCAGGCGGCCTCCTTTTGTGTTTGAAAATCACCTTTTGTGAGATTGTGTATAATTTTTGGCAGTAAACCTAAAAGACCCATCAATCATAATTTTTTATTTGTCTTTAACTGAAATTACTAACCCGCATTTATGACAGCTTGAACTTGTCTTTGATTGCCAGCTGTTATATTTGACAAAAACCAAACAGCTTCTTTACAAATTTTATCTTTAGGGTGAGTGAGTAAAGCAGGGAAGTGAGATAATGCATCACAGTTTAGAACGACCTGTAAAACATTTCATTAATTTGCAGGAGGAACCAGGATAACAAAGTTTCTACTTGCCTGAGTCTGCTCATCTGTTCCTGTCACAATGTTTCCTACAGCTCTCAAAGCAGCCGTCTGAACTTTAACTTCTATATGGCTTAATAAGGGAATTAGTTTCGGTACAACTCCACTATCAATTACCATCTGAATCTGCTCATTGCCGCCATCTGTTAAATAGCTTAAAGCCCAAACAGTGTCAACTAAAATCTGAAGTTTGGACACATTTTATTTTAATTAACCAACACTATATTTAAAGAACAGAATTTTTAACACAAGAAAGACTGTAGCATCAACAATACAAAAGCAATATTATTTAAATATCTCTTTGATACCAGGCAACAAACAAATATCTCCAACAACTAGTCAAGCAGCAAAAATGAGTTAAATCTTGACACAGAAAAACTGTGTATATTCGCCATCAATTACAGAGATAAAGGAACTATTATAGTAAATATAAATCACATTCCCAATCCTTAATATGAAACTATACAGAAAATGTTTATAATATAAAATATATTTGATGGCACATAATTTAATGCAAACTTTGTTAAATTATAGTTTTGAAAAGAAATCAAATAAGTTGTTTTACTTTAAAATTTCTAGTTATTGTTCTTGGAATTCTAAAAAATTAAATAGTATGTGCACTTGGCTTTAAAAGATGATTGTCAGTCAAATATGCACAGGAGGCCATTGCCTTGCCAGGTAGGCCTGAAAGAGTTATTAGCAAAACAGTCCAAACTAACCAAACTATTTAATTACTAACTTATTTTAATACAAATTTTGTAGCTTTCCAGAAATTGGATACTTACATTAATATCCGTGTGATGAATCAATGCATTCAAAGCAGGCAATAATTCTTCAATTGTCTGAATTGGTGGTGGTGGATCTTTATTCCTGCACAAATTCACAATCACCCATGTTACATTTCGTAAAAATGTAATAGGAATTTCTGGCTTGATAAAGGACAATAATGGTTCCACAACTCCTAATTCAATTACATAGTCTCTAAGTACCGGACCATCTCCAATAATATTTCCTAGTGCCCACACAGCCTGTTCACAAACATTTTGATGTGGAGAATGCAAGAGCATTAGAAAAAGTGGGACTGCACCAGCCGATACTACTTTATTAGTTTGGGCAGAAGTACCGGATGCTATGTTAGTTAAAGCCCAAGCTGACTCAAACTGAAGATTATGGTTGTCATGGCGCTCTAAAAACTTTACTAAAATAGGGAGAATTCCGCACTGAATAAGAGCATCTATAGGAGGATTTCTATCTGAAGACAACAGTTTTCTAGTAGATTGAACAGCCATCAATTGCACATCAGGGTTATCAACCATTGTAGCTTGTGCTACAAGTTGCTCCAAGTTGGTATTGGATAGAGACTTTTCAATGTCATCTTCATCAGTTGAATCTACTGTTGGAACATTCCGCCTCTTCAGTAATGTCTCTTCACGCTTATTTTTTCTAAGTTCAACCGTTACTTCATTCCTTCGCCTTCGCATTTCCTATAATTTCAATTACTTTAATGTGAATAATCTCCGACATGTGCAAGCCTATATAACATGCAAGCCATAATAGCAAATTATTCAATTCGCTCGAATTAATTTATACAAAAATATGAATAATTATTAATGCAAAAATCGTTCGCGTAAGAAAACGGATACTTACATCCTGATCTTTTCCTTTGTTCTTGAAGTTCTGAATACGGTTCTTGCTACCTGGGTCCGCCATTTTTATGAATTTGACAACTAAAAAACACGAGCGGAGCCGGTTTCGTACTTCGTTCCCTACGAGCGCACTGGACGCTTCTAGCTAAATCGAAATGGCTTTAAAACTAACATAAACCAATAAATTAATAAAAACTTAAGCGCTTTTAAATGTCTTGAAATGAAGAAATTGCTTCTAAATCGCCATCCCTAGCTTACGCAAATTTCTCTCTCTAGGCAAATGTCTATTTCCGACCATGGTTAATCTCAAATGCCAAAATTTATTCTGTTGGCTAATCTGAAACGTATCTTGGGAATTAGTTTTGGTAAGTATTTTTATATGTTATTGGTAGCCATTAATTTATTGATGGTGCCTCAATTGTGGGATCTATTAATATTAACTTTAATGCTCAAAATTTTGTTGTCTATGAAATGTATAAGCCACAAACATACAAAATATATTTTTTCGCGTGCAATTTTCATCGCATTCTTCATTTCATCGAAATATTTGAAATGCCCGCCATTATTTGACAACATTTATTCCAAACACAAAACCCATCGCCCTCTGTGGAAATTAGACATGAATTAGATGTAATGTCAGTTTCTAAGATAATATCTGAAACAATTTTTTGAGGGTGGTAGTTTACAGAAATATAATTAAGTTGTATAATTGAGGAAAGACCTATGAATAGTTCAAGAATATGTCTAGTTTGAAAAGCGGTAAGTAATATATCCCAAAGTTTAAGGTGCTTGCAGGTTCAGTGTTCTCAATTTTAATGTTGGTCCCACCCCCAGAAACGAATCTGCCTGTGGGTAAAAATATGTATGTCCAGCGCACTATTTGCTATTTAAATGTCCGATAAAATGACTCATACTGTATTTTTTTATCAATATTTAGTTTGTTTTCAATTTTACTTTAGATTATTTTTTCCATACAAGTATGGCCAAAGATCCAACTGCTTTTTGTTTGTAGACTTTTAAGCATGCGGGAATTTATTTATAGGTATACGAAATTATCTGTTGTAGTGTAGAAGCATGTGTGTCAGCTAGCACTAGATAGTGTTATGCTTTGTGGTCATGTTGGAGACCAGATTTACGCGTGGAATGCCAGATACCTTTTGGCAGCCTAGTTCTAGCTACGGACTAAAGATTCACCAGGAAATGGCTGCACCTAATCTGAAATATGGTATGTCTTTAGCTCATCATTTATTAAATGGTCATGCAAGAGCTGAGGAGAGCCAGTTCCATAATTTTGTTCATTAATATCCACAGACCTGTTCACATTCATTTTTTATCAGTCTTTAATGATAATTTCACTTTAATTTGTACTTGTTTTGTGTTTAAGGCTATATTGATTCACAATAGCCTTACCTTCTATTTATTTCTATTTATATAGAACTTTTATTTTTAATGATTATGGCACCCCAATATCTGATTCCCCTAAAATGGCTCTTGATTAACTATCATCAATTGTAAATAAAAATATGTATGATGGTAAATGTTATGCTATATAGTTCTAGCATTATGTAACAAAATTATTGAGAATTTTACTTTAGTAGACCCTACTAGAAGTTGGTAGTATTGGTAAATTCTGTATTATTGAATCTAGGATGTCGGAAAATTTTGTGAACTGGTAGTATTTTTCCGCTGATTGGAGTTGTAACAGAAAAACACTTAAACATGTTCTATCCCCCTTTATGTTAAGAAAGGAGGTGGCAAGGATTTTTGTTCAAACAAATCGTAAATGCTATGTTCAGTGGTTTTTTTAGTTAAAATGACTTTACCATATCACTTATTTATTAGACCTCATAGGGATGCACCGGAGATAGAAACAGAACAATAGACTTCATAGTTTTAATAATACAGAGATTAGCACTAGTGCTGGCTTGAGTTTGTCCACTCTGTATACTAGTTGTAATTTGCTTGCGTTATTAGTTATTAAATTTTAAAAAGTAGGAGCTGTAAAAAATTACTAATTTAACAATTTGCAAGTGAACACTTTTAATAGAGTTTTTTGTATGTCCTTCTTTCATTATGTCATAGGCAAGGCGAGCCAAGATGATATATGTTATGTTGTGGCAAAATATGACTATGAACACCAAGGCCCCCAAGAACTTGATCTCCGTAAAAATGAACGTTATGTGTTAATTGATGATTCCAAACATTGGTGGAAAGTACAGAATTCTAGAAATCAAGCAGGATATGTTCCTAGCAATTATGTTAAAAAAGAAAAGCCTTCCCTCTTTGATAGTATCAAAAAGAAGGTAGGCACCACTATCGCGGTATGTAACTTTTTTTTTCATTATTAATGTTTTCTTAATAAATTCCAACATTGTTTCCCTTACTTGATAGGTAAAAAAAGGTTCAGGATCAAAAACGCTACCATCGAACAATTCCCCTTCTAGAACAGTAGAATCTCCTAGTATGGCACGACGAGCTGCAACAGACCCTGCTGAAGCTATTGGGGTTGCTGTAGTCAAGTATAACTACCAAGCACAACAACCTGATGAATTGTCTTTGGTTAAGGGGTCAAGAATTTTGATTCTCGAAAAAAGTAATGACGGTAAGTGTTGAAAAAGTATCTATATTTAATCTAAAATAACTATAAAGACCTTATTAACAAGGATGGTGGCGAGGGCAGAGTAGCAATATTACAGGATGGTTTCCATCAAATTATACTCAAGAGGAAGGTGATCTTGATGATACAATGCACACATATGCCATGGCTGAAAATGTACTCGATATAGTAGTAGCTCTATATTCTTTCACTTCTTCAAATGACCAAGAGCTGTCATTTGAGAAAGGCGATAGGCTGGAAATATTAGACAGGCCCCCTAGTGACCCAGAGTGGTAAGAGTTTATTTAATTTTATAATAGTTAACCACTCATCTTAAATGTTGTGATTTGCTCTCAAATGCAGTATTTACAACTTACAACTATAATTTATACCGCGTTTTAATAGAAATTATGATATACATATAAAAATTTGTTATTAAAAATAACATTAAAGATAAGAAGAGTTGCTTGAAACAACTTATATTATATGGTCAGTAGAAGTATATGTTAATATACAGGGTGAACATGCATAAAGTTTAATAAAATGTATTCTGGACACAAATAATTTCATTAATTGGTTCAAAACTAAGTTTAGTAGTCACGCTAAATACCAAATATGATAAAATAGCATTTAGGAAAAAGTAAAAAATGTATGTATAATAAATAATAAAATATTAATAATAAATTTTGAAGATGCTATTGAAGCGCAGTTCTTGGTTACTTAATAAGTTGATAAACTATAGTGTGCTCCTATTTAAAAAAAAAATCATAATTTTTGTTTCCTAGTAAATAGTCGCACATTTTGATCTCCGCTGTATATTTCAAGTGAACTTGCCTACATAAAATTATTGCATAATACCTTCATAAACTGTAGCCAAAATTTCAGCCCTACAAAAGGAAATATTAGACAAACTAGTCATAAATTGATTGCAGAACGGAAACTCCAATCATACGCAGGGTGTCCCATTTAAAATATCAATTTTGGTTTTACTTTTTTACCGAAGCGGCAAGGTCACATTGCTGAAACTAGTAAATATATCACCCGCTCGACCATCTCATTCACCATAAAGATGTAACCTCATAAACTATATATGTAATTGAAGGTTTAAGGGTTAGATTCATTATATTCGACTTGTTTTAATTGCTTAGGTACAAGGCAAGAAATGCCCAAGGTCAGATAGGTTTAGTCCCAAGAAATTATTTACAAGAATTGTCTGATTATATGGATAGGCCATATCAGGAGAGAGGAAAGCAAGAGCGAATTGATTCATCAATGGTCAGTTCGCAGGTGTCAATGATTGATAAACCTCATCTTATTGATAAGCCATGGTACTATGGAACCATTACCAGAAATCAATGTGATAATCTCCTTAATCAGTTTGGACATGATGGAGACTTTTTAATTAGAGATAGTGAAACAAACGTAAGGATTATTTTCATTTGCTATTAAATGACTCATTGCAGATAAATGATTGTAGGTTGGAGATTACTCAGTTTCTTTGAAAGCTCCAGGTCGAAACAAGCATTTCCGAGTGCACGTCGAGGGCGCCCTGTACTGCATAGGACAACGAAAATTTCACACCCTTGACCAATTAGTAGACCACTACCAGAGGGCTCCTATATACACCAATAAACAAGGTGAAAAATTGTATCTGGTGCGTCCATTGCCCAAGACAAAATAATAGACAAAATACTATTAGGGGCGTTATTTATGAAAATGAATGTGGATGTTTTGCTGCAATACTCAGATTTTACATATAGGTAAATTGTCGGCAGTTTCATTTTAACTAATTATATGTAGGTACATACTAGGTAAATTGAATATAAAAGCAATAAACAGGTAAAATTGGTCCATCTCAGACAGCAACGAGGAAAGAATTAAATGATTTTCCACGCATGCACAAAATTTTCAGTTTTACTTGCAATTTTTTTTAACCGTAATATATTCAGATTTAACCCGTTTTTCCATCATGGCATTGAAAAATATTGCTGGAAAAATGCCACAGCTATAGTGAAAATCATCCAAATCACTTACAGCAAGTGGTGCCCTCGGCCACATTGAATGCGAAGCTTGAAATGACTGGCGCTTGCGCAAATGGCATTCTGCGTGATGTTTGGAAAGCGGCTTAGATATATTCAATTTATCTATAAAGCTATTAACTTTAGGTAGCTACATAAATTATTTTTATAATAGTTTAGCCAGTTCTATTCTATAAAGGTGTTTCTTTAGCGCCTCTCGTTTTTTTTATGGTTGGAACATCCATTCATTCTTTTTTATTTTGAACGTCACATTAGATATATTTTTGTGTGAGTGAATTTTTGAGTTTGCAGACAGCTTTAGTGTAATGATATATCATTAATAAAATTAAATATGTGATGGAAATATTGATGATTTTCTCGCTATACTTCTCTTGGCAGTGCTTGTACCAACATGATATTGCTTTATATTAGGAATAGGTTAATTAGCCCAGAACAATTTTTTTTTCAGTTTTTGATTTTGATCTCTTCAGTGTGGTAAATTGTCATTTTTTCCATTACATACTCTGTAAAATATCTGGTCGTATATTTACCCTTTTACTTTGTTATTTTTGTATATATTTTGTAAGTTATTAAATAAAATTTAGTGTTTTGCATTAAGATGTAAAGAATATGTTTTTTTTTTATTCTTTATATATATATGAACTAGAACCACTTTTAATATATTAGTCCAATTTAATATATACCTTTTTGCTCATGCCAGTTTACAGTCAGCCAAGCTAAAATAAAAGATATATAATTTCACTACCGCTGTTTTATTTGATATTTACCAGGTGGTAATTTATCTTTTAACCTTCCATAACATTAAATTATTCTCATTTTTATTGATGTTTTGATTTAGCATAATTTGAAAACATCTACTTCCAAAACCCTACTGCAACTCTAAAAATGCTAAGGTATTTTCACGAAAGGAGTTGGAGAATCTGCTCATCGATGACAATATTTTTAAAATTCGCCTTTTTGCACGCAAAGTGACCTAGTCGCGAGTCGACAAAAAGTTTTTGTACTCATCGTGCTACCATCTATTAAAAGCGAAACACTGCTTCCTAAAGTAGTGGAGTGAAACGTTTTTATTATCATCAATTAGTAGTTTCTGGATAGTGATAGTTTTAGTAATTGTTGCTTTGAACCGAGGTGGCTTCAACTGAAAATCCATTTAATAAGTTAAGAAAGGACAAAAGATGTGCCTTTATCAAATATTGAATGTATGGGTATGTACGTACTATTCATATACACAGGGTTTTAATTTTTTATACAATTAAATAAGTACTCTCCCTAAAACCCATTAATTCTTTCTTTATAAAATAGTTTTGGTTAGTTTACTTTATTTGGGCAAATTTACTTGCCTGTGCACACTTTAATCTTAGTTTTATACACAACAAAAAATTGAAAAAAAAAATGGTGCCGCGGCATTCACTCTTAGTAATCATAACACAATAAAAAAGCATGCAACTGAATTTTTTATTAAATTTGATAAACTATAATCATGGTTTGAGTAAAATATTGCATATTACCATACCTAAGCTTGCGGCTAAAAATAAATTTAATCGTATTGTTCGCCATCAGCTTCAGGTTCAATGACCGTATCTTGCCTGAACATTTCCACATCCGCCTGACTATCAGCTTGAATTAATTGACCCTTCACATTTGGCTGAAATTTTTTTAATGCAGAATTTGTTTATTAACGAGTATTAAACCATATCACGTTAATTTTTCAATTTTTTTTACAATACCTTTGGATGCATTAATACGAAAGGTAGCTCTGCAGCCAGTTCTCCACCTAGAGCTCCAAGATAGAGTTTAACTTTTACTGCGTATGACACGATAATGCCAAATGCATCTCTCTGGTCTGGGGATGCAAGTCTGAAATACCACATCACTATACAATCAATGTCAATATCATATACACAAAACTAGGGGCTGATATCCTAGAGGTTGAAAATACATACACTGAATTTGATGAGACGACGGCACACTATTACCTATACCTAACCTATAAATTTGATTTGCTTACAAAGTGGTAGAAGCCAAGTTTGTATCCTGTTTCTTTAATTGCCCATCTAAAGCAATGCCTCTGCGGTTTCGATTTGAGGATAACAGGGGAAATAGGTAGATTACTTTTTGTAGACTGGAACCGGGATTAATTGGACATCCTTCTCTATAAATAGTAATTAAAGCAGGTTTTTGATTGATATGATTTTTTCTTACTGAGTTTCAATACTTGCTACGCAAGTCCGGTACTGCCCATTTTGAAACAGAACCACATCAACCCCTTGCTGTACCATTGCTTTTATCTTTTTTACCACTTTATTGCTATTGTTCCTGATAGAAATGTTTACACCCACTTTCTCGCCATGATAATACAACTTCAACATTATCAAGCTATAGTGCAGAATTGAGGAAAATTATATTTAGATTACCTGTTTATCAAGCGTAACTTCAAGTTCAAGTTCTCCAGGGCTTAACATAAAATCCTTGCGCACAATAGTGCACGGTTGTCGCCCTTGCTTCGAAGGGGCATACTGAACTTTCCTTATTGCCATGGAAATGGTGCTTCTCTTATGAGTTTTGTCAGTTTCGTTTTCCCCCACAAATATTTTAATGTAGTAATGAACTCCACAAGGCTGACCATCATCATCAGAACCTAATTTAAAAAATAATTTGAATGCCTCGTTTCATAACGGTATTATAAAAAAAATCACCTTGTTGAAGAGTTACAGATGCTGGAGAATTTGGAGGAAGCAGAAAATTGAATGGATAACAGTTGCTCCCTAGCTTTCGTAAGAGGCGATCTTGCAATTTTGTTGTATTGTATTTTTCTGGTGTGGGATAAATTTGCTCAGACGCTAGGTAGAGGTCCTTTTGGAAATTGAGACCCATGACTTCATCTTCTTCCCTTCCATAACGGAAGCTGCAGATTACCTGACCAAATACCTTACGATCTTTGTACTCCTCATTAAGGACCACAACACCATCTAAATCACGCAATATATTGAATTGACATCCATACTTATTTTAAATATTTTTTGCTAATAAAACAATGTTTAATAACATTAGCGATGTTATAAAAAGTATAATTTTCATTTGCAATTTTCAACCAATTCAAGAAAATTTGTTTTTAATGTTATTTTTTTTTGAAAATTTGTCTGCCATCGTTACAAGTACTTAAGATCAATGTTCCTAATACAAGGCGGAGTCGGTAACATGATAGAATATTTTTATTTACCTATAGGTTCCACTCCCGAGATATGATCAACAAAATCTCGTTTTCCTAAATATACAGTAAGCTTGCCATTTGGGGATTGTTTCTTGAATACCCGAAAATTGAATACCATTTTTCGCTAACACTTCTTAGCAAAGTTCTATGCGAATGGACACTGCCAAGACACTTTTCTAATACCGCAAGTTAGTTGTTTTGTTATATAGGGAGGTTGTGAGGCTTCTTAATCCTATTTAATACCTCGATCTAACCCACACAGGGATTGCTCTAAATTGAATTATCTCTAAACAAGATAGCGTAAATACAAATGTTTGCGCAACAAAATGAAAAGTTTCAATTAAAGTGTGGGTCAAATTAAAAAAAACAAATACAACTAACCAAGAAGCATACATTAAATTTAAATATGTAAGAAAGAAATAAGAACAAGCATTAAATTATAAACTACTTTAATTTTGCAGATATATTATAAATACATATATACATAAAATCACATAATTATTGATCAACACTTTAATTTCCATAATCCCAAATTTTGTAATAACGGGACGTATTTCTAGGTAAAAGGATAGATCTTATGGACTTCATAATGTTAAAGCTATGAATAATTCTGTGCGTCAAATTTCTGTTCTGTACCCGCCCTTCACAAGCTCGAATCTGCTCGAACAATTGGTGCCTCGTTAGATTTTCAGGCGCCGAATGTAAAAGTCCACCATGCATCATGGGCCATGGCGCATACTTTGAAAGGAGAAGCTAAAATACAACACCTAAATGTTGATTATGAATGTTATTGCTTAACGAATTTTATTTTACCCCACTTTTTTAATAGACGGATTTTTGAACTGACTCTTTCCATATCCAATAAAATTCCAAGACGCCACAGAAGTAATGCTCAGTAACATTGTCTATTAATAACTTTATTCGGGGACTCTGACTCTTAGAAGGATGTTTCTGTTTTTTATGAATCTTTCAAAGATGGAGCTCTGAGTTTGTCAAATTTTTATTAAAAGCTACTAAATCGGTTATATCATGTTACCCGTTTAAAGCAATAACATTGTACCCAAACATAAAGAAAAATTATAAATAGCAAATTCTTTTCCTAATTTTTAGATCATCCTTTATTTTCTATATGCCACTATTTCCAGTTTTTCCTTTCGAATTTCTTAAGCAGGAAAACGAAAAGACAATCTTACATCTAAGTAAGCAAGCTGACGTTGTACCGATTAAAACCTATTCTTATTAAATAAATTAATAGCATTCGGCGTATGAGGGCCGCAGTATCAAAAAACGTAGTAAAGTCGATTTTTTTCATATTTGGTAATTTTTTACCCTATGAGTAAGATAAATATACACCATGAAAGCAAACCATTTTGGTTTTAATCCTTAATCCAATGATGTCAATTAATCACTTAAATAATTTATTTATCATATACATATTTTCAAATGATTTCAATTTTTTTAAATAGGTTTTATAATTTTTTATTAGAAATTTCTTTACACAGTTTCCACACCCAGTAATCAGTAAATGTTAACCAAAAACTGCAGCTATTAGTCTAAATTTGTATTATACTTTAAATCTAGAAAATATTTTTGTATATAAAAATATTTACTCATGTTACTTGTTTGTCTCACTCAACATGTTAATAGTGAAACACAAACTTTAAAAATATATATAATCGTTTAACAACAAAAAAATAAGGCAAAAAAGTTATTCCAATTTGCCAAAAATTTCCCGCCGCTATCGAAAACCTGATGAAAATATTTTTAAATCGAAAAATTTATAGTTTACAAAAAAAACAGTATTGTAAGCAAATTTTGATAAAAATGTAAAAATTTATAAAAACATTTTATGCATATTGCATGCATAAAATCAGTTCTTTGGTTCCCCTTGGCCCTAATATGCAATTTAATGCAATTTAGTAGATGCAAAAAAGCAAATGGATAAATGCGCACTTACCGCACAAACAGAAAATACATTATGGTCACTAACATCCTTTTCACATATGCTGTCTTTTGAAAATTGATAAACTCCATCCTCATATGCATTTGATATATGTATTTCATCATCTGAAAACAGATACTGTGTATTATTACAATAGATAAAGAACAATCAAGTTAGGAATGCTATTTTGATAATTGAATAAGATACTTCTGCTGCACGAGGAATGTCTTAGAATCTTAGAAACATATTCTGGGCGACTCTGTATATTACAAAAACAATAAATGTTAGTAAACAAAACTTACCAGATGCAGATTTCCTTTTTAAAATTGAGTGTCCCAGATCGACAAAACATACTTCCAATGTTTCCTCATTTACTACAATATTGTCTGGAGAGATATCTTTTAAATATAATCTGAAATGTTCATGTTCAAATACAAATAAATTGGCTGCATGGAGTATTTCATAGGCAATATAGGCTCGATCATACCAGTCAATATTTTTAAAATTGTTCAATGTTTCTCCACAATTTTCAACTATAACAGCTCTGCCACAGTAGCCGTACACTTTTGGCACGGGAAATCCATAATTTTTGTGAAATACTTCCATTAAAAGTGGTTCTACATTTACACTTAATAAAGTATCAAGATGTGATGATTTCTTGAATTGTATCACTTCTAAAAAAGTTTGCGCCGACTCAGAATCACATACCTGAAAATCGCGTTTAACTGTATTCACTAGAAAGTTCACCCGGGTCAAATCACTATCAATTGTATCTATCATTTTGCGATTCACTCTATTTAAATCACTTTGGTGAGCTAACTTTTTTATAACAACATCAATATCATTAAAGCGTGCAAAATATACATTCTTTACACTAATAAAATTATATACAAAATCCAAGATGGAGCTCATTCTTAAATGAAATTCTTTGTTTTCAATTCTGTGGCACAAGTCTTCTCCATAACACACAGGACAACTATCTATTTCACATAGGTTAATCACATATAAATCAGTCCAATAATAAAACAAACTAAGAATTAATGGCCAGAATAAAAGCAGAACAAAGTAAATACTGGTGCTCATTTTTGTGGTCAATGATTATTACGAAATCCTTGCTGTAATGCTTTTTGCCTGTAAGAGTACAGTTCCTTCACCCACTTTTCCATTCGTGCTTCTTCGTTGAGAAACAGCTGTAACACATTGAAATTATTTTTTTTATTTTAACTTCATAGCTGTATTAAGCTGCATTATCATAATATTAAAACTCACTATCATAATATTAAAACACATTATGATAGTAGTTTTTAAAGGCTTGATTTATAATCTATCAATATAAAATACCACTTTGAATGAAAATTTCAATAACAAACAAAGTTTATAAAGTACCAGAGAATTCTTTTTTAACTTATTTACTAGCCAGTTAATAATCTGTCACTCATACTCTTTTAAATTACATCAAACTCTCTTTCGGTCCTTAGAATACTAAAACAGCATCCATTGCAAGTTTCATAGAATTGAATTATTTGAACACTTTGGTTCTCATATCATTATCAAGTAACTATAATGACAGCATTTTAATTTAATTTTTTTTTTCTGAATTTTAAAATTGATTAAATGATAAAAAAATATCACTTACATTATGATGGAATATGCTATCAGGTTCAAGTGGCTCAACTTCAGGTACTTTAATAGTCTGTTTCTTCAAATCTATCACGATATTATCTGGAAGATTTTTGGCTTTATTAGAAACAAATTGTTTTGGCACAAACTTGTCTTGATTTATTTTATCAATAGTTTCATCATCGAAAGTAATAACTTCAGCAGCATCATTTTTGCTTTGTTTGTGGTTCTCCAAATGCAAACTTTTGCTACAAGCTTGAATTAAAAAAATATTTCAAATAAAGTGAGAAATATGAAAGATAGATGGAAAAGATATCAACCTGCTTCGTTTATGCTTTTGTTGACTTTTCTGCTACTTTTCTCTTTGTCAGTACTAGAACTATCTGATGATGTAGATGACCTCTTCTTGGGCTTATTTGTATACTCTCCTATATATGACTTTGAACGAGAATATTTTGATTGCTGAAGATCTCTTGACTTAGACCTGTGGTAATTGTCCCTTGAACAACTTTGTGTATGATTATCTCTAGAAGAGCTTCTACGTCTCCTCTCCCTTGATGAGTTTCTATCGTACCTAGATTTCCGTTTAGAACTGTTATCATACTTTTTTGATTTAATTTGACTACTACTTCTTGAGCGCCTGAAATGAATTAAACAAATAGACATCTTTTAAAAGTCAACAAATTACCTTGAATTTAAAGACTGATTATCACGACTTTTAGATCCGCGTGTTGATTTCCTAGAATCGCGTCTGTATCTACTTCTGGAACTTGATGAATTTGTTGAAGACGATGATCTACGAAAATTATTTTATTCCATATTTTGTTCATAAAACAACAATCGAAACATTTATAATGGTTTCTACACGCTTACCTTCGTCGTCGTCTAGATTTTGAGGATTTACTACCCCAATTTTCATTCTCGGAATCGCTTGAATACTTACCCATATCGTCTTTAAAGTGATATTCTTCATTAATATCTACATTGATGTTCAATCTTTAATGCTATCTTTAAAGTGATAACCTCAAAATCAAAGAAAATATATTGGAGTTCTTCTTCTTTTTTGGGGTTGGCGTTGCTATTAGGCAATTTGCCAGCACTATTTAGAACTGCCCCAGATAATCGAGACTGTTCTCCTGGGGAAGTTTACTTTTCAGACTTCGTTTTCTAATTAAGAGGCATAAAAAGCTGCTGAGGAGATAGGGTCCGTTAGTAGGCGGGCTCATAGCACACAAAAACTAAAGACAAACAGGCAAGACGGTATATGGGAGTTTTTGTAATTTCTCCTTTTTTCGTTTTGTTTCTCTGGCTCATATCAAACCGACCGACCGGAAAACTAAAACCTGACCCCCTGAATCCAGAAATTTAGTAATAGTTGCATTGTTCCTAATTTCTCTAATAGAAATTCGCCATACATGCGAAATTTATATCCTCCTATACAATTATACAAATAATTAAACTTGTTACGCGTAAGATTATTTTCTGTCGCGATATCTGTAGTCAGTCGCGCTAAAGTGGCAACGCAACCACCCGCTTGTTTTTACCATCCTTGGTTGAGCACAAGTTGCATAGTAACGGCTTATCCTAACCTTAGAATTCTGTAGAGTATCTACTGAAAAGCATGTGTTCATAAACAAGCTATACAATTTATTATTTACAGAATTTTTAAATTTGTAAAATGATGCTAGTATCGCGTTTTAGTAACATTTCAAAAAATCAATTAACCAAAGGTAATAAAATATGTTGTGCACTGGCGAAATCTTTTTCCCATGACAACAATAATTCAGAAAAAAGAAAAACCTTGGGTGAAATTGGTTCAAAATATAAAGAATTCGATGAGAAGGACTCTAAAATCATATTAGATATAAACGAGATGCGTTTGCAACATGCTGCCATGGTCGAGGAAGACGAATCTAGAAATGCGGCTCGATATGAGGGTCTCAATCTTCAAAGTATGGTAGTCTTGAAATTTAAGTAAAGTGAATAATTGTCACTTTTACCAGGAGGAACATCTGGTGTTTTTGATATAGAAGATCTTATTGATACACTGAAGCGTGAAAATGCAGAAGATGTTTTTGTTGCGTGTGTTTCAAAAGAAATTAAATATGTAGATTATATTGTAGTTGCTAGCGCAAAGTCTTACAAACATATGCACGCTATTATACAGTTTGTACGAAGAATATATAAACACAAACGACACCACATAGATCAAATACCAAAAATAGAAGGAAAGGATTCGCAAGATTGGATGGCTTTAGATTTAGGTTAATTTCTTATAATTAAAATAAATTTATGTAATAAATAATCCACATTTTGCTTTTTAGGGAACATAGCCTTACATATTTTTTCTAAAAAGTCAAGAATGTTCTATGACTTAGATTCTTTATGGGCATTAGGATCAAAATTTGATGATGAGTGCAACAAAAAAGAACCAGTTGTTGAAATATTAGATAAGCATTCCATATATTTATCAAATTTAAAACCATTTTCCTAAAATATTTTGTTTTACTTTGTGTTAATCAATAGTTATTTCTTTTCAAATAAAGGTAATAAAGTAATAGGTTTTTTACTATTCCTTTAACGCATTAATTCATTCAAATTTATATATTTTCACAGAAATTCGAACATAAAAATTATACTTACTAATTTACCAATGACAAAGTTTACAATATAAGATAACACAATTTCGAACGTTGTTTATCAAATATATTACTCATATCCCTTGCTATATAGATAGTAAATGAGATAAGCAGGTTAACTCACAAATATGTTGCTTGCAAAGTTCCAATAAAATGGTAAAAAATGATGAGCACAGTTAACAAAACATCTTCAAAGAGATTAAAAAATTTATTGGGATATGAGTTAAATTTTACAGAGGATGCCACTGTAAACTATCTAGTCCCAGCAGCAAGTGCCTCTGTACTCTATATGTTTATAATTGCAGGTGACATAGCAGTAATTTTCAGGTAAATATTGAGTTTCGATTAACTTGCAGATTCTCTATACTTCATTACTAACAATTTTAGGCATTATAAAGACTACAACCCGATATGGGGAAATTTAACATTGTCTATCATGTATCTTCCAGCACTAGGAAGTTATTTATTTATTTTGTCCAACTCGGACTATTGGCCGCAAGCACCATTACTAAGAAAAGAAAATATAATATGGCTGTTGAAGAAAACTAGTGCACACTTGTTATTCCCTATCTGGAGTATGTGGAGGTTCGCTGAAAGAATTTTCTGGTCAATTGAAGTTATTCGAAGCAAAGATGAATTCGCTATAAATGAAGCCATTTCTATAATAAGTGCTCCTCGTACAATAGAACTGTATATTTTTCTTCAGGCTTATATGCATTCTTTGCTACAGGTGCTTCTTCAACTTTACATTCTAATGAGGCACAATGCAAATATTGAGAGAGAATCAAGTAACAAATAATATATTACTTGAAACATAATTATTACATGATTATCATCAATTTTTCAGAAGACGCGCAGGTTTTCTGTATAGTGTTTAACCTTGCTAAGGTTGCAATCACCACTACTTTCTACCAAAGATTTAAGTCACAAAAAATAGCTGGTTCTCAGTATCCCTGGTACAAATCAAAGACACCTAAATCATTAATAGAAAATCAGGAAGTAATTTTGAGAAATTCAGGCAGTTCACAATCCAGGTTTGTTGATATCTATATACGTACAATAGACTAATTTCACAGCTTTAATTATCTTATTTATAATTATTTTTAGATCAGTCATTGAAAATCGAAAAACAGAGTTGAATCGTATGTCAAAGCTATATCAACTACTACCTTCACTCGTATCGCAAAGGCGTAGAAGCAGTGATATATATTTAGAACCAACGGCAACCAACACAGATTTACATGAATTTGCAGTAACTAAACATCAGAATGACGAAAGTGGGGCCCAATCGACAACTGAATTTGATGGAATAAGAAGTAAGTGTCGATTAATTGCAATCAATAATATTTAGTTTTTAGAAAGAATAAGAATTCATGACATGTTTTAAGTATTAATGTATAAAATTATCATCTATTCAGCTTTATATATTACTACAAACTAGAAACTTATAAACCTTATTTTGAACTTAACTTTGAATTGTTAGGAACTTCCAAAGAATCGCTCCGAGGACAAGAGGTAAATTCTGAAGTAAGAGGGACAACATTGTCAAATCGATCAGAACCAGATTTGAATATTGCTAGAATAATTTACATTAAAGGTTTGCAAGAAGATGACCTTGCAGGACGACTTATTGCATTTTGTTGGTGGTTTACATTTCTATTGGGTAGAGTATTGGCAATATCAGTATTTGCTTATTTCTTTGTAAAAGAAACAATTTGGTTACTGACTTCTCATTTTGTGCTTGTCCTTGCTTTTCTAATTTATGACGTAAAATCTAATGAAGTCCGACGAGCGAAAGCTTTCTTTTTTATTTTTTTAGGAATCATCTACATTTTCTGCATTATAGAGTTTAAGATAAAATTTAAAAAAGCCTATTTTATATACTCTGGTTACTTTACGTTAGTGTTCTTGGAGAATTTTACAATGTGCCTTGTTTGGTACTATGGTCAGTTAGAATCCCTGGAAACGGATTACTGGTTCAGATACACATTTTATGTTGTTGTAGGGAGTAGCTTGCTAAGCTTGTGTTCAATGATCTTTTATTTGACTCTGACCAAGCCAAAATCAGTTTTGATACCAACTACTCTAGTCAATAGTAGAAATTCATCATAATAGGTTTTATTTTTTTTTTGTCAAAGTTTTTAATTTTAACAATAAATGCTTAAAAACCCATTTGACTTTTATTTTACCAATAACGAATCCCTGTATGTTATCTCCCTTTAATTCCATTATTAAAATAAACAAATTTAGTAATTACACAATCTACAGATGACATGAAACTACTGTCCGCGTCTGATAACAATGTAATACTTTATAACACATATTTTACAAGAAAATCGCTCATGCTTTTAGAAGTTGTACTTAAGATATGGAATCATCAACTAATACTTGAAAAACTTCAACCATTTTAATTACCTTGATGGAAGTCTTATATAATGTAGGTCACTATTCCTATTCACACCTATTTTTAACAGTTGTAATTATCATGTTAGTCTGATGGATTAGATATAGTGCACTAACGAAGACAGAGTTGGCTCTAAAAATTTTTGATGTTTGATATATGAATGGTGTACATATATTTTTCTACTCACTGTCCTTCCTTGAAATACTCCTTTAAAGTATTACTGAACTTCTTGGAATATTTTACAAATTCTCTTTTTCTTTGCTCTACAGCTTGTTTGCCAGTACTTCCTGGTATAAAGGCATTAACTTCATTTACAGCATCTAACAGTTTCTTAATGGCACTTGCTATTTCCCTAAAAAGCAAAAAAATTAATCACTTGGCTGCAATGCCTTCACTTAATACTACTTAATAGTTTCCAAGAATGTTTTACGATCCATAATTTCATCAGGTATTCTACTTAGAATTCGTTTTAAAGCTGCAGATTTTCTATTCAGTTCTTGGAATGCATCTTCAGATCGATTGAGTCTATATTCAACTACTAAAACAATAAAACACAATTCGCATCGCTCATATAACAAACTTGATTACCATCTGTATCAGAAACTGATCCTTGCAATCTCAATATACTTTCGTTCATGTTAACGGTCAGTTCGCCTTGTTTTAAAATCCCCAAAACTATATCTAGAGTTAATCCTGGACATGACGCCTCAACTTTTGTAAAAGCTGCACGCAAAGTTTGCGAAGCTGCTACATTTTGTTTCTCTAACTGTAAAATATAAAGTTCAATTTTTTCTCTCTTTTTTGTTTTGGTAACCTACTTGAGATAAAATCGGACGAATTAAAACTGGTAATATTAATGTTGTCACGGGAGTATCGTCGCTCATTTTCTTGTCATATTTTAATCACTCTGAAGGTAACGTGCCTTTCCCTCTTGCAGCACACTATTTTGATAAAAGTTATAAAAGATAAAAATTTTAATAAATGTCAATTCGTCCGGGAATAATTAAACGTCAAAAGAAAAAAATATAAAAATCAGCAATACCAACATGTAAGTATGAGTCGTTTTTCTCTAATATTATAAGTCCCTATTAGTTGCTGATTCCAACAATAAATAAATATAAAACAGTGTTGCCAAGGATAATAAAAATAGTTTTAAAAAACGGTCTAATAATTCACAACGGATTATTATTTCTCACGGCATTGGATGCACATCTATTATAAATGAGCTAAGCACAGATATAATCTCAAGGAAAGGTACATGTGTAAACCAAGCAAATTATTCTGCCAATTTTACTTGTTCTGTTAACGAGATTCTTGCGTTATATTACAGAATAATTTGCGGTCGACCGAAATCTGCTTTTGTGAGTAGTAACTACCCTCCCACTATTTACAAATCTGGAATCATTCTGAGTTTAACTGGAAAAATTTCGGCAGCAATAACAGGTGAAGAAAGAATTAGACGATTTGGAAGTTTCTTAAAAAAATTAATTGTCCTCCTATCTTCTTTTGTTTACCGCCATGGATCTAACTTCTATCATTTTTGATCGCCAAAACATCAAGCATCCATAAAACGTACACAGGGATTTTCATTCCGTGGCAAAACATAGATGGTCTATATTTTTCGCTATTCCTGATTCTTTTATCGTCATCTGTCTTCTGTCAGTCAACTGCTTTAAAAAAAAAGTAAAAAAGATTGTCAATCCCTCATGTTTATTGCAAATTGTTTAATAAAAGCAATTCGTGAAGAAACAAAATTATTGTTGTATTTTTCAGTGTGATCCTAAAAAGTGAACTTCCGCCACTTTGTACTATAGCGAAAATCATGATCTATACACCGTCGAAATTGTAACAGTTCAAGGAACCGTTCCTTGGTAAAGCGACTATTTCAATTGTGTCGTGGTTTTCGAATCGTACAGGATTGAATCGTTAAAAATTACTGAAATAATGGCAGATTCCGCAAGCGAATCTGATTCCAGCAGCATCGACGGAGGGCCAATAATGATGCCCCCCAGTCCGGTAACGAGAGAGCAGCTTCAAAAACGGATTGAAAGTCTTCAGCAACAAAATCGGGTGCTTAAAGTAGAACTTGAAACTTACAAATTGAGGGTCAAAGCTCTACAAGAAGAAAATAGGGACCTAAAAAAGGCATCAGTCATTATTGTAAGTAAAAGGCCTTTCTGGTGTTAATATGTAATAATATAATACATTTCTTTTGCATCCACTTTTGTTATTCTTATGTATAAGAAATATTGTTAAAACAATGTTTTCTTTGACTATTTGATAATTATGCAAAAAGTTTTTTGAATCTTTTTTACTTGGAATAGCCAGACTGGCTTTAAATTGGCATTATTTATGCATATCTATAGTTAACACATGCACCACTAATTTCACCAAAGCAACTACTCTTTTAGATAGTCACCTAATTGATTTTTTTGCATTTAAATTAGAATTATAGCAAATTATTGTTCACAAATATAAGGTGCAACGTGCGATGTGCTATAAAAGCTGTGGTTTCGCATTGTACTTGTACTTATGTTTTCATAAATATTTTTGCTGTTAGCAAGCAAAAGCAGAACAAGAAGAGGAATTCATCTCCAACACTCTGTTGAAGAAAATCCAAGCTTTGAAGAAAGAGAAAGAATCACTAGCCCATCATTATGAACGTGAAGAAGAATGTCTGACTAATGATCTGTCTAGAAAATTAACTCAGCTACGACAGGAGAAGTGCCGCTTGGAACAGACTCTAGAACAGGAACAGGAATGTCTTGTCAACAGGTTGATGAGAAAAATTGAAAAGTTGGAAGCGGAAACACTAGCCAAGCAAAGCAATTTGGAACAACTCCGGAGAGAGAAGGTACGCTTTGTTGTTTTATGTCTTTGGATCAGCATGTGTATATTTTACAGTCTTTTAAAATACTAGTAACTAAATGTTATAAAAATGAAGATATGCTTGTCAATTTCTAAAGGTCGAATTGGAAAATACACTGGAGCAAGAGCAAGAGGCACTCGTCAACAAATTGTGGAAACGAATGGATAAATTGGAGGCAGAGAAACGAATGTTGCAAATAAAACTTGATCAACCCGTATCAGACCCTGCCAGTCCAAGAGATATTAGGTAATCTGGATTCTTATTTGATTTTCACTTTGGATTAATTTTTTCATATAATCTTTAAAATTTTCGTATTTTTTTAAAATAATTTTCAATAATTGGTATTTAAATTTCGTTTGGATTTCCAAACAAATATTGCCCTTGTTGGATGGGTAAAATTTAAATGTCAAGTAATAGTTATAATACTTTCTATTACTACTATTTAAGTTTACTTGGATCGCTAGTATATTATGATTATTTTTAATATTCAACAATTTATTAATTAAGTATCAAAAAATATATTCATATGAACTGAGTGTTAGATTGATGTTTTCGTTATTTATATTATGCTTATTATTTAATTGAACAACGCTAATTGCATTATCAAGTTCCCTTAAATCATAGATTCAACTTATTTTATTTTTTTTTAAGCAATGGAGACACTGCAACAAATCTGAGTGCCCATATCCAGACCTTGCGGCAGGAAGTTGCTCGTCTTAGACAGAATTTGGCAATCAGTCAGCAGGAACATACACAAAAAATGCAACGCTATGCGCAAGAGGAGCGTAACATCAAAGAAGAAAACCTTAGGTAATTTATGATCCATTGTAAGCAATAGTATTTTTGTGCGTTCTAGGTTGCAGAGGAAGCTGCAGTTGGAAGTAGAACGGAGGGAAGCCTTGTGCAGACATCTGTCTGAAAGTGAGAGTTCCCTGGAAATGGAAGAAGAGAGACATTACAACGAGCAAGTTCTAGGAGTTAGGCAACATACTGTTTCACCCATTCCTTATAATCCTTCACCTAGTCAGAGTCGTCCTTTAAGCCCAGGTAATAAAAAGGGTAATTAAAACATTGCAGTGTTACTTTTTTGCGATACTAGACTTTATTCATGCCAAAAATAAGCCATAAATCACAGCATATCCTTATATCTTTTACATCTTTTATATATGAATTGTGGGTAGAATAAAAAAATTTCATTTCATACTCGATTAGACCCTAGACTCTGTCAGATATATGGGATAATAAGATAATTTCAAACCAACTTGATTGTGTTACTCAATTTGTGAGGTTTTTAATAATTTTTTTTAAGGACTATCTCAGATGCAGGCCCCTTCTCCCCGCGATAGTCTGATGGCCGTAGTATTACCGCGTTGCCATTCATGCGGTCAGCAGGTACCCCCACCATCGGGAGTGGCAATGGCGCAGAACAGCCCGCCAGCACCCCCACATCGTAGGCCATCCGAGCGTTTCGTTAAACCAGCTGTGCCTGCCCCAAATCCCACTCCGACAGCTATTGTAGCAGTCTCCAGCAACATTCAACCCGCCAGCCCAATGGATACTAGCGTTAGCAAAGATTAATAGGTTAGTGGGGGCTGGCTTGCCCTAACAAGGTCCCATGTAATTATAATAGAATTAATAATTGTTAATCTTAAAGTAAAGTATAAGGTGAAAAAAATTGAATCATTCTTCGATTTTACAACACCCACTTTGACAGATTACTTTTGCATTTCTGTTTTAAATCATCCAGATTGTGAGTTCTGTATTTTCTCTTAGCAATACAAGGTATTCAAGGTTAATATTTTCCAAATCTGTAAGTAATTATAAAAAATTTTATACAGTTAAATTTTGGCTTCAAGTCTCATAAAAGTCCCGGTTTAGATTGATCTAGGAGTGTGATTTACATTATTTGATGCATGTTGCTTTATACTCAAATGTTTAAATATCTCCAAAAAAAATATTCCATAATTTATTGTGAGTGATTGGTTGTTTGTTTCGTTTCAGGTGTTTTTAGAAAAGTTTCTCAAGTTTAACCTTGCGCACGATTTTGGCAGTTACCCACACAATGGTGGAAATGCTTTTCTTCCTTTGAATACACACATGGTATGGTTTTCAATAATTAAGAGTTTCAGTTTTGGTTGAAAATTTGTAACTTCATTTTTTCTCTGGTCTCATATATATTATACTCGTACTATTATACCTTCAAAGAGTATAGACACAACTTTTTCTGAGTGGTCTTTTTCCAATTTTTATTAAATGTCTGTTTGATTCTTGTGATGTTAGTTATTCTTGGCGCAGCCATTTAATATTTGCCAAGTGTACAGCCTTCTTGTGATAAAAATTTTAAAAAGATTAAAAAAATTACTGGGTGTTAATATTAGGTTTTTGATATTTTGCGCATGGCTTGCTTGGCTTCGCAAGTTTGTAATTAAAGTAACTTCTAATGTTTCCTTGTTATTTTTTTGTTGGTAACTCAAAAATTGTTCGACTCTGTCACAACAGGGATGCTTAGCAAAGTTGATATGGGTTGCCTGGTAAGTTGAACAATAAGAGGATATGTCTATAACAGCTCCAGAAGAAGAAGCCGTTATAAGCAATTATCTCTGAGATGCTTTATTTAAAAAAAAAATGAACAATCAGCCCTTAAAGATTGACCTGTATAATAAAATGAAATAATAAATTGTGCTAGTGTTAAACACATAAATAATGTGTAACACTAAACGTGATTTAAGTGCTACACTAACTGATTAACTATGATAATTTTCCACGGGTAGTTAGTTACAAAGTTAAAAAAATAATAAATTTTCCAATCAAGACAATTTTGTCATTGTGGATCATTGGATGTTGGCCACAAAAACATACAAAACAGCATGCTAACAAAGTTAAGTCTTAGATATAAAATATAATTTCCAATATACCCCAAAAAATTGTATACCATGAAAATATTGTAATTAAATTGCAAACTATACTTTTTACTTCTCTCTACTCTCAGAATTACCAGGCATCCTGTCTAAACCTTGATAGGTTTACAGTTAAAACTGATATATTTTTAGGTTACATGTTTTGATTTTAGAAGGTGACACATTTTACCTTCTACTGAGATGCTTTACTCAATCTATAGTTATGTATTCAAATACGTTAGCAACTTAGTTAAAACTAGAAGAAAATTTTAGATAGATTTTTGAAAACAAATTGTTTTTAGTTCTCTAAAAATATTTAGGAGATAATAGAGTGAACCCCAAAAATTTACTTGAAATGCCATATTTTTAAAATGGAAATATACACTAAAACTCCTGCTATTCAGTTTGGAGTAAATTAGCTTTACTTTGTAAAACCACCCTCCAAAGGTTGTTTTTTATGTCCTGGATAAGATAAATACTTGTCACATTGTGAAGGGGAATTTTCTTAGCACTAAGATTTTCGTAATGTTTTTTTAATTATATTTCCTTTTTTAGTTTTTACAAGAATTTAAGATTAGGGTATGGTGGATATATCAATCTTTCTGATGTAAAATACTGAACCAACTGATTTGGACTTGCTTTAACCCCTAACATATTTAAACTACATCCTTTTGGAGAAACTTTTATATATGCTTTTAAATTTATGAAATTATTTTGTACTTGGAAAATGTTTGCATTTTTCTTCAATTTATTCTGTTGTCATTTTTGTCGTGAGCATCAGAACTTTTATTTTTTATTTGTTATTGTATAATTTGTAACCGCAAAATGTAGGAGTTATGAATAAAAAATAAAAACAAACAAAAAATATGTTTTTTCTTTCAATGTTTACTAATTAAGGCAAAGAGACGCAATCTGGGTGGGTTTGATCCGTATATTTTTTAAAAACACAATTTTTTTTAGTGTGACTTGGCAGCTAACCTCTTATCCCTCTCTTCGGCGATGGACAGCTTGACACCTTTACCTCTTGGCAATGAAACAAAAGCTTTGCTTCCTTTGCCAATAACAAATACATTATTTAATCTGAAACAAGAAATATTTTGTCGTGTCAATGCAAATAACAATGATGAGCCCTTCAAGGTTTTCAAGGAATTAAAATGACATATCATTTCGATTCATATGCCAACCTTAAAAGCAAACATTGGTTAACCCTCACAAGATGCGGGCTCAAGGGAAGTTAAATAAAAATATGTTCTATTTAGGAACTTTTGTAAATTTGTAAAAGTTTAAAGCTTTGCTTCCTTTGCCAATAACAAATACATTATTTAATCTGAAACAAGAAATATTTTGTCGTGTGAATGCAAATAACAATGATGAACCCTTCAAGGTTTTCAAGGAATTAAAATGACATATCATTTCGATTCATATGCCAACCTTAAAAGCAAACATTGGTTAACCCTCACAAGATGCGGGCTCAAGGGAAGTTAAATAAAAATATGTTCTATTTAGGAACTTTTGTAAATTTGTAAAAGTTTAAATGATGGCAATGTTCACAAAATAGGTCAAAAATTATTTTTATAATTGAGCTTTTTAAGGTTATCCCTAGGTGCGCTCAATTCAAATTTACCAAAATTGTTTTCCAAAATATACCTATACATAATTGGTGTTTAAATTTTTTACTTAGATTAGGTGTTTTCTAGATTTCAACTGTCCGTCTTTTGGATCGTTTATCTTAGACCACATAAACACAATTTTTTACCACTTATTTTTAATTTGCTAAGGTCTGATTTGTCAAACTTAAGGTACCCAAAACTGACAAGAGCTCCACCTAGATCGAGAACTTACTATTATAAAAGTAGGAACAGATATTCAGTAATTTACAAGACCATTTTAGCTTAGAGTATTACAAAGCAAACAAAGCTTGTAATAAACACAAATTTCTAAAAAAAAAAGCAAACACCTAAAATATATATTTTTGATTTTACATTTTTAATGGTTGAAACACAGTTACAACGCATAATTTCAATTCATAATTCGCTAAAAATAATTTCAGATTTATGCTATTTAACAGAGTACAATTTAAGACTCATTTCGAACATGAAGGTAATTTAAAGAAAGCGAAATTTTAATCCCTTATGTCAACATTGCACTTTATCTCTCGTTTTATTTTCTCTTAGCTACTTAGAATTTTTTAATTATAATTACAACAGAAAAAGAAAATTAACATTATTAATGCTTCTTTTTACAAAATTACATCAGAGCTTCAGACTCTTTAATAAAATAGTACCCCAAGTACCTGCCCCACGACCCTGTGCCCAAGTAATTTTAACTACAAAAACTGTACTCTGATTGGGTAATACTGATAAAATTATTATAGAAACTTTTCAGTGACCAAAATCAGAACATTTCCTCTGGGCCAATTTTTGACTGTGAAATGCAAATATTACTGCAAGATACAGCTTCGATATGGCCACCCAAAAAACTAGAATTATATAAACTACTCACCTAGTCGCAAATATGTGATCATTAGCATCCTTTACATGCACAATATCAAAGGAACCAGGATGACGTTCTCTGCTTACTACAGTCCCAACTCTTCCCAAGTTACGACCACCAGTGATCATGCACAAATTTCCAGATTCAAATTTAATGAAGTCCAGAATCTTTGAGGTTGCGATTTCTAATTGAATGGTATCATTTACCTAGATTACACAATTTCCATTAAATTAAGGGTCTGCTTTGTAATGACAAATCTTAATTACCTTAACCATTGGGTCTGGGTAACGAATTGTACGACCATCATGTGTTACCAGAAATGGAATTCCCTTTGGTCCAGTTTGAACTTTACGTACTTTGCAAAGCTTGTACTAAAAGCAAAAACCAAAGGGTGAATAAAATAAGGATAATAAACATTTGGGTGAACATACCTTAGCTTCCTCAGCTGTAATTCTATGAATGGCAAATCGGCCCTTAACATCATATATGAGCCGGAAAAATTCACCAGTTTTTTCAATTGTTATGACATCTAAAAATCACTTGTTTAATTTTGCAATGGTATAAACTCAAAAAATTCACAACCTATCAAAAATAAGCAGCAAAAGAAACAAATTTTGAATGATTGATATTACATTGGCCACTGACCATTTCAGATCATTACTATTCGCGTCGTTTTGACTGTATTACAATATACAACTGTATGAAACCTTTAATGAAGACTAGAAATATTTGTGGATATGCAAAAAAAACTCACCCATGAACCCGGCGGGATAATTAGGATCTGTTCTGATTTTTCCGTCAACTTTTATCAATCTCTGCATAACTATTTTAGTAACTTCACTGTTAGTTAGGGCATACTTAAGCCTGTTTCGTAGAAAAATTACAAGGGGAAGGGATTCTCTCAGCTTGTGCGGCCCAGTGGATGGACGAGGCGCGAAAACACCCCCAAGTTTGTCCAACATCCATGCTTTGGGCGCATTTAAACGCTTCAAATGTTTTTTTGGGCCTCGAGCCTAGAAAGTACAAATTTGGGTAACAATGACGCACTAAACATCCGATTATTATCGAACTATTAATTTTTGGATTTAAAACATTTACAAAAACAATGCATTTCAATAATAAAGTCACTAGTATAACTGTCTTGAACATAAATAAAACTTCTATGAAACACGTCCACCAAAAATAAATTAAATGAATTACTCAAAAAATATTAAACTTATTTAGTAAAGCGACGGATTTAGGTCGAATGTATAGTGAAAAACTAATGTTTTTTTAAGCAACTAAGTGGATGATTGCCGAATTTTCGTTTGAGAAAATGTAAACCCACCATATTAACAATTTGAAAACGAGAAAGAAAGAAGAAACACGTTCACGTTTGACTTTTCCATTCAATTGACGTCTTGTCATTTGTCACGGTTGCCGACTGAGGGAACGCGCCCAAATTCAGATTTAAATCGACGAAATATTGAGCATGTTTTACAAATTCGGAAGTATTGTATAAAAGTCACTTTGTTAGATAAATACCCAAGAAAAGTGAAATAATAACAAATTTACCAGCGAAAATATACATGGACATATGATTCAACAAAGACAAACAAATAAGCACCATCTAGCGTTGACTTATTAATTAATTAGACTTAAGTCATGTCATAATGGACCAACATTAATGATAACTGATTATTGTTTTTTGCGGTCGCTGTGATGTTGATGGTGGAATTAAAATTGGAACATGAAAAGATATGGCCACTTGGACCGAAAAAAACCGGGGTAAGAAGACTCTGATGTCTTTACAAGACTGCCTTGACGAAAATTTGGATTATTTGTTTAATATCGCCGAAACAAATACCGCCGAACTTAAATACTCCAGCGAAATTAAAGTTCTGAGAGATACTTTTTCCTCCTCAGAAAATCACAAAATCGACGACGAGGGGTAAGCAGAAAAGATATTTCTAGTTTGCCTCTCTGTGGCAAATGACCAAATTTAGGATTGTTAGGATTTTTGTTTGAATTTAAAATAATGTGTAAATCTATGCCTTTGGTGTGACTTTTTGAAATACTACAAGCAATTTTTAAATTAAATAAAAACTTCATGTATCACTTTAATATCCTTTTCAATGTTTCTAACAATGTTAAAAACAGAGTTGGCATCACTGGCTAATTACGAGAGCGACTCAAATAGTAGTTATATTGAAGTAACTTTGTTTATCTTTTAATAAGATTTTGAAAAAATGCAACTGGTCTTTCATGATTTAAATTTTTAGTATTGGATGGTGGATATACCTATACTTATACTTCATACAATACACACTCATACATACACTCATTACAATAATTGTATTAATCATGAATTCTGACAACATAGTTTTTGTTTCGTTTTCCGCACATAGTTTAGGTTAGGTAGGTGTGTGGTTGTTTTCGAGTTTTTTGAAACGTTCCATTCCTATACCTACTTGGACGCATATTGAAGGCACCAATGGTTCATTAAACCAGTAACTATATGCTTGACATTTATTGGCATTGTTGTAAAAAAAAAGACCGCTATTTTGGACGAAATATCATTTTTTGCCGTAATAAATTCTATAACAAATTAACCAAATCCACTTGCTGAAAAACAAAATAAATTAAACTGTTCATAATTTTTTGAAAAACTAAAATAATTAAAAAATATTTTAGTGGGTTGTTTACATTGAAAGTAGCTTTGAAATGGGCTTAATTTCAACCTCAGCGTCGGTAGGCGCCGCAGCGGCATCTACAATATGGACATCGTTAAAGTATCCGAAAAAAGTAATGAAACATTTGGAATTTTATTATTCACATTACCAACATTACAATTTGATATATCCATTGGTGCAAAAAATATGAGGCGACCTAGTTTCTAAACGTGTATGGTATGTACATAATACTATTTTCTTGTACAGTGGAATCGCTTTAACCATTTCCGAAAATGAAAAAAGTTGACAACAAAGTCCATAGATACTATGCTATGTGTACAGCTTGTGGCATAATAATTAATAAATTTAATAAGAAAACGATTTTTTCTCGTACTCTGCTAAAGCCGCGTACACTTTGAGTACAATTCGGGCGAATTGATGTTTTTCCGCATAGAGCCGCATGAGCCTGCATTCGGAAGCGCTCCATTATTTGTATCCAAATTTAATAAGAAACATGGAAAATTTTGGAGTAGTGAGTGCTGCGTTCATATAATGTCATTGACATTAACAAAACTCCCAGGTTTGTGTGTTAAAAATTCGGAGGTAAACTGACAACTGTATTAAACTTTTTGCAAGTACCATTCAGTTTTCAATATTTGGTAAAATAATGTTGTTGTACACAAAATACGGGTGTCATTATTATGTAAGTGAATACAATTTATAGAAAGTTCTAAACAAATTCAAATTTACGTTGTCCCGTTCTAACATTCTTTTTAATTTTTGAATATCCACTTTTTTTTAATCTCTCCGATGTCCCTGTTCAGTTTTTTAGCAATTTTACAAGCTCATGTTTAACTTTCCATAAAATAGGTGTTTTCTTCAATTCTTTGGTTAATTATAAATATATCTGCGAAAAATTCAAGTCATACAGGGCTGTTCCGTCTGTGTTTAAATGCTATTAAAAACCCATCCAGGCCGAGTACGAATTTCCTTTCATGGACCAATAACTGTCGGATTGGCTATCGCACCGCACGAGTGCCCAAAATGTTCATTCGGTTCATTTGCTCAGATGTGTACGCGGCTTAAGCCTCACAATCCTGCTCACAATAATTGGTACTGGCACAGCACGGTAGGACTTATAAGTTGCCACATTCATGTCAGAAAATATAAGAGATCAATCAAAAAGCTAAATAGGATATTCGGAGTAGGGTATAAAAAATGTCCGCTGTAGTATTGTCATTCAGTTGCTATCAGATGTCACAAACTCAAAAACCACATTAAATGGTTTCAACTTGACATCCCAAGTTCAAGTGCTCATGGTCAATTAAAAAAAAAATAAAATTATTTTTTCAAACCCATGAAATTCAAGTGAAATTCTGATTAAAATAATTTTATTCCCTATCTAGATTAGCTTAGCTGATAGCTATCATTGCTCGGGAGTACAGGAAAAAAATGTAGTCTTGTATATAATTCAAAATATTTGTTCATATCTTTGTTGCTGATCCAACATCTGCAATATTTGATTGAAACATAATTTTGAAGATTCACCACAGCTTTCGTTGGACATATTACACGCAAGAAGATCTGGCAGGTCTTCTTCGTCCATTCTTATTGCAAAAGTTTCGAAAAGTGTCCTTATAATCGAAAGATAAAAAATATTGTGTTATTGTTCATACAGATACATTTCAAAATCACCCAGTGACAATGATTCTAAAAATACCGGCCCCAAATTGAAACCAAAAACTGAACGGAATTACACTTTTGTTTCTACGACCGTACAAGATTTTAAAGACAGTTCTGGCAACAGATTTCATTGTGAATATGAGGGCTGCCAGAGGACTTACAGTACCATAGGCAATCTTCGAACTCATATGAAAACACACAAAGGTTTATCTACCAGCATTAACCTATACAATAAATGTTATAAACTTTATCTTCTCAGGTGACTACCGATTTAAGTGCACGATTCCGGGATGCAGTAAAGCGTTTCTCACGTCTTATAGTTTAAAGATTCACGTGAGAGTGCATACAAAAATCAAACCATTCGAATGTTCTCATGAGGGCTGCAACAAGGCTTTTAACACATTATACAGGCTGAGAGCACACGAGAGACTGCACAACGGCCAAACTTTTAATTGCGAAATACCCAGCTGCAAAAAATTCTTCACCACATTGAGTGACCTCAAAAAACACCGACGCACCCACACACGCGAAAAACCGTACAAGTAAGATTGCTCTCAAAATCCGAATTTATTTGTAAGTAGCTGCGATTTTCTAGATGTGCAGAATCCGGATGTGGCAAATCATTTTCCGCGAGTCATCATCTGAAAACTCATAATCGCATTCATAGCGGCGAAAGGCCTTACGCGTGTAAAGCGAGTCCCGAATGTGGTCGAGCGTTTGCAACGTCACACAGTCTTAAATCACACATAAAGACGCACCAAAGAGGTATCGCCGGTCAACACCAAAATGCGCAAAATGTTAAGGGGGGAAAGGATCAATTCAATGACGAAAATAACATGGACTTGGACTTTGCAAGTAATTTTAATTTTGATGGATATCAAAAGGAGATAGGGAGCTGGAATGATAGTAGCAAGCAGTGCAATGAAAAAGTGGATGGCAAGTATACTTACTATTAATTTTTTTATAGTGCCAATTATATTTGTGCATTTTGATGCAAACTAAGATCTTTTAAATATGCCTCTACCCGTCCCATTTACTTCTTCTTCTATGTTAGGTACTTCTGCCTGTTTTAGTTCCTCCTCCTCCAACCGGCAGGCGATTTATCTCTTGCTATCCTCACTATCCGTTGCTCAGACATTCTATCTATATGTTGATTCCATTTTTGTATATATTTTTGATTAGTTTTATTATATCAAATGGGATATTTCTGTTATAAAGTATATGTATCACGCCCTGTAGCTGCACGCCATTAAATGCTTTTTCTAGGTCTATGAAGCATAAGAACACTGGGGTCAATTGATTTTTCTATAATTTGTTTAATAACCAATGCTGCGTCATTACAAGACCTCCCACTTCTGAAACCTTGTTGTTCTTCAGAGAGTTTTATATGTGGAGTTATTTTGTTGGTAATCATCTTTGTTGTCAGTTTTAAAGTCGTGCATAGGAGGTTAATTCCTCGATAGTTATTTGAATCGGTTATCTCCCCCTTTTGAAAAAGTGGTATCATTATGTTTATCCTCCAGTCTTCATTCTGTATTCCATCTTTGCCAGCCGATCTTCGGTTTTTTATTTTTTTAAGTGCTTCTTCCACTTCTGCACTATTTATTTCTAGTATTTCATCTGTTACTATATTCGGGGTTTCCGGTGTTAAATTCTTCGTCGGATTGTACAATTGTTTTAAGTGGTTTGGCAATGCCTCTTTTTCGATATACTTTACCGCTATTAATTCTTTCATAAAAGTCGTGTTCCATATCTTTTGAGAATTTTTCCCGATGTTCTATTTCCTTTTTTCCTATCAGTGTGTTTGCATCGTTGCGAATTTTTTTATATTCTTCATAGTCTTCTCCTGTTTTTGTAGACTTATATTTGAGATAGGCTCTTGTTTTCTGTTGACATTTTAGTTTTACTTCGTCACAAAACAAGCGCTTCTTTTGCTACGTTTTTGATATTTTGTCGAATCCTTCTCCAGCTATTTTCTGTATTTTCTTCTTCTATTACTGAGTTTTAGTTTATTTTGTTTTCAATCTTGTTTGATGGTGATTTTTTATTGATACATCCTGTAGTTTTTCAATTTTAGTCTTTGTTTCCCAAACTTTTATGTTAGTTTTTGGATGTTTGTTTATTTTTATTCTTATTTTCCCTAAAACAAGATTATGGTCACTTTCTACATTAGCAGGACGTAAACATCTTATATCTAGTAGTTGTGTGAAATGTATTTCCCTATTTGTTAAGATATTGTCATATCATGTTGTTCTTTGTGTTCTTTGTGTCTAAAAAGGTGTTATTTATTCGTAATTCGTTTTGTGAACAGAAATTTACTAAAGATTCGCCGTTCTCGTTAGTTACACTGTCATTAAATTTTTGTTTCACCCCTGGTATTATTGCGTTCCCAACTCTTTTTTTGTAATTTTGTTTCACCAAACATCCTTTGTGTTTAGATTTATTTAAAGCAAAAAAAAACATACTGTATATTTCGGAATATTTGGCTAAAATAGTATAAGTTAAGAATCAAATTTACCGAGAATTTCGTTTAAAAAAAATGTATTTGCTTCGAATAGATGTCTCAACGCTGCAATGCTCTAAATAATTAAAAAATAGAGATTGCAGCGTCCTATAGCCACAACCCATACAGCTATTAGAACTATAGTAGTCGCAAGGAGGGTAAAAATTGAGGCGCCTTAAGTGGCTGTGATATTTTCGTTGAAAAGGGCAATCGTTTTTCGCGCATGCTCGTAAATTTCACCAATCCGCACGCAATTTTCTCTCTAAATAGCGATTTGCACACACTTAGTTCTTGTTTTTCTGAACATTTAGCGGAATCTGGGCATACTTTAAGAAAAGACTGTTGTGAAAATATTACATCGAAACTGGAAATTATATCTGTTATTGGTTGAAAATGAAGCGTGACAAGACCGCGCATGCGCATATTCAATCATCCTTCTCAACATTTTTTTTTTGGTTCAAAAGTTTCTATATTATGAGCAGAGCCATATGCAATGACCTAATTTGAAATATCTATTTTCTTCGTAATTCTAATGTGTCACTTTCTGTCACATATCTATTAGGGTTAATTACACATTGCTTTTCAATTTTTTTAATTTTCAGCTCAAAATAATGATACGTCTACAAGCGAAATAACGAAACTGTTAGAGAATCAAGATTTGGAACAAATGAACTTTAACCCCTTGTATAATGGCTTTGATTACAACGACAATAATACTGGGGCCGATAATAACTTTATTTTGGGGCATTCCGATTCAATAAACCATTTGCAGGTCGAAAACAAGGCCAAGTTTGCCGCGGTCATTGAGACCGACCTAAGTTCCCAGTTTGAAATGGCGAACGGGCTCAAGAACTATGCTACCGTCAATACCACGGAACCTGTAGATGTCCAGCTTCCTTTTAATATCGGTACCGAGATGGAGAATGTCGTTAAAAGTGAAACGCTTATCAATGATCCGCACTCGGAAGCGGAAGAAAATTCGCTGATTACCGAATTCGAAAATGCCGGCATTGGTCTATACGACTTGAACGACGGCGACGGTTTCACCGAAAATATGTTCAACTTGGGACAAGACGATGAAACGCCTCTGGCTAAGCCCGCCGGACGGAGCCCCAACGTGCGTATTTGCAGCGTCAAAACGGTGGTGCCCCCTAACGACGTCGTACCGCAATACATTCAGAAACATAAAACCGCCGTAAACCCGTCGCCTCCGCCAGAAACGCTGCAGCTGTCTTTAGCCATTCACGAAGAGGTTTCTCCTGCGTGGGACGTAGGCAATTTCTCGGTCGGTCAGGTGGACGTGTTCCAAGAGAACCCCAGCGAAAATAATAATCCCCTTACGGCAATCACAACTTCCGTCCAGTCTTGCTTAAGCCTGTCGCCATTACAGGATAATTCGTCGGAACCATTGCCAGGCATCAATTTCTTAGCCGAAGTGGAAAACGTGAGCAAGCTTTTGAATTCTCTAAATCCGCAAGAAACTCGCCCAAAGACGTCTGATGTTTTAAAGGACTTGACCAGTGAGGCGGAGATATGCAAGTGTAGCGACTGTAAGTGTGACAATTTCAGTGATTGCCAGAATTGCAAGCCCGCCCCAGCCGAAATTAGCCCCGCTTCCGCTCTAACCAGCGTCTCCAGACCAAAAATAACACCGCCTTCAAGCTCTAGCAAAACGCTTTCCAAAAAGCCAGCTAGCTGTTGTTCCAATGTTATTAGTCAGTGCGCGTGTAGAAACAACGCAGAGTCGGAAAATGCGTCTGCGGAAAATTGTGGTGGCCAAAAGTTTAAGGAAACTGTCATGGGTATCGTCAATTCAACGGACGGATGTAGAGAAAAGGGAGAGGAGTGTTGCGTCGTGCTGTGCCTTAAAACAATTAATCATCTGAGGCAAATAATTAAATTTGCTACAGAGTGCAAAGGATTTGAGAACTTTTCGTTGGGTTGTGTCAGTAAGAGCAAATGCTAGGGTGTGAGAGCAAATATTAAGCTAGGCTGTTGTATTCTGAAGGTAAGGTGGACCCGGATTTCGATTTCCGTGACTAACAGTTACAATTACAGCAGGTTTCTTTAAATATTCGCTAACTAAAAGTATACTAGTCATTCTTAATGTTGTTAGTAAGAAAAAAGGTATGACCTTTTTTTGCTGTAACTATATTCTTAAAGGAATCATAAATGAAGTAATAAAAGTAAATATCAAAGTTATTAGCGGATTGTATTAGTACTTATAATTTCTGGCGTTACCATTTCTACTTTAAAATATCCAATACGAAAAGTTTCTGTAGCACTTTTTTTACCAAAGATGCTACCTATTACCAAACAATTTAAAAGTTAAAAATAGCTATAATTTTATGCAAGGTGTATTACTACTCAAAATAATTAAAATGGAGAAAGTTTGCAAGAAACTACTTGATGAAGTGGCGAATTATGTGAATAACTAACCTGACACTCTCACAGTCTGTTAAAATTACCATAACAACTTTTTTTTTTTAATTAGGTGTTGGCAATGAAGATTTGAAAATGTTTGAGCTGCTTTGTTTACCGAGTCACACATACACGATGATGATATAAGTACCTAAAGGTCTGTTTGATATGTATAATGATTATAACTTCCGAAATTGTGTGGCTAATTAAAGATGAAGATATAAGTATTTAAAAAATATATTGTGCCATTGTTAATGTACATAAGCAGATTTCTCTTAGACTATCAAATGCTATTATTTATTCTTCTGTACTCATAAAATTTAGAAGTTTGAAGCATTTTTTCAAAAATCCACATTGGCTGTCATATTTTTATTTTGTTAAAAACATTTGTTTAAGCTTAGTTTATCCTAGTCCACAGTAAATTACCAAAGTTTTCATTCTTTGTAAGAATCACATGTTAGAGATATCAACTTGTTAGACTTTATAAACAATATGTTTAAAGAATGGTTTGTCTTTTCTTATATCCTATAAAAGTGCAACCTTATTTTTTCTTGTACAAGTGTTATAAAACCACCAAACATTCAGTGAGGATAAAAGAAAAATTCAATGGAACATCTTACGAAAGAAATGCAACAAACTAAAGAAATATATTCCCATGATCTTCTAGAAACATATTATAATTTGCAGGCGTGTTATATTTCCTAAAATAGCCTGTAGGAACCTAAATGTATTGTATAGGTAAGTATAGAATCTTATTTTTAATGTGTTGTATGTGAATTTTGCTTCAACTCATCATGTGACTGATTTGGTACACAGTTCAAAGCAGACGCAGGATCAACATCAGTAATTATATGATAGTTCTCCAAACCCTGTGCCCCGGAGAATTCATCCCAATCTGGTTCAAGAAGGGCAGGAAACTGCTATATTTTGCACCAAGGCATATTATCGGTAATCAGCATATGACTGATGGTAAATTACAACTTAAGTTGCGGAAAGTAATCAGACGAATTGAGTACCATAAATGAATGCAACTATAATGTACTATACAATAATTTTTACTTAGGATAGATAAAAAAAAAGTTTATAAACCAAATAAAAGCAGGCACTAATGATTTACCACTTTTATTCGCTATTGTGCTGTGCAGTACCTGCCTTTCATATCAAAGACTGAATAGAATATAGGTGTTTAATAATAGTTTAGCACTTTCGAACTAAATACCATCAAATTTAGATGTGTTAAATCTGTTCCGCATGACTTTCAGTGCAAAAGAAATTAAACATTCATCGTCCTTTATAATTAGTAACTGCAGTTCAAAATAATAAATGAACATAAAGCACTATTGTCACATAATTACAATGTAAGAAACATCTTATAGAAAAACATCTTTAAATGTTACAAAATTTCTTTACAAGCTATTCTACTAACTATAGAATCCAAAAGTTCCAGGGAATGACTTTCCTTTTCACTAATTTTATAAATCCTTTTTAGTGCATGCAAGTCAGCTAAACATCCCAATTCAGAAATATCCAACTCATGTCCGACCACTGATGTAAATACATTATCGTTGCTGTCATCCTTTTTCACTAAACTCACAACTAACAATGTGGTATCATTATCACCAATTCCAAATCTTTGCAAACTTTGGGTAATATTGTTTGATGGAGATAAATTAAACAAAATTTCAGTATAAATCGACTTTGTAGTGATTTTGCGGGCTGTTACAGCTTTATTTGCTGCAACGATAACTTGCAACACATCCAAAATCAGGGAAGGTTTGATAATGCAGCATTTAAGTTTTCCCGATAACAATTGTGTTTTGAGCATCTCAGTGTTTTTAACATCTTCATAAAGCTGCACTCTTATTGCGGTATTCGTCTCATTGTCCAGGTCAACAATGTACGACATTGCTAATCACAATATCAAAATTTTAGGTTGAAACACAGACCACTAATGTAATAAAAATAAAATCGCCAAACGATTATAATTGTGGTCTATGCATACTTAACGAGCCACGAGTAATTTTGTTGGCAACATTGAATAACCATCAGACTTTAGACTGACCTTGATAATTAACCATAAATATTTTTTTTATGTTGGTGCTCCCGAAAAGAAAAATTTAAAAATAAATTAACGCATGGCAACACTGTAAGGGGTTTTTGGAAGTCAATGAACTCAACGCCATTAACCATTTTATTTCAAATTAAATTTCGCATTTACATTCTAAATACAAAATAAACAACTAACCAAAATGACCAAAAGAATCAATTTGTGTATTGCATAAACATTTCTTTTCTCACCCAATTAAAACTGTAAGGTAAATCGCATAAATAAAAAAATTACATTTACAATTTAATATTAAAACAGTTTCTTATAACAAAGGTTGTATAATTTGCAATCAAGTATTATTTGGTGCTGTTTTCAAATTTTATTTTTTTTATTTCTGGACTACCCTCAGCTTGCTTATGCCGCACGATTCGTTTTGCTTTTAAATAATTTAAAGTGTCTTTGTTTGTAATCCTAGGAAATTCACTAAATGTAGGTCTAAGCAAGTTTGAATTCATCACAGTGGCAACAATGTCACCTTTATCACTAACACTTTCAATTGAAGGTTTTATAGGGGAACAAGAAACATCAGTGTTTGCCACAGAAGACTCGTCTGATTGGCACATCTCACTACTTTCATTTAATTGAAGAGAAGAATTTGCCAAATTTGGATCGGTCATTTCGGAATCTTCAATGTCTGTAAACATATCTTCACTTTCATGCTCCTCTTCAGATTGTTGTGTTTTTTCAATCAACTTCCCTTAAAATCAAATTAAAAAATTGTTAAAAATATGAAATCCAAAAAAAAGTATATAGCCGTTTTTTTTTCGTGTACCATTTGTATGTTGGTACTCGTGCATTGACATCAGATGAAAATAAAACATTTTTTTCCGTATGTATGTCCTCAATGAACTTGACAATAATTATCAAATAAATAAATGTAATCAACTTACACTAGGCAACACTAGTGTTATAAATATAAATTCACATTCTTATATGGTGGCAACAGTGTTAGTTAAATAGTTATTGATTATATGTTGGTAACATAGAACATTAAAAAAGACTGTTGGTAACACTGATTTTAATAAAGTTAATAAAAAAAAATATTAGTAATATATTCTAAGATTCAATTACTTCGGACATGAAGAATTACAAAAGAATAAGTACTAAACTACTTTTGCACATTTAAAATGCTTACCATTCATTGTAGGCAATATTATATCTGGCAAAAGTTTTAGATTTCCTCCATTCTTGTCCATTAATTCTTTAATTAAATTTGCAATGTCCTCTCTCTTTTTAGTGACTGTAATTTCCTCAAACCAGGTTTTGATGGATTTAATTGGTATGTAATAGTCTTGTATAGGACTCTAAAATAAATAGAAAGGAATTAATAAAAGATGTAGATATAAAAAATATAATAGAAAAAATAATAATTATGGTTTACCTTAAAAAAATGTTCAACAAATTGTAATAAATATAAACCACAGTCAGTAAAATTTGTCTGTTGTGGTACTTTTACCACAGAGCCTTTAATTGAATCTTTATTATATATTCTCTCTTCTCCAATTTTGTTCTTGTATTCAACAGTCAGATAATCTCTCAACGTAGCGACAACACGTGACCTGCTTGGTCCTGCTAATGAATCAAATATTAAAATGCAAGGCCTAAAACAAAGGAGGTAGTAGAATTGAAAAATATATCTATAAATTCACTAGTTACTGTTTGATTGGAGGTCTCTCAGGTTTTTTAACCCTAGGGAGGGGGGTTATACTAACTGATGCAGCAATGTTAGTTGCAGCAGCGGATGCGGTTGAAGAATCCGAATCATCGGACTCTAGGTCACTAGCTTCACTTTCTGCTTCATCTTTGTCACTTAATAAAGGATCATCACACGGGATTGGTTTTTCTGCCTTATGCTCTATAATTTTTTTCTATTAGCAAAGCTGAATGTTACAAGATAATAAAGACACACTTTTGCCTTTCTTTGGTTTGACATCAATAACATAAGGTTTGCCATCAAATGTTTGCATACCCTGCAAGTTTGGAAAACAAATTATGGCAAGAAACCAATGAGCATTTTCATTAATTGGCACCACAATAAAATCTTTTTCAAATAAATTTGTCCTTTTTGACCAATTTTTGACTCGAGAGTGTCTTTTTTCTGCAGCAGTTAAATTTGGGTCAACTTCATGGGGAAGAGATTTTCTGAAAGACAATAAGTATCCTATTAGAAAAACTATTAAAATTCATCATTTTACTTACTTGTTAGCTTTACTTGGCTTTGTAGTTAACCTTTTGTAAAAGAAAGTAGAAAAAATATGCACTTTACTTTGCGTCTCTGGAGGAAGATTTTCCCATAGATATTTGAGATAAAAGTCGATTATTTTATCGTTTAGAAATTGATCCGCAGCCAAACATACGTAATCTTCAGTATTTAACGTAAGTCTTGCGGGTCCTTCAGGGGGATAAAACAATATTTGCTTTATTTCCGTATATGTTCTGAAAATCGAAAACATAGACAGAAAATGTTTTAAAACTACTTATGTGTTCGCAACTCACTGCCAACCATTAACGTTTTCAAAAGGACCATTCATTTTAAGCAATATTATTATAATTAGGACATGTTTTACGCGTCCTAACCTCAATTTAGACATTCAATGGTACCACCACATTTGACTGTTAATTGATCAGTGAATCAGTGACGCCAAACATGTAAATTTTTGTTTGCCAGAGACGTCACAAAATAAATTTCACCAACCCCATAAAAATTAAAATGTAAAGACAAAGATTATAGAAAAAAATGCAGTAAGGTAGGTTTTGTTATTGCACGCTTTTCCAGTAAAGTCAAAAAATAAATTTAACCAACTATATAAGTATTAAAATGTAAAGACAAGGATTTAAGAGAAAATAGACAAAGGTAGGTTAGCTTTTATTATTTGCAATTTTTCAAATAGATGGTTAATGATAATAAAATGATTATTATTATTAAAGTACAATTGCTATCCAGCTAACCGCAGAAAATTAGTTTTATTTTTATATTTTAGTTCATTTGGTGACTATTGAAGAATTTTTAAATATGAGAACCAAGTCCACTACATTATTTGTAATCGCGTGATTTGCGATAGAAATTTCTTTTTATTATATAAAATGTAACCACTTTTTTAAACTGCCTAGTGTGTGGAATAAAAACAATGTATATATAACAAATCACAATTATCATATCAATATTTGACACCAACAAAATATTAAATGTTCAACACATTCATAAACTGAAAAGACCAATTTGCTTACCCAGCAGAGCAGGAGTTCCCATCCTTCGGACATGTTTTAAGTAAAATATCGTTGGCCTCCTTAGATGTAAGTTCATCCATAATATTAAAAGGCTGAGCGCCGTAAATTTGTTGGAAAATTGCTTTTTGTTCATCAAGAAACTCGTCGGGTAGCAATGTTATCTTTTTGAAAGACTCATCCTTTTCTGATATTGGATCGTAATATAATCCGGTTTCTAACTGGAGATTGAGGAGCTCCCTAATCACTGGTGCAGCATCCACATTTAGATAATAAAAAACGACAGGTAAGCCCTTATTAAAACTGACCAGCACCTTCACTATTTCAGATCTATTAATTGTTAGGGTAACGAATTCTCCATGTGTACCCACAGGAGGGGCCTTTATTGATACGCTTCGAGAATCAATTATAATCTAGAAAATTTTAAATCACATAAATAGGAACTTTAGTAAAGGTGTCGAGTACTTACCTCCTCGGGTGGGGCAAAACGATAGGATCCAACTCTCACTGTTCGACATTTCAAAACCATTGTCAGACTTTTAACTGTCTCAGGCAAATCTGAAAAAATGAAGTAAAGGTTTATTTATGGATTAATCATTTCAAAGACAAAGGCAAAAATATAAAAAAAAAAATATTTCAAGTTTAATCTAACTATTTGTTGGAATATTTTGGCCATAGGTTGTTCTGTGATAACTTGCTCTGGAGCTAAGAGAGTGGATGTTGATATTTTCGCCAATATAATTCAGATCTACAAAGCTTATTTTGTTTACTAATTTAAATCAATCATTAATGACACAAATATAAAAATATATATTCACAAATTTGTAAAATTCTTTGGTTTTTGTTTTAGTGGTCAATAAATTTAGAGAAATTGGCAAGTAGGTTAAAAAATTAACAAATATTTTGAAATAATATAGTTCTACAGTATTTATTTTTAAGATTTATTTTGATTTATCAGATTGAACCCTCACAATTTTTGCCAGGTATTGCAATACTTACCTTTGCAAATGTGCTTCTTCATTTCAGTCAAAGACGGCTCTTTTGTTACAGGACTAATTGTCACAGATGCCCCCAAACTTTTCAAAAGTTGTTCACTAACCTAGCAAACAATATTGACATTAAAGGGGTATAAAGAAATTACAGTAAATTTTCCAAATGAGTAAAAAATGTTGTAATAATGGACAGAAAATTAAGGCAAAACTAAAAGAAGTGAAATTTTCAGTTACAAAAACTACACGCAGTTTCCCCCCAATCTGTTATAGACAAAAAAATTCTTTGATACAATTGGGGTGCACATTTAAAAGTTTTTTTTTTAGGTAAACTCTATATATATATATATATATATATATATATATATATATATATATATATATATATATATATAATTTTTTTTTTTTTCTGGGTTTGCTACCCAGGTCTTGTTTGCTAAAACGGTAAAGAATTTACAAACTATTTACGTTTGGATTTCTTGCGTCGGTTGTTGATAAAAACCTGTTGGCTTCATTAGAGTTTATCTGAAACAACCGACGCAGGACGAATCCAGAAGATTTGTAAATAGTATTACAGTAGCATGTGGAAGTTTCTGTGAAAAATTAAAAAGTAAAACTAATTTAAAAGCAAGTGCCCAACCCAATTATTTTACTTGGTTGAGGATCAATTGAAGGGTTATGGAATTAGGGCAATCTTACTGATTTTGCAGATTTTTTCTCATCTTCTTCCTCATCAGAACTTATCACCACCGATTCATTATCCATTGGTTTCGCTTTTGTAGGCTTCTTTTTAATTGGAGTCGTCGGTTTTGGTACTGAAGGACAAATACAATAGATGGAATACAATTAATGGAAAGTATCAAATAAGTAACTGATTTGGTTAGTTAAAAAAAATGGACCTTCAAAATAAGATTTAACTCTTAAATAAGAGCTTTTTTGTATTTGAAGTTGGATAAAAGTCTCACTTTAAAGATTGGTGCCACATGATTTAGTTTTTTTATGTTTTTCCCATAAAGCTATTAGATTGGCCCTACCATGGTAAAGTGATGCGCCTCAGCCACTAAACAGCTATATTCACACACCTAACTGATTTTTGCCTGTAGATCTAATATAATTGTTACATACTTTGAGAAAATACTGGCAGAAGGTCATTGGTTAAAAGCAATATTTCAAATCATTCATAGACCTTCTCAAAAAAATTTTCATAGTTGTTTCACAAGTTCCTGTATTATCGGCATAGGGAGAACCTCAACATCTGTAGTAGCAATATGGTTTTCCCAATTATATTCAAATATGTTAGAATTGGAAGCAGAACAATATATTAATCATACCTGAAGGAGATAAACCAATAAGCGATTTCTTTTCTGCCGAGCTGAATTTCTGACCATTATTTTTTAAAGGCGAGTCGATAGATTTCACATTGTCGGGCAATTTCCGGTTGCATCTAAGATATAGTTAGTTACTCTCTCATTGGTTGCCAAAATTGTGTATAAATATAAATACCTCGCGCATCTATTGAAATCCTCGCCAGTATATCCGCAATATGAACATACAGCTAGTTTTCCTGGTACCAGCTTCGGCTGTTCTTTTGGAGGCTCCGGTGAAGCAGGCTTGATCATTTCTTGCTGTTCAGAAACAATAGGGGGCAGAGGCGCAGGTGGAGGAGACTGGGAGGGATCAATATTATCTTGACATTCGTCCTGTTGTAATTGGAAAATACACTTAAAACATGGTTTTACAGAAGTTGTGTATTAAGGGTACAACAAATGGGATTTTTTAAATTTATAATTTTATTAATAAAAAAATGTTCAAAACTGTTGAAACAAATAAGACAAATAACATTAATAAACGTTTACGAGAATTAAAAGTTGTTCCCAAATATGAGGTAATGTTCTCTTAAAAGGAAAAAAAAATCAGAATACAATATCTGTATTTGTGAATTGCCAATCTGCAATACAAATAAGTTTTGGAATGCATCTTTTTCAATGTGTGTGTGTGTAATAAAAAAATGTGCAAAATTGTTGAAACAAATAAGACAAATAACATTAATAAACGTTTACGAGAATTAAAAGTTGTTCCCAAATACGAGGTAATGTTCTCTTAAAAGCAAAAAAAAATCAGAATACAATATCTGTATTTGTGAATTGTCAATCTGCAATACAAATAAGTTTTGGAATGCATCTTTTTCAATTTCCACGTGAAATATATTTGTTTTTTAAAAATAACTTTGCCTTTTAGTAATATCTCTGCAACAAACATGCAACTTATTCAGTTGCATTAGAGATGAAATATACTAATTAATTGACTCTCTTGTAGTAATTTGCCACAAAAAACATTTATTTAATTATTCAATTTATTAAAATGATAAATCATAAAAATTCTTGCCATGTTTATATTACATAAAAGAACATTTCTAGAAGTTGGGGATAACCTTTACCATTTTGTAATAATTTTACTTCAAAATATAAAAATATGAAACTAATATCAACTTACCTCGCCATACCCAAAGTTGGTAACATTTCCAACTGTGACAATATAATTAATTCCATTGGTATTTGCTTCTGTTACTTGAATATTTGTTTCTGGAGTGAAAGGTACATTGACCTGCTCAAGAATCTCCTGGATTGTGCAAGCTTCTTTTGGTAAAGTGAACGTAATCAATCTCTGTTCTCCATTTTCTAATAGGACCAGCATCCTAATTGAGTCAGAATACTCCTCTGTTAATGGAGTATTTTCTATAGATAAATTAATAAAGATACATTTAGTAAGGATAAAATTTACAAGCAAACTCATTTTTACCAATTATTTGTTGAATTTGACTAGACGGTATGTATGATGGTAAAGGACGTTGTTGTCTGGGTCTATTAGGAGTGGGGGGTGGTATAAGGTAATTGATCTGAGATTGTGGAGGGGCGGCGGCATGTTGTTGCTGAATGTCATTTATCTGTTGTTGTTGGGGCTGGTGTTGCTGCTGCTGCTGCTGTTGGGCCATCTTCTGAGATGCCACCTGGTTTTGAGGCTTAGGGGAAAATAATTTGTTATAGCAATCGCTAATTAAGTATTGTTAATAATGAAACAAAAGCAGATTTTGGTAGTAGGAATAACCCTGCTGTGCGAGATCTGCAGAATGCAATTACATAAATTTTATATATAACGTACCTGGTTTAGCAGTTTTCTAACTGGCCCTTGGTTTGCTAACTGTTGCTGCTGTTGATTCAAAGGGAACCTTGCTTGTTGACCCATTGCTCTTGGATATGGATGTAAGGGTTGTGGCGTCCTTGGAGGTGCTTTGGGTTTTGCAGCTCCGCTGTTTCTTGGCATAGCGTTTTGGTTCCGCGGTCGCGCTGGTGCTCTAGGCTTGCGTTGAGGGAGCTGTGGAGTTGCAGGGAAACTTGCTGGGCCTCCTGTTTGCAGTATCTGCTGTTGTTGGGGCAGTGAGGTCTGGGATGACATTGGTGACTGTTGTTGGTGTTCTTGAGGGGGTGGCAATTCAGCAATTTGGTTTAATATTTGCTGTTGAGGAGTCGTTTGTGGTGTTTGGGTGATTTTGATTTGACTTGGAAGTCTGAAATATGGCAAATATGGTATTATAATTGAAGACATTGTTTTGATCTTCATGATTACCTGGATAAAAGGCCCATTTTTGTCATTTGCTGCTTTTGTTCAAGAATCCTTTTATAGTTAGCCATTTGAGCAGGATTACTATTCATTGAAGGATCATGATCATCCAACTCATCCTGAAAATTGTCAAATGTGTTTAATATTTAATACAAAGTCATTTACTTACAACATTTTCTGATTTCATTGGAGATTGCTTCTGAAAATCTGGTTTTACAATCTGAGAAGAAAGCAGCTGCTCTTGAGAGACCCCGGAGCTCGGCTGCAATATATTTTGCTAAAAGACTGAGTAGAACTTGCGAACAACTTACTGATTCTGAGTTTTTGTCTTGAGAATGTTCGAAATCCCCTATTTGCTTCTGAACTTGCTTCAGCACTGTTGGAGAGGAAGGAAGTGGAGAAGAAGATTGAAGTTGTGGTTCTTGAGAGACTAAATTTGAATCTTTGGCCACTATACCAAGAACTGCACTCCTTTGCTGCATTACTGATCTTGGTTGCTGAAAAGCCCAATACAAATTTTTCATTTTAAACTTCTCTAAGAGATTGTACCTGTGTTCTAATTTGAGGTAAAGAAGGGGACCTCATTCTCAGCGGATTGGCTACATTATTTCTCATTTGAACGGCAGAAGATCTTGTCACCTGTTGAGGTATTGGAGCTCGGGGATTGGTTACAGGTTGATTTGCCATGTTAATCTTGAATAAACATATTCCCGTAAATAATTACTATATTTATTATTTTACTTACTTGAGTAGGTCTGGAATTATTTCGTATTAAAAGCGGCCTCTGAGCACTAGTTTGTCGGTTTGAAGATGCCCCTGTAAAATGAAAATGAATATAAAACTCATAGAATAATAAATAAAATGACTGATAAATAAAAAACAAAAAACATTTTTACAAGTTTGCTATATTTTTTATTATTGGAATTTATTTATGTCCAAAGTTTTTTTCCTTGTTTTAATTTCTTCCAGAAAACAGATTGACTTTCAAGTATTCATAAAGTAACCCTGGTAAATTAAACCTAAACTCATACTAATTTGAAATGATGTAATTCAAATATATCAAGAAATGGCACCAAAACAAATGAGGCACAACAAAATGGCTAAATTGCAAAAACTTAGGGGCTAAAAAATAAAAAATATATTCTAGAAAAGATAGGAGAACCTAATTGATGATTCAGCACAATTGGTTGAGCCTGAGCCTGTTGCATTGTTGGTGTCTGCTCAATAACAGTTTGAACATTCTCTTGAGTTGGAACTTCGCTGGACTCCATATAAAATATCTGTCGCGTCTGTGCATTAGCATTAGACATCTGCATAAAGGGTTGCGCTTGATTTTGTGTTTGTTGATATGTTAACTGATTTGATTCAATAACAAGTTGTTGTACTTGCTGTTGAGAACCATCAACTAACATTACCTGATCACCAGATAACTGAACCAACTAAAATCAGGAAACACTTTGCCTTAATTTTCATATCTTTAAGCATGGAATTTTACATAAAATTATTTTGCAGTAATAAGAAAAAATTCTAACCTGTTGTTGTTGAAATGTTTGGGATTCATCAGCTAAAATATATCTCACTTGCTGGGTTTGCTGATTTTCGTCACTGGTGCTAAAAAAATGCCGATTTTGTTCGCTGCTCTCTCTTTGACTTAAAACCTCAAAGTATTGTGCCATTATTTAGCAACTTTGAGTTTAAATGTTCCAGCATATCCTAATCCCACTGTAATATAAAATTTTAGTCATATGGAGGCTTTATTAGCATTAGGATGTTAAAACAGGAGTTCAAATACCCCAATATGTATTTGGCCGTATCACTCCAGATTTTTATGGACAAACAATAAAGTTTTACAAATATGGATAGTTTCTTACTACTCACACAGTAAAAGTCCTCATTATAAAGCATACAAAATAGTTGTGAAGCACTTTAACGTTATGCACTTAAAACTATTTTATATTTCATAAGGGAACTGACAAATTATCTGATCGTATGTATGCGTGAAGAAAATGGCGATCTACCACTTCACAAATATAACTCGCTCGCTGCTTATATTTCCGCCAAAAATAGAAAATATATGTTTTAGACTCGACAAATTATGTTTCTTAGTTTCAAATGTTCTAAACTCTTCTAAAACTATCAAAAACCTATTTTCCATTAAAAAGAATCGCTTAACCATACGTATAGACGGCGCAGGGTTGCCAAGTTGACATGTGTTCGGCAAACGCATGCCTCCCAGAGGCGGTAAATTTAAACTGGTGTTATGGAACCAATAAAATTGGAAGCGTCTATCACGTGTCGCTATTTTAAGATTTTATTGGACGTGGGATGTTTGTATTTTACCATGGCAACGCATTTTCGTTTACGGGAAATTTTAAGTAAAAGCGGCAGTTTTAGATTGAGTTTTGGAAATACCAAATTTTTAAACTTGATGGAAGAAATACTGGCAATTAAATTTGTTTAGTTTTTCTCTACTTTGATAATTATTGAATATTTTCAGATTGCCCAAGTTCGTAAACTAGGAGTCGCGCAACATAACCTTATTTATCTATTTAATCTAACCTAATTCTCGCACATGTACTTCGAAAACAGATAAAATTGGCATCAATGTTTGATTTTTCTTTCATTTCCAATAAGATTTATTTAGTACATAATTTTTAACTTGATTGATAGAGATTATTTATTAATTTTTTAATCACCTGCCAATTAGATAGTATTCTTTTTAGCGCATAAATTAAATTATTCACTTAACTATACACTGGCTTTATTAACACTACAATAATTACAAATACAATACAAAATTGGAGATTTATTCAACATAATATAGATATACAAAGCACTTAAAACTTTATGGGAATAAAACTATATTTATCACACCACAAATTTATATCATCATTTTATTCGGTCTGCCTTAATTTTGCAAGCCTTTGAGTGAGTTCATCTTGTTCTTGAGACACCTGACTTGCACTTCCAATCATGCTACCTTCAGGCCTATCTGGTAGTTCCATGTTTAATTCCAAGCTAAAGAAAAAATTGTGTTTATATAATATTGAAGATATAATCATTAACTTTGAAAGTTTACCCTGCTTCATCTGCAACTTGTTGCATTAAAGAATCTACATCGTTTTGTGGAATTAGAGTGGTTGTTGTCTGCGCCATTGTGTTTTCAATAACATCTGTTTGTACACCCAAGTCTTCAAATTGCTGCTCAAATTTGTCCATCACATTTGAAATCTTTTCTAAATTCATACTTTTCATTGCTGCATCCATAGCTTTGACAACACCGGCCATTGAATTTGTTACTTTTCTAGTTGTTACTGCAGATTGTACTTTGCTGGCTACTGCATCTACACGAGCAGCCATCCTGAGATAGTTGAGTGATTGGTTTTTTTGCCGAATTGCATTTTCAGCATGTATTCTAGCTACTTCCATGTTGCCTTTTTGAATTGCCTAATTTAAAAAGCATAACATCAATTACTTGTTTTTAGTTATTGATAAAAAAACTCACTTGTTTTGTTTTAGCTTTTTCCTGTTTCTCTTCCTTTTCACATCTTTTTGAATTCCTTTCTAATTCCTTGGCAGCGAATTTTAAATTGAATAGGTGTTCTAATATGTTATTTAAGGATTGTAAAATATTTTAAAGTAGTGAAATTAGCATTGGTACCTAGCTGAAAAAAGGATACTTTCCATTGCTGATTGTGACATTTCGTTTCCCATGTTTCCTAATTTATACTTATTATGCTTATATACTTTTAATGTCTTTTTGAATTATTGAAATAAAATAATATAAATTTCTTCCAAATAAACGTAATTCGACATCTCTTGATATCATCACCTGTTTTTATTAGCGATATACTCTTTAGTGAGTCATTACCAATGTTACCACACGATTGGTAAAAATTCCCCGAAATTTATGGTTAAAATATGGTTAACTTTTTCAGAATGTTATTGCATGGTGGCCTCATTGTTCTTTCGGAAACCAGAGTTTAAAAGTTTATAATTTTCATTGTTGGCAACGATGCTTTCTGGTGAGATTTCAGTCGTTCCTAAATTGTTCTGTGTTTAATATCTTATTTATTCCATGCGTTTTTGTCTTAATAAATATTATTTAGTTTTTATATTATAAATTTACTGAAATTATCTCTCAATATGGCTGCTGTTGTAAGAATAAAACGTCATTTAGACGAAGATCCTTTGAATGCTTTAATTTTAAATTGTAAAAGGCGAAAATTAAGCTGTGGTGAAAATGAGGAAGAAAAATCCGCAGTTCTACAATTTGCGGGAACTTCAGAAGTAGGATAGGGTATTCCGAGGGGCTAGGCTCTAATAATAGCATCATTATTTTACAGGAAGAAAATATAGAAAATCTTTTAAATAAGTATAATGTGGCTAAGGCCGCTGACATAAAGGAACACTTTAAGAAACCACCTATTGATATTTTGCAAAAACTTCGTACTGAAGTAAAAGAACAATCAAGAAATAATAGATACAAAATAGTTAACCGCTTTAGGCAGATAATAAAAATTAATGAAGAATGTGAAAACTTGAAATCAGATCCAGAATTTACTGTTTTCGATATTGAAACTGATTTTAATAGGAATGATTCGACAGAGAGGAATAAAAATGATAGCGTTATCCCAAAATATGTGTATGATTTTTATTATACTAGTTCTGACGATCTTGGAGATGCAGACTTGGATGAACTTAGGTATATATTAACAAATTTTAAAGTCTCCTTTTACTATCAAGGAGTAGAGTATAGTTTTAACATATTTTCTTTAATTTTAAACTTACTGAACTTTTTGTAACTTTGTTGTCTGTTTTTAGTGTTTATCCGTTAATGGATTCACAGTATGACCCGTTTATATTTGGTTCTATGAGAGACAATGGTTTGGAAGGAAAAGACTCTGATGGTGACAGTGATGATTCAAATGCTGAATGTAATTGGCGTAATGATTACCCAGATGAAGATGACTTAGAAAGTATAAACGAAGATGATATGATCGGAGCTGTTAATAACATTAATTTAGGTGAAGATCTCTCCTCTGATGACGGTGAAGAGGATTTTGTATATTCCAGATATGATGATAATGGAGGGTATAATTTGAGAGCAGATAAATTAAAATATGGGAAGTTGTATGCGGACTTTAAAGCAAAAAATTTGAATGATTCATATTACAGTGATATAGATGAAGATGAGTATTTTCACTGATGTCCGAGTTCTGTTGTAAAAACTCGGAAGAAGGCTCAATTGTAAATAAAAGTATATTTCACTTTGCTGTGTGATTAGCTGTTTAATTTGCTTAATTAAAAAATTAAATTAAAGGTTAAAAAAATTAAAATTAAAGTGGGTTTCATTAAATTCCTTATTTTTCTATGAGATTCTTTCTATTGAATGAAAGTATTTTTGGTTGTTCTTGAAGTATTGCTTCTGTTGAGTGCTAAGAAATGTAACACTCCATAAAAAAAGAAACATCTTGATGTAAAAAATTGAAAAATGGTATATATCCACATGGGTCAGGAAAAGATGTTTTTAGTACAGAATTATAACAAAAGTTAGATAATTGTATGTGTCTCAACAAAAATTTATGAGAAGTGTTGTGGATATTGAACATAGGGGTAGTAAAGGAATGATTAAGAAATAAATAATTTTATTGTCTCCAAGAATGGTAATCATCACCTGTTACAATGTTTAAATGACATTATAGATTGATGTTTTTAACATCGGACATAGATTCATTTTTACAACTATAAGAGAATTATAACCATACAAAAACTTAGGAAGCCTACCTTATTATGTGTGAATTTGATACCTTTCAGAAAAAAAAATGCTTTGGCATAATATTTATATTTTCCGTTTAACAAATTTATAACTTAGAACTAGACAAATAAATCTTTATACAAAACAAATCTAAACTTTTAATTTTAACTGTAATCCTATGTTTTTATATATACTGGATTATGTAAGGTAAATTGCCACATTTTTTAACTTTATTTTATGGTATACATGTTAATGCATTCCTATTAATTTTGGGATTTACACATCATATGAGCAAAAAAAATAATAGTTCTAGCTATACAGACAACCATTTTATAAACGTTTTATCCTTTACCTTCTAATATAACGATTAAACGAACCCAAATTTTGATTTCTTATTTAACTGCTACAAGTTTCTCTTAAACTGATTTATAAATGAAATTATTTAGATTAAATTTGATGCAACACCATTATTTACTATAACATTTTCAAGATATTTCGTTTTCATTACCAAAAAATAATGAATTTATAAAATAACGAAAATATTACTTTACTGGCAATAAGTATTTACTTTTTTATGACCAATTATTAAATAAATATCAGTTTTAGTTTTATTTAACCATGAAGAGTCACTTTTAACATATATTGTAATAACTATACATACACATATTGTAATACCTGTAATTGAAAGGGATACAGCAGTCAACAAACTACAAAAGTTTACCCTGACTGATTTTCAATATAACCTAGGATATATCAAAGATTTTTTTAACATCCATCCAAAAAAGAAATTTAATGTTCAGTTGACCGCATAAAATATTTTCAAATTTTAATGATCTTGTTCTCGATAAAAAATTAAATTAAATGTTTTATAAAAATTCTCGCGTAAATAAGAAACAGAAACGGAAATAAACTGGTATTTAGTGTTTTAGGGAACAGATTGCAATATCCAAAAATTTGTTTTGAACACATAACTTCCGCTTTTTCCATTTCAATAGTTTGTGGATTGTACTGCTGGCAGCGATTGCGAACTATTATTTCTTCATGTCATCACTTGGCAATTTGATAATTGCTTCATGTGCTTTAAAATTTGGAGATTCACATTTACATTATTTCATTACGATTTTAAAGCACAGAAACATTCTGTTACTAATTGTCTGCATAATCTTAATTTATACTGCGCTAGTATAGAGCCTCATGGACATCAAAAATGCGTATACAATAACATTAGATACTTAACTGGCCCAAATCAACAATTTATCAGTTGGAAACAATTGAGATTAACAATTATTAATCTATTCAACAGTTCAGTCACAGAATACCAAAGTTTTGTGAAACAATATTATTCAAAAATATATGGAATGTGGGTATACAAAATTTTAGAATGGTAGCAATGCAAATTCAAGCGTTTTACCCTATTTGGAGTGAATTCAGGCCCATAGTGCCTTTTAATATAAATTAACAATGTTGAATCTTTGACAGTTACTTTTGTAAACACATTGTCGAAATTCACACAAAATTTCAGTGAAATAGAAGCAGAGTCTGAAATAAATCTGACTCTCTAAATAAAATAAGTAGTCCCAAAAAAGAAAAAAATCAAAATTCGCCTGAATTCACCTCAAATAACAGTACTTCACAAACCTCAACACTTTCCAGATCAAATATCACTCAACTTAATTCCACCATTACAACACAGGTGTCTCTGCAGTGCGAGACGGCTGATTGTTGTTATTGTTATTACTCGCGTTGGCGGCCGAAATTTCACCGGCATGACTGGAGCAGTAAAATTTTTTATGTGCTATAAACGTTGAGGAGTAGTTGAAGTAAATATCACACGATTTGCAATATTTAGCGCCGGATTTCTGAGCCTCTTGTAGGATCTCAGCGTCAGGGTTTTTGCAATTGGGATCGCCTGCAGATTCCATTTCTTCTTTAATCGAGGCGCCCTCCGCCGGGGCTATGATCACTTCCGGTTCCATTGCCTCTTTTTTAACTGTAAAATTCGTTTTACCTCAAAAGTTCAATTGAGAATATTAGCTGTGTTACCTATTACTTCCTCCTCTTCGTCTAATACGGGCATAGATTTGCTTGTGTTTTTTTCGTCCCCATTAAGAGCGATATTCTCATTGGCCGTTGACTCGTGCACAAGTTTTATGTGTCTGATGACGTTAGCTTTATATGGAGAACTGTACGGACATTGAGGACATGCGTGGGAAGCTTCTGGTCTAGATTCTGACGCTGGGGATACAGCTCTTTCATCAGACGGGGCAGAGTGAGGGATCGACATTTCCGACATGCCCGGATTGGAAGTTTCGTCATCCAGAATGTAGGTTATGTACTTCTCCTCCTATCAATACATATACTTTTATTAGCGGCGCTACGAGCCAATTAAATCCGCTACAAACCTGCAAATCTGGCGATCTCTTGTCAAAATGCATTCGAATGTGGGTTCTCATTCCTCGCAAAGTGTTTCCCTTATATTTACAGATTGTACATCTATAGGCTTTTACACCTGTATGGGTTTCCATATGTCTCTGCGCCGCACTTGACGTGGCACTAATGACGTCACAGCACGGACATTTCCAACCAGAAACCGCTGCATGTGATATACACTAAAAATACGGAAAATGTACTTAGATTATTTAATAAATTAATACAAATGCAAAAAAAAACAAACATAACTGTGTGTTGTTTGGGAAGTTGGAAAAAATGTCGGCATTTTGGGACCCACTTCATATTTGGTAATATCCATTATTTTAAAATTTCGTAAGTCTATCTACTCAGTTTTGGGATAAAAGGCAAATAATAATAATAAATTGATTTATAAAATCATAATTGATAAATGATAGTGAAAAGATGACACAAAAATAGACAAATAGCAATTTTTAAGCGCTTCATAAAATTTAATAAATAAAGCTTTAAAAATCACGATCTTCAATTGCTTATCCTGGGATAAATCTTGTAACAAATAGTAATTAGTGTGAGATTTTTTGTATCTCCAAAAGAGTTTGTTTTATTAAAAAAAATTGAATACAAAAATTGTTTCACCTTACTTTTTTAAATGAAATGCCATTTATATTACAGGTTATATTAAGATTGAGAATTAATTACAACGTTGAGAAACTTCGCCTTTTAGATACGACACCCTGAATGCTACATCGATTCTTTATGCCTTTCACAATAATAATTCATACAATAATTAATTTCGTATAATTTTTTAAAATTATTGTGTTTCCGCTAGTGTTGTGGAATTGACCGGTCAATTTCTTTTGAGTGCGGATACGTTACTTAGCGATAAAATATCGACTCCATTTGGTTCCCAGAACGACGCGACGGCGACGTAACGCACAAAATAAATAAATATAAATTTCATGGAATTTATATTTATTTATATTGTCCGTTACGTTGCCATCGCGTCGTTCTGGCAATCTGGATATTTTATTGGGATTCTCCAAATCGTTAAGTAACGAATAGTAATAGTGGTAGATAACACTCTACAATTGCAAAGATGTTATTTAAAACATATTTTTACTAGTCAATTAAAAAAAGAGGTCAATTAAGAAGTGGTCAATTGGCCAGTCTCTACACGAGTTTCCGCCACTGAGAAGTATTTCTTAAAGGGTTTATGATACAGGATACAGGAAACACTAAAAATCACTCTAAAACGTTCAGCAAACCATTAGATAGATCATGCAAAGAAACCTTGTACTAACAAAACTTGCCAAAACCTCACCTGATGTCCGGGTTCCATGACGCTCCGACATTTGAGACATTTTCGAACCTCCAACTCGCTCCTCTTCAGGCAGTAGTACTGCTGATGGGCGTTCAGATTATCGGGTGAGGTAAACTTAATCCCGCAGGCCAAGCAAATCAGCTGTTGGTACTGCGCCGCGGGACTCGTGGTGCCCGCGCTCCTCGGGCTTACGGGCGGACTCCCCGAAGTTTTGGAATTTTCATCTTCGAGAGATCGAGCCGAACAATAGTGCTTTTTATGTATGACGTAGTTCTCGTGCTTGTAGAACACGATATTGCACTCCTTGCACTTGGACACTCCCTGCTTGACTATCACTTGGGGCATTACGGGTGGTAACGTGGGTACATCCGATAAACGCATCTGCAGTTCGGGCGGGATCAGTGGTATGTTTCCCGATCTGAACAACAGGGGATGCAACGCGGTGTGGATATCGAAGGTCGGTACGGTGATGTCCGGGCTGGTTCTAGATTTCTCCGTTCCGCCGGGATTGGATTTCGGAGTGCGCAAAGATCTGGGACTGTTGCTTCTGGACGTTTCTTCGTATTTCCTCTTGGGAGAATTGTTACTCAGGGAGGGGGAAGCGTTAGCATTCGAAGCAGGCGTCGAAGGCGGCGAACCTTGTATAGAAGGCTCACATTCAATTTTCTCCGGAGACAGCGTCGGAGTTTTCAGGTTCTCCTTTTCGTGTTCGTCGGATACGTCGACTACCAGTTCTTTTGGTGATGGGGTTTTCCTTACGCTGAGATCCAACGGCGCCGACGAATTACTAACCGGCAAGTCTTTGGCTTTGTTTACCGACTTTAGTACTTCCGGCTGAGGCACCGTCGTCGCGGCTGGCGGTATGGCACTGGTCATTGGAGCGAGGGTACCATTCGGAAGCAAGAAACACGGAGTGTCCGGATTAGGTAGTCCCGATGCCGTGGAAAGAGCCGGTAAAACGCTGGCCGAACGGAACAAAGAATATGGCACGATTATAATGGGATTGGTCGGTAACGCCAAAAAAGGTTGTTGAGGAGGAGGAACCTGCGAGGTTGGCGATGGCGGAGTCCGACACGTTGACGGATCTACGGGCGACGTCGGCGACGAACCCGACGTACAGCTAGACGTAGTTTTGGCTGGGATTGTCGATTTCACCACGTGTCTCGAATTGCAATAGTGTATTTTGTGTGCGCGATACGTCTTCAATGAACTAAACCGAATGTCACATTCCGCACAGTACCGATCCTGGGCATCGGACGAAGCCGTATCACCGTTGGTGACCACCGCGGTCGCAGAACCGGCGATGGGGGCGGGGGGTGATACCGTATGCATTCGCATGTGCCTGTTTAGGCTCACTTTCTTGTCTGCGCTATAGGAGCAGTGCATGCACGTATATTGTTTGCCGCTGCGCAAACTCTTGTTTGATGGTTCGGAACAGTCGGCGTCCGATTGATTTCCACTTGAATCGACCGCACCGCTCGCCGACGCTTTCGAATCCTCGTCAACCTTGTTTATCCTAAAATACGTGAATCGGAGCAGTTAAAAAAGTTAAAAAGTACATATCGGACGTATTTTCCAAATTGCTACGGTTGCGAGATCACGGCGTTCGAAGTTCCAAAAAAACGCGAGATCAAAAGGGATTTAATAATGTTTACTAAAGACTGAGCCATTGCAAGGAATTTTGGCAGACGAAATTGCCAGCTATTTTATCCCGAATTTGTGTGCGAAAATTGGCGCAAAGCGTTTGTGTTCATAAGTTTATAATAGAAAATAAAGAATATAGAAAAGGTCAAGCCTCACAAATTTCTTCATCGTAAATCTAGTGATTGCAGATCAAAGTTTCGTCTCCCAAATACTATTATAAACAATGCCAATACACAATTTGTGTAAAAAACCGTGGATATTATAATTCAACCAGCAAAAAAACTATATTTTCATATAACCCAAGTTAGCCCTACATCTATAAGAATTGTACAGAAATTACTTTTAGAGAATACAATAATAGATTTTTCTGACATGGTAAATCATTATTAATATAATAAATAAATAAATTAATATATATTAATAAGTAATTAATCAAAATTATACAAAAAAAATTAAACTCGAAAAAACTGCATTATACTTGCTGCCAATTAATTGTCAGTTAAAAATACATGCATTTTTATCTGATAAAAATACATGCAGAACTACATGTATTTTATGAAACACAAATATTAGATTTTCGAAAATATTTTAATTTTTCAGTAAGTATTTCTTCAAAAAGATTAAAAAAAAAACACTTCGCCTTTGATAAACAATTCAAAAATAATATTAAAATTATTTTAAAAACTTTTGTTTTCTTAGAATCTTAAAACCCTGCGTTTCTGGATCATATATGACTATTGGCACACAACCTTTGAGCATCAATAAAAAAAATCTTAAGGGAAATCCCTTGACAAACTTAGCTTTTGTACCGTTATCCTCGAACGTATTATAAATGTGCAATTTAGGAAAAAGAAAAGTAAAATCACATTTTTTCCATTGTGAACTGCAAATAGAGTAGAGTTTACCACAAAAACCCCACAACTAATAGAACAGCAACTAGGCCGAGCTATTATTAGACTATTTAATGAACCCTTATATTATTAATTACTATACTTTCTAAATAATATCGGGTAATACTCAATTTTGTATTCTTTCCCTAAGTGATAAAACGAACATTTATTGAATGTTTATTTTGTCCCATATACGTTACATCGTAATCAAACCAATTTCCTTTCTATTCGAAAACTTGTGTTTTTTTTAAAGCTGATCTACTTGCTACTTTATAGGCAATGAAATAAAACATCTTCTCTAGTTTTCTAGTAAATCTAAGGTCGCAAGGAATTATAACAAATTATTGTGGTTTGAGATTTCTGTGGAATTTCTGCTCTAAGCTCTAAGTGTGTAGTGTGGATTCTAATTTATTTTGTTAATTTTCATAAGTAAAATTGGTGGTCGGGAATTTATAGTTTTGGTTAGTTTTCATTTCTAATTGTAAACTTAATTTTGCATTTAGGTTTAGGTAGAACATTTTTTGCTGCGTTGCAGTATATACTTAAGTGAATAAACAGTCAGATCAACAGTCCATGTGGCAAGGGATTCATTACCGACGTTGCAGACGAATTTAAAGCATTTTTATGGTGCCTTCTAAACGGACTGCCAAAAAAACATTTTAACTAATTATGTTTCTAAAAATTTATTTGCCTTTAGAAAACGGAAAGGAACAGAATTTCTGTAATATTTCAGTGAGAATGCTCTTAGTTAGCGTATGAATAATCGATTTTTTCCAAGCAGTGTATTTGTTTAAATAAATAAACCTGTCGATAAATAATTTATTCCTACTTGAGTGGAGGTGGGCCAGGTAAGAGTCAGTCTCTAATGTCCTGCCCTTTAACACCTAAGGGTCCGGAGTAGGTATTATTGGTATCGGAAGCTAACTTCAACAATAATTTTGAGGCTCACTACACGCCTCCATATTTTGCTTGAAATTCTTTGACAATTGAATTGAACCGTAAAGGGGATTGAATATAATACAACCAAAAATATAGTGCAGTTATTGCTTTGACGTTTTAAGTATTTTACAGTACCTTAACCGCAGACCTTCGTAGGACCGCGGTAAAACCCATCGCAACAGATGTTGTAGAAACTTGAAATTTTTATTTTAAACGTAAATTTGGTTAAGCATTGATGCTGCGGGGTATTGTCGAATAAGTAGAATTCGTTCTTAAGAGTTGAATTAAAATTGCAATATGTTCGTATATATTACGGAGGTATTTCAATGTGATCCTTCCAGTAAGTACCTGATTCTCGAGCTTTGACCCTGCGAGGCTGTTTTCACTGGATTGATTATATTCGCGGTAGATAAAGATAAAAATAAAATGTGGAGTCCGGGGAATGAGGCAGATATTCCCCTGTTATAAGAAGACAGGGAAAATAATGCAGAATTTGAAGACGAAGTGGAGATGGTAGTCGAACCTAATATCATTTTAGAAACGAAACTACCACAGCAAATAAAAAAAAACGGATCCATTTATCTCCGGATGCTAAACAACTTGTTTTGAATGTTTACAATTTTATAAGAAATTCAGAAGAGGAAATAGGAGCGGCAACAAAAACAAATGACAGGACCAAAGTTCCGAAGTCAACCGAAGTAAGAAAAATTGTTGCAAATGGGATAGTCAAGAGGAATTTGACGTATAGTCTACAACGCTTATAAAGTGAACAGTGATTTAACCCTAGAAGAACTGCATAAAAAAGTACTGACAGACTTAAACATTAGTTGTGAAAAAGGTTTGTTGCGTACTTTTTTGAAGAAAATGGAATTTTAGTTCCAAGCAATTTATAAACGTCAAGTGCTAATGGAATCTCAAAGAAATGATAGTACCATAAACGTAATTCGACAAGAGGTAGCTGAAATATCATTACAAAGCTGATTTAACTGTGAAAAACGGGTAATAAGAGAATATTCATTGAGAACTATTAGTGGCGGAGTTGATCATTGAACTAGGTGACGATTTTTGAAGTGGCTGATACTTTATTATTATTATATTTAATACTTGTTACTTTGTACTTAGTTTTTATGTACATGTTTCAAGACTTGCTCGGCGAAAAAGATTGAAAACATACTTGTATCCCGCTCGTTAGTGTAGGTAGATAAATTCCTCGGACGGTCCTAGAATGGTAACGGGTAAGGGTCTGCTCGGCAGGGTGTTCTATAAGGGACTGCGGTTTTGGAGTAATAAACAGTAGGCAAAGATAATCACGGGGTCGGTTGTAAAAGCACTATATTTCTGGCGCGAGTATACCAGCGCAGAAGTTGAATTCACTTGCCTGTGAGAACAGTAGTACGTCTGATGCGCCTCCAGTGTACTTAACGACGAGAAGCGAATTCCACAGGGACTGCATTGATAAACGGGCGGTAACGGTTTAGTAGGCTCCGAAGGCGCTTCGACAGATCTCGTCGCTGCTGCAACCGCCTCCAGGTTTAGACCTACCGGAAGAAGAAACGCCCTGGATGCCAAAGCGCTCTGGATCGCTTGCGGGAGGGACACCAGGTACTTGTTTTGCGACTGGGAGGGTTCCACCTAAAATTTTCGAGGCAACGGTTTAGATCGATTAAACAATTGACGACATGTCGGAAACGCACATCGTTCCGCAAACCCGGAATCAAGTTTTGAGCATGTAACGCGGGGTCGGTCGCAAGAGACGCCTTTAACCGGATCCGAGGTTGTTTATCGTCCAGGTCGGGTTTCGTCGGACTTTTCCTGTCGTCATCGTCGGGACAATTGGGTTTGTCTGGCGTCTCGCTTCTTTTCGGTACCGCTTCGGTTGCGGTAACCATGTTGCTTGCGGTACCACTACCCTCTGATGATGCGACGTCGGAACCGTTCCAATCTTCCACCTCGCCTGAATCAGAAAGGAAACAATTGCTTAAACGCTTGGCAAAGAACGATTATGGATTGACTCCTTCTTGCTGAGGCAGATTGTTCTGCATGAAGCTTAAATACCTGTCGGGGCAAGGGGAGTGGAGAGAGGAGTATAATTGCTTCACGTATGACCGATTCCTAATTGAACGAGATAGAAACCTGTATCGCGGCTTATGTTAGCATGTTAGATGATTTGAAGTTTTTCTTAGATCGGTGTTCTATCTCGTCATACCGTTCAGAAACTGCTTATGTCGTTATTTGTCGAAGTCTGACATATTTTATTGTATTCTCTTTTCTGATATTGTTCGACCTGTTTCTCCGATGTATTCTTTGTCATAGGTTAATACGGTAAACACCTGCTGTTTAGAGAGGAGTTTCATCTTTAGCCGATCATAGATATTGGGAGATTTTAGGACAAGTAGAGACAAAAGTATATATATGTATTGGTGGTAATCCGGGTGTTCATCCATTCGTTGTTTGACCCTGGAGTAGGATCATTCGCCTGACGTTTCGCCAAAATATCACTTGGCATCTTCAGAGGCCGCGCGTCTATGTCACTCGTACGTGTCCGCACGCAGCAATATTATATGCCCACGAGAATTAAAAAAATTACTAAAATGTTGTAAACACGAAACAACATTTACACAAACATATTTTATTGTTGTTTATAACGAAATTAGTTTGATTGACTTAAAATATTTGCAAAATTTTATTGGTATATTTCTTTGTAAAATTGCTGGTCACCTTAAACACAATATCCATACTAGATCCTTTACATCGGCGATGGGCGAGTGTCCACGGTAAACGTGCCCAATAAAATCAAGAAGTGGAGAAGATTTTCTACTTGTCCTAAAATCTCAGCTAGGATCTATTGAAGACAAAATTCATTTCGTGACAGCAAATGTGTACAGTATACCGTGAAGCTGTGGCAACGAATACATCGGAGAAACAAGTCGAACAATCACCACGAGACGGGATATCAGATTTTATTCGACTAGACTTGCACCTAGCACTTTTGTCTATACAAGCAACATTTGGGATTCGGTCATCTGAGAAGCTCTTCACCCCTCTCTTTTCTACCGCCAGCATTTAAGGTACATGCAGAGCAATCGGCTATCAGTTTCCGACTGCGCTCTTAACAAGCCAGCAACATTTTTGGCAAAACATCAGTTAGACAGAGTCAGTACCCTAAGCAAGAGAAATCGAGAAGGAGTATATCTGCAAACGGTTTTCTGGTTAGTTTATGGAATGCTATTTTTGAAATTCGTCTATGCGATTGAAATGGTTTGGTCGGTTTGCGGCGTCCATTTGCAAATCGCGCCTAGCCATCTTTGGACGGGTCGCCGAACGCGTGATTCTCTTGGCAATCTTCACCGTTTCGAATACCAAGAACCGCGATGCGATCGTTTTGAGAAGACTTCGAGATTTACGGCGAAGCAACCTATACAAATGGCGAACTTCCGATAAGGACAGACGGATACACGGGTCGGGCATGTTCGCGGTAATGAAGCAGTCCGTCAACTGTACCCACGCGAAACTGTCAGCGCCCTTAAGATACACCTTTGGCCGCGATATATCATAATGACGGATGCCCGAATAGCGCAATAGCTAGAACGGACTCTAACTTTGATTCTAATCGGGTGTCGAGTACCCAAGTTTTTAAACCGTTTCCGTTTTTTTTTCGATCGTACGGAGACTATGAGAATTGGTTCGTGCTTCGAAGTTCCATTAACCCGTGGGAACTGGGTGTTCGTTGATGAGGTCGATTACAATGGATCGCGAATTGATGTCCTACGTGCAATAGAACAAATTAAAATATTTGTATAATTAATGTTATTAGAATCAAGTAGTGGTCTTTGGGGTAGTGCTCATGTGAAAGGATTAAGTATGCTTGAAGTTGCTTAAAAACATATCAGGACCCTCATATCAGAAGGGCGTATGAAAAAATAAGTAAATAAAAAGTTATTAAATTATGAATTTTACTATTATCGTACTAGTTTGGTAATGCTAAAGTTTAACTACTTAGATTATTGCAGTAACATTAAAAAAAACGAGCCCTTCTGAAATTTCAACGAGATTGTTTAAATAATTCTAATATATGCCAAGATCATATTTAGTCGGTGAGTCAAGTTTTGAATTGTCTTTCCAGTAATTTAAAAACAAATTTATATTTCAATTGCAAAAAAAAATATTACCTCAGAATATTTATGCCATAGGATTTTCATACGTATTTTATTTGAAAAGTATATTCTAAGGAAAATACGTAAAAAAAAATCAAAAGAAATTAGTCAATAATTTTGCAGTAATATTCGGTCGGTGTGTGCCGAAAGTCAATTTTTCAATCTACATTTAAGCTGTAACAGTGTCGTGCGTAAGAGCTTGAATTCGAAATTGAAAAATGGTGTAATACGCTTACGAACAAAAAAAGAATTGTTTCATTGTTCCACAAACTAGATTATTAAAAAAATATTTAATATCTATTTCTAAAGTGAACGATGCTCTAGCTCAATAAATAGTTTTGCAGCTTATATAAAATACTGTTCAGTCTTTAACCTGCCCCCGATAGGGAACTAATAATATATATTATTTACATATCCGTGTGCTAATTTCGGCTCTTATCGGACGAAACAACAAAACAATCGATAATAAACCTAACCAGATTACAGAATCTGATTATCAGATAACGGGCGAAACAAAAATTAAACGGCACCACAATCCAAGTACAATGCCGGTGCAAACGTAGAAACTGCATTGTTTACAAACATTCCAACTAACGAGCAACACGAATTTCTTCTTCTTTAACATCTACCGTGTGTTCTCAATTCCCTCATAGGCAATTAAGAGGCTGGGCTCCGGCGATTTTAATCTCGAAACACACACACACACACAAACGCACACACACAGAAACGCACTGCCACGTATACGCGTACACGTGGTTGGTGTAACGCCTATATATTTTATCACCGCTCGCTGCACGCAGGCAAAAGGGACATTTTTCGGATGTACAGGAGTCGTATCAGATTTATTTTTAGCTAATCCCAAATCGTTTAGTGGTCAAGTTTTTTAATTGGTTAGGTAAGTTAAATTTTAAATACGATTTGAATTATTTTTGTTTCCTATCGTGAGTCGATTTGTAAACCATCTCACCCATATTTGAAATTTTTAGAAAATTAAAAATATACGGGTTAAATAAAAAAGTAATTTTTGATTCCAAATTGAAAAAGTGGAGTGATCTTACATCTCTTGTATTACATATATATTTTAAATATTTACTTTTTGAAGGAGCTTGAAAGCAATCAGCAATTGATAGCTTTCAGTTACAATTATTTTTGAAATCAAGTTTGTTACTAATGTTTTTATTAAGACTTGCTAACTATTGTTAAGATTCGGTAACGATTATGATTTTATATATTTGCCATTTTAAATAACGCAGTCCTTTAGCTACACCTGGTACTTAAACAAATTTATAAAAAAAAACTAACCAAAATATCCTGGCTTCCTGCATATGTATTTCTTTTTTGAAAACGCTAGATAACGATTCGTTTCCTCAATCTTTCTTAGTTACTCTTTGTGCTAGCTAAAGTAGAACAAGTTTATATATAGCTAAGTTTTTTACTGGTAAAAAGTCATAACGCCCCGTTCCCTATGAACAAAAATTGTGTCTACGAGTGGATTTCAGCAATAAAACTATGACAGTCTGTCACAAGGATATGTTTGCCAGTTGGATAACAGTCAATTAAAATTAAAATTTTACACTTGAAAAATCTATGACGGCATATCGGCAATGGTGAAGACTGTAAAGAGTCGCTAACAAGTTAATGTGGAAACCAAATCAGCAGTCGAAAATCTCAGAACTTAACTTTCGAAATGCTAGAGGACAATCATACAAAATTATGCTTTGGCAGAAACGAATGGAACCGCTATAATATTACTAATAAAACTTGTAAATATATTTAATTTTGTTAACAAATAAATAAATTTAATATCTTGGAGCAACTGTTCACTGGGTTTTCCTCGTGAAATAAACTTGCGTGCATAGAAATCGGTCCACTGTAAATTTTTGACTTTTGACTTGAAACTATTCATCTGACCCAAAAAATAAACATGCTATTTGGAAGACAATTTAATATGCTTTATTATGAGTTTAAGTTTGTCTAGAGTGCGGATCTTTTATATGCGTAGATACGCTTAAAGAAATGAAACGTGTTCATGCAGTAGTTATAGTGATAGTAACTAATTTGTTATAGCCTTTGCAACAGGAATTTTCACATTGTTCGTTTTTAATCATTTGGACAGCGTTTAATTGTGTATCTTGTTGCGCACTACACCGCAAAAAGCCGCTGAAGTTATTGCTTCAATCGAAAGTGGACTTCGCCCGCGAGTTGTTGCTCGACAACTGGATATGACACGCACCGCAGTTCGAAGAGTATTCCAATATACAGAACGCGGACTACAACGGCTCGTAATGAGCGCTTTATTGTGTCAACAATAATAAGAAATCGTCATCTTAATGAAGAAAAATAACCTTACTCTAAAAATATCCGCAATTGGTCCAAAACTTACTACAGTTTATCGACAAGCACGCCTACGCTGTTCTCAGATGAGACCAGAAGATGCCTTTTCGGTAGTTACCGACGAAAAAAAGTGTACCGAAGACCAGAGGAGCGATTTGCAGAATGTCGCAATGAAGAGCGGAGCCCTTATGGAGGTGGTTCCTGCATGATGAGCTAAAACGGAGAATTCGAGCTAGACTTCGTACCCCGACCTCAATCAAAGAGCTTATCGTTGCAGTAGAGGAAGAGTGGCTTAACATTCCACAAAAAACAATAGCGAACTTGATTAGATGTATGCCTAATCGAGTAAGAGATGTTATTAGGCCAAGAGGGGATCATACACATTATTAAAAAATAAGTGTTGAGTTGCTAATTGCCAATAATCCTATTTGTTTTTAGTAATAAAAAACAGTTAATTTGACTCGTG